CCAAATATTAAATAACACTACCGTAACGTGTTTGAGGGGCCGAGTGGAGCGCTGTTGTCTTGCTTCCATGGTAACAGTAACCATGTGCAGGATAATGTTTACTGAATGTTTAGCATATCACAAAGCAGCCACATTGGGCGACTGGACCTGATTAATCAAGTGTGTGTGTGTGTGTGTGTGTGTGTGTGCGCTGGCACTGCAAGACTGAGCACATTTTTAACTGACAGACATTGTTTTTGTGTGTGTGTGTGTTTATGTGTGTGTGTCCTACATACAGTAGTTGACTGACAACCTAAAGCCAGTTGCTCATATTGTGAATGGATGTACTGAGGGACTGCACTGCTTAGCTTTGCTACGTTTCCCCACTGAAATACCAAGTATTATAACTTTACAGCAACATTTCCGTGTGTGAGTGTCGAAGTTTTAAAGTTTTGTATTATGTGATATTTACATATGTAGCAGCATACTAAACTACTAATATATACTACTAAATACTACTACTAATACTACTAATATATACAACTAAATGCTTGTCGTAGGGGAGGTAGGCTATCCTTTTGAGAGACAATTGTTTACCTTTTAGTGACATTTCGTTCTTACTAGTAAATGTGCCATTGTGGTTTATCTGTCTTGATTGTTTTTTTTTTTCATTCTGTTTTTATCACCAATGAATATACTAGGCCTACACGTAAGCGCATTTTAATGTTGTAGTTTGTCAATGTGAAGCAGGTATTAGATAATTTGTATACTACTATAGTAGTATAGTACTGCATTATACTATATAAGCGTATCATAGGTATTTCTTTTAAGTGAAAAGTAACTAGTAACTGAAAGTATCAAATAAATGTAATGAAATGAAATGGAGTGGAAGTACAAAATTGCAAAGAATTGAAACACAAGTAAAGTACAAGTATGTCAAAATAAGTACAGTACTTGAGTAAAGGTACTTAGTTACATTCAACCAATGTCCACATATTGTTTTGTAGTAAACAAAACAGAAGCAAACTCCTCGCACGGTAACAGCAGTTCAAAATACCAGCACCTGCCTGCTCGCATCATACTTAATCATACGCAAGCTACAACTGAGATTTGGTAAGGCTGGATGCATCTTAGTAAACTGGTTTGAACAGTGTGAGAAGATAAACATGCCATGACAAGAAACTACTGTTTACGTTTCTCCATCTCGCATCAGTTGTTGGTTAGGCAGTAGAGCTAAAAAAGCTACTGCCATTAAAAGTAATTTAAACTGTGCTTTTGCAAAATTAGACAATGGAAAATTTTATATACAAAACGGTGCCTTATTTTCTGTTGTGGTCTATCTCAACAACTGTTGGATGGATCAACATGAAATTGTGTACAGACATTCATGGTGCCCAGAGGATGAATCCTACCAACACATTCTCACTCCCAACTCATAAGGACGCTTGGTCAAGACACCGTGGCGTCACTTTTTAATGCCCTGGGTTCTCCCTTTAGCATAATTTTTGGACTTGTAGAGCTCTGCAGTCAATTTAGAAGCAATACATATGCTTTCAACACTTTCAAAATATATACTTTAACAATAAAAGTAGCGGACAACGTTGTGAAACGTCACATGGTTTATCGTTGTGATGTTGCAATTTTGTTAGGTTTAGGCAACAAAAGTACTTGGTTAGGTCAAGGTTTGGGTTAAAATAACTACATTACTTATGTGACTTAACTTACGTAAATTGTAACGTTACTTGACAAGCTTATGTAGCTTCACTAAAAACAATCAATGTTGACTTTTTGTTTCACACAGGAAACAAACACCAATCATCTTGGTGAAAGTCTGGCCCACACATCCATCCACCATCTACTAGATGTACCAAATTTCGTAAACATTCATGGTTCCCAGAAGATGTATCCTAATGACTTTTCCTCTACCACCACCTTAAGGTTCACATTTGTTTAAAGCGAAATGTCTCAACAAGTATTTGATGGATTGCCATTTGGTACACACATTCATGCTGAACTGACCCTTCGCTAAGCCACGCCCCCCTTTAGTTACTGTTGCAAAGTCCGACAAACTGTCGGAGCTGTTATATTTTTCTCACAGCACTGCCACTATCTATTACTGCACTCCCCTGAGAAATATTGACAAATTTGTTGGAAAAAGCGATTTCAGAAAGAGGCAGACAGTTTTGCAGTTGCATTATACATTTGAAGGTTGTTTTCAGGCTGCCAAACTGACTCAAACGGACATGAAAAGATAGAAAAAGATAGAAGCTAAAGCCTACCCATCACACAGTACAAGTAAACCACCGCATTGAGACAAATACAGCGATATTAAGGATCAGCACTGTTCAGAAGAAAGCTAGAAAACGACTCCTTTCGCATTACCCCCCAAACTGATGACATTCCCATCACCCTTGACCTTACTTTGTGTTTATTATTGGTAATGTTAGAATGCAAACAAGCTAAATTGGAACATGATAAACAGACTGCTAGACTGCTGGTCTTGTTGTAGGACATGTATTAAGCTGTGAGCACAAGAAACAAATCAGAAAACATAAAAAAAATGTTTTAAATAGAGCTCAACATTGTACCCTAAAACCTCTAGTGCAGTCCTGCCTTTTACCATTTTTGTATTTTTGTATCCATGATGCTGTCCATGTACAATGTGGCTATATGGTAAAACATCCTTGTAATCTGATTTACTTTGTTACTAGCAAACTTAACAAATTCAAATTACATCCCTCATGTAATTCAAACAAATAGAAATGTGCACACCAACAGTCACCATCAGCATCCTCTACAGCATGGTGATAAGGACATTTTAGCTGCGGCATCCTGCTGGTTACCCAGAGATCAAACATCATCAGCTGGACCTTCAGGGAGCTGTCTCCTGTATGATGATAGTGATGTAGTGGTAAACTGAAAAAAGTGGGTGAGCTATAATTGACTGCAGCCGAGGAGTGCCACAAAGCAGATACAGTGGCATCCGCTGTGGCCAGGAGGTAACAGAAGAAGTGCTGGAATTAGACCAGGTGCTGGTAAAAATTCTGAGACAGTCTTGTTTAATATGGGCAAGGAAAGCGAATGAACCAGCGTCTCTTTGTCTTTGAGCAAAGCATTTAGTGCAAAGATGACGAAATGTGACTTTTTGTTATTGTAGATCCGCATCAACCATATTGTAACCACTGTAATACTTTACACTACACTTGACTGTTTTTTACAGTTACTCATCGATAGTATGCATACTGTATGTTCCTCTGACACTTCAAGTTCCCTGTGTAGGATTAATAATGAATAGTTCATCTTTTCCTAGTTTTTAGGTTTGTACCGAAAATCATCCATGTTGCTTCTTTTCTCTTAGTCCTTAATTCTGGTATTTGAAAGAAGGCATTTCCTCTTTCAACACATGTTGTTCCCTCTAATGTCTGTCCAGTGCACAAAACAACTCTATCTACTATCAGAGGAAATGTTAAGCATTTAGATCCATTTGGTCCGGGTCTGTTGATGAAATCATACCCTTTATTGCCATATCACAATATATATTAGTCTTCTTGCTGAGCCACTTTGTTAGATGGGGAAGCAGTTCATTTGAAGCCAGGTTTGATTCTGAGCTCAGGGCTCAACTACAGCATGTTTTCAAGAGCAATAAAGAATGGAAAAGTGTGTAAATATAGTCATAAGACATGCTTCAAAATGATTAGAGAAAATGTAAACCAGATGTAGTCAGCCATAAATTGTGTTTAACTCAAAATCATTCTGTATTTCTCCTTTAATTAAAGTTGGAAAAAACATTGCAACATCTGGATCAGTTTCATCAGTTACCTAAAATGCTTCTTTACCATGTTTGATTAATCATCTTGCTTTTTGACGCCAGTAATCGCAATTTAATGAAGCATTTTGGACTTTCTGTCCGTATCGAGTTGCATATATGGTGATTCAGTTGCAGGAACATACAGTATAGGCCTACGAGACTTTGGGTGTCATTGCATATAATAACAGAGTCATTGACATAATTAGGTAGGGTGTCGTCACTAAGCTCACCAACCACTGTAATTGGGTGTGAATAGTTAACCACACTGTCTTTTCACACGGGGGCCATTTTAATAGCAGCCTGTCACTAAGGCCATTATCTATTTTCCAGTGGTTGCATTATGAGGTGTACTATGGCCTTGTTGAAACGTTAGACTCTGAGCAGCATGGCAATGGTTAACACACAGAAGAAAGTTGCTTGGGGATTCACACAACTGTAACTGTACTAACATGGGCCCAAGGACACACATGTAGGTTTCAAACAAATACCCAGAGGTGATGCGGAAGAGCTGGGAAATAGGTTGTTTCAGGTCAGATGACTCCAGGAAGCATAACCACGCTGAACTACTGAGTTTCCAGCAAACCTAAACTATTTTAGGAACCAGAAATGGTGAAAGTCCAAGCAAAAGAAAAACATTTGACAAAAACAATCTCTGTTGTCATGGATATGTTGTTGTCATGTCCACATTGTCTTAAATTAATGGCTTAAATTGGCCAAATAAATGTTATGTAAAAGTCTTTATTTGTACTGCAAAATGTTCATTTCAATTTATTTAACCTCAAAACCTTTGGCTTGCAACATTTTTTTTTTTTTTACTTTAATAAATTAAGTTTTGTTCCAGTTGGATAGTATTTGATCTCAAAACAATTTTTGATGAAATATCCTTTGATTGCAGTGCCAAAGGTTTGCTATTTGACTCACAATTTCACCGCCATACAAGTGCACATTATACACACACACACACACACAAGTTCAAACAGTCAACCGGTTGGGGTGAAAATCTACATTTCTACTGAAGGCAGCGGGGTTATCCTTATCACTATGGTAACACGCAACACAGTGATACAAGCGGGCATGATGTCATTGAATAAATCAGTCATCCATGGCCTGCGGGTGTTTTTGTAACCACAGGAATTGTGGGGGATTTTTTGCTTTTGGTGTTGAGTAAAATCTGGCACAACTCTGAAATGCATACAATGACACAAAGGGAGGATTTAATAAACAATATTTTATTGTTTTTTTTTTAAATACATGAATAAAACCTCATCGAAGCTTATCTGCCATCACAGTGCATACATGTCACAACACAGGAGTGTAAATGTTTTACATGCCCTTTGGGGAGAGACAGCGGAGGTAGTTTGGAGTTAAATTCCTGGCAACACGGTATGTTTACATGAACTGCAATGTTTAAATATTAACCAGATAAAGTCAAATATCTGCATAAGAAGTGTCTAAATATACAGCTCTGATTACTTCAATCCAAATTAAGCCATAGTTTCCTTTTTATTGCTTAATTTATGGCAATTTTAGACTTGTATTCACTTTAAAGCCCCAAACATCCATAGGTATTATTTATTAAGACTCAAACATTGTATGGCTGTGGTTTGATCAGTTTTGATTGCTTTTATTGCCTGGGCACTGTCAAACAACAAAACAACTGGCATTAGATTTCCATCCAGATCTTGCCAAATGTCTGACTGGTGCAAAGAAATATGTGACATCACCCAACCACCTCAAACCACAGACAAAACAACATAGACATAAATCACACAGAGAGGGCATCCTCGGTCAGCATTATGGGGGGCAATACAGGAGTGGAATAGTTCAATAAGAACCCATGTAATCAGCATATTTGAAATAGTGTCTTCAGTAGAATAATTGCAGTTCATGTAAATCTTGTGCTTCTTACATGAGGAGTTTTGCTCCAAGATGCTTGCTTTTACATAATGGTTAGCTGGTTTTGCAGGTAGATTTTCAACTGGGGCACAGGTATTTTAATACTAATATTAAACATAAAGGTATTCCTCGAAAATGGATATAGAGCACTTAACAACAATCACCATATGAAAATCTTACACAGATTCTCACAATACTCACACTATTACCGAATAATGTCCATACTTTCGCGTAAGCTGTATGAACAGGCGATTGTCCACTATTTTAAACATATTTATTACAGGTACATTACTGTGTGATGGGAGTCGAGTGAGGCACAGAGGTAATCCAACCATGATGTGGGATTCATCTTCAGCTTTCTGTCAAAGTATGAATATAAACAGAGGTACAGCATGTATCCTCACAGTTTGGCAAAATACAGTTGAGTCCATTTAGGAGGAGGTGGAGAGCTGTTTCTGTAAGAGCAAAGAGGCTACCAAACACGAACACAAAGTCCCTTAAAATGTGCAAGAGGAAATGTGTATGTACAACAGAGCAACATGAGCAACAGCAGATTTACAGTGCAGGGAACTCTCTCCTACAGATCCCACATCTAACACACAGCATACTGTACATCCATCTTTACCATTAGACCCTGACATAATCCAGTAGAAAGCAATCAGAGGGATTTAAAATCATTTAGATTGATTAATTATTTATCCTGTTAAAGAACACATAAATTCTTCATTACATTAATATAACTGGCATTACCAGCACTGCAACACGTACTGTAGCATCATGGCTTCAACACATGCTGGTATATATGTTTATTCATACAGCTGAACTGGGTAAAACATCTGCTATTAAAGATATTCTGATTTATTAGGCATGTGCTCAGATGAATGTAAACATTTCTAAGTCTTTATGAGATTGGCACAACATGTGATGGTAGACTGAGACAATAGGCAGTGGTTTTGTTTGGGAAATTTGTTCGCTTTCTTGCTGAGAAGATTGATACCGCTCTTGCGTCTATGTGGTAAAAATGAAGCTCTCTTGTGAAATTTAGATTTCAAACAACAACAACTTTGTATTGACAGGAAATCATCATTCTTGCAGGGTGGTACACAGAGAACCTACAGTTCAACGTCAACAAAACCAAGGTGACGCTTGTTTTTTTAGGAAAAAGTAGGTGAAGACACACCTACATCAGTGGAGCTGACGTGGAACAGGTGAACAGTCAGGTTCCCAGGAATCAACATCACAGAGAACCCGACATGGTCATTTCACATCTCCACAGCTCATAAACGGCTGTATTTCTTAAGGAAAATCCCCGTGCCAAGTTCTTGTTGATTTTGTTACCTTTGGACAGATCCAGGCTAGCCGTTTCCCCCTGTTTCCAGTCTTTACGCTAAACTAAGCTAAGCTAAGAGGCAGCTGGCTGTAGCTTCATATTTAGCAAACAGACATGAGAGTGGTACTTCTCTTCTCATCTAACTCTGTATATATGTGTACTTTGCAAAATGTGGAACTACATGTGGTCAATTCAGAGAGTTCATTTATTTAGAGATTAATCTTTACTGTCCTCATAGAGATGAATAAAATGCAAAGAAATTAACTGCGTATCATTTATTATTAACAGAATATATTTTCCTAATAATTTGGTTACTTCTTTCCAATCCTTCTATCCACTATTTACGTATAATGTAGCTTCATGTTTGTATTTTAAAAAATCACTTAAAACTGGAAAATTCCCATTTATTTAAAGATTAGTCCTTCTGTTTTAACAACAAAATAATGTTATTGAGTTTTATCTTTAAAAAATATTATGTAGCCTTCCTCAAAACTTGATTATTCGTAGGAAGGAATATCAAACTATCTCTTATTTGCTTCCCATTGACTGTGCTCTACACTGACTGTGACTCAAATCTACAATCCAACTCCATGGCATTTCAGATTTTACAGTTATTCCTCATTTTTCTTCCCTTTTGCATCACAGTAAAGACACCTCATCCAAAAGGCAATCCAAATCAGCATTACTCCTGTGTGCTTTTATTATGTTAATGTGGGTGGAAGAGTAATAAACAAAGTATAAAGTATGAGCAGTTGACACACCTGACCTGTGAGAAGAATCTATCCAACAGAATCCACTCTGTCCAGCACAGTGGGGCGTAATAAAAGAGAAATTATGCAGTACCAACACTTTCTAATCACTGACATGTTTTTCTCCCACAGGGGATTCAGGCACAAAACACAAGTTATGGAGGACCCCATCAACCTGAACTGAAAATGACGTCAACACACATCTAGACGAAACTTTGGAGCTGATCAGCTGATAATGCACCAAGATGAGATGTGGTTACCACTTCCTGTCACACACAAGACAGAACGTAAAACTACTGTTGCTGCGGGAAGCCTGAATGGGTGAGAATTTCCTGAACAAAATGAAGCAATCAGCACTTTAAAACCTATTCCGGGTTCCCACGACATGCATCAACAATCTTCTCTGCTTGTAAAGCAACCACAAAAAACATTTTCACATTGTCTTGTTGTGCTGACTCCTTTTCTGACAATTTTATAATGTTAAAGTTGACATAATGAAAAATATAAGGTAGACAAAAAATACTGTATGGACAAAAAAAATATTGCCCTACAGTTATAGTCAGTATATTCACAAACAAATCTCACTATTAGCATTAAGACCAGGGCAAACTAAACAAACAAAAAAGACCCTGAGTTGGTACATGGACCATTCTGGGGGTGAAAAGTTTCAGCAAGCTGCACATACAAGTGAAAGTCTAAGACTACACACTATCCTCATTTTATTATTTCACAGATATTGTCATATTGTGCATGTGCATATTCTCTCTTGTGTACTTCTATGTGCAGCCTTTTGAAATTTCACTCGTGCTTGAACAGGCCAAAACAACTGTTGCAGGATCAGGCAGCTGGTTGGTTGGTGTGTGTGTGTGTGTGTGTGTGTGTGTGTGTGTGTGTGTGTGTGTGTGTGTGCGCTGTATGTGGGACAGATAATTTAGAGGGCAGAGACTGATGTAACAACTTAATCAGTTCATTAAACCAGTGTTTGCCTCCCGCCCCTTTGCTGCCCCACTGCATGCACAGACAGGAGGCCCCCCAGGTGAGTCGTTGGCTCCTGGGCTTCACCTGATGGCGCTGTCCACACACTGAAGGAGGTTCTGTGCGGTTATCACGTCCTCAGCTTTAAGATGACTGTGGCCAGGATGAGGAAGAAAGTGTTCCAGCCCAGAGTGACAGCAAAGCCTCGCCACACCATCATCCGAGACAGACCCCAACCTGTTGCAAAGATGCATGTTTATATTCACTATATAATACAGGAGTCCAAAGGTGGACACATTGTATGTCGGGAGTCAGCCCAGTGGGTTTTGTCTGTGCTACTTGCAGCGTGTTCGTGTATTTGGTTATGTTTTCTGTATTTGGAGCTTGTTTTCTAAACACTACGCACGTGTTGTCAAATTGATGAAGATGTATTCTTAATTTGCATGTGCTTTCTTTAACAGTTGCCTATTGGTGCTCGCCAAATGTTAAACACTAACGTCTAAACACAAGCATCTGTACAAGAACTTTGGCAAGAAAAAAATACAGTGTTAAAGAAACACACATTTACATTTTGGAATAGGTTAGCATAGCTATTCATAGAGACTGGAAACAATGGGAAACAGCTAGCCTGGTTTCGTCCAAAGGTGAAAAACAGGACCTATCAGCACCTCTAGAGCAAAAACCAACAATGTTCTAGTAACCCAGCTAATGTCTCACACATAATGTTCTTATAATCTGGATACAAGCTTATCCAGGCTGTAGTGAATGCATACATGAAGCAAAACATGAATATAACACCACGGTCTGGACCGGGACGCTATGGGTTCAAGTGAATCCAATTAGTGAATGTGACAGGATGCAGTTCCCAAGAAAGAAAAATAAGCTACAGTTCATCCCCCAAATTGATTTCTGACACTGTCAACTCCTGCCTGTGCCTCTTCTTCCACTGCACCTCCACGATAAGGTTTTTAAACGGGAAATGTCTCCTCTGACTTCCTGTGCTTGGCGTGTATGGTATCGTGTAACATGAGAGAGAGAGCTCGGGCTGTCGTCGGATCTTACTGTTGCAGAGACGATAAGGTCAAGAGAAGAAGAAAGCTTGGGAGGCAGAGCGAAACCACTATACCTTACATTCCAGGAAGCTGACGTACACAGGATCCAGAGCTGATTAATGATTTAGACGACTGGCTATGTAACAATCTGAGCCGTATGCATGCATCTGACCCTAACACACTCTGACTACACACCAGACGAGCTACAGCAGCTTGTAACATTATGAAACTGATGAGTGTAACACATACATTACCTCTGTACATGATACAGCGAAGGGCTTCTGAGGCGTAGGTCTGAGGAAGAGCCATGCTGATGTAGCGGAGAGGATACGGGATACACTCCACAGGCCAGATGATACCTACAGTCCAGGACAGAGGGGATACTGTGTAAGACGTCATTTACACCTGCTGTTAAAATACGGCGTGTATCTCGATGCTCTGTTCTAAAAATGATCCCCCCAAAGCATTTAAACCATCTTTGGTTTCTCTTGTTTTCATCCTGTTGTGATGTTTCACTTGGACTATCAAAAGCAGCCGAGGAAGTGGCTGCAGAAAAAAATAAGATATGGAGAATCAAAGTTCAATCTTGAAAAAACACTGCCTGGAAACAGCAAGTTCAAGTAAGTTTATTGTGATTCATCCACATACCAAATATAGACCCTAATAACAAGGTCACAACAAACAACTTACAAGACAAGACACTATACAACACAGGGAAAGGTAAGACAGGTCTAGCTTGGAGTCTTTAGCTGACCCCACAAATGTTCACGGATCTTCCAGCTCTAGTTATGTATCCCATGTAACTGTCCTTGTTAGGATGACGGTAGTTAGACTGATAAGGTAGAGACAGTAGCTCAGGCGTCAGGCTAGCAGATATTGGTGTTTTCTGGGAATCTTAAAAGGTTGAGTCTTACAAGAATGTTTACAAGAACTTACTGGCTCCACAGATTAGAGTATGGATAGTAATAGATTCCACTATGATATAGTTCAGTGGTTTTCAAAGTGTGAGGCGGGCCTCCCAAGGGGGGCTCCAAACAGTTTAAGGGGAGGTTCAGTGAAAGGAAGTGAAAGGAGATCACATAGAATAGCCTACATGCGTGAGAGTTCAGAGATACAGTCATTTTTGCTAACGGTTTTCCCCCCATCAGAGTCAGAAACTAATAAATGTATCTGTATCTGTACTATTAATAGCAACATCAGAAGTAGTGATGGTAATAATAATAGCACCAAAAAGTCTTTCAGTAGCTGGTCTGGAGGATTCAAACATACCAGGAGTCTGCTTGGTTTCCATGGAGTGTTCAAGATACAGATGTTCAAATATCCATTTTTTTCCCGACAACTTAAAGGACTTTTAACCTCTCTAAACAGACACCAGCACATGAATGCTGAATCTGTAGGCAAGGGACAAGATTTTTTTTTCGGAAGCCATTTGTAGTCCGACTAGTATTGACCAATGGTTATTAATCTCAGAAGTATAGACTGACAACTGGGCAAATGTCACTTGATACAATCGAAGTACTTCGATCCGTTCCTTAAACCTGCAGTGCAGAATTTTTGTCTCCACCCTCTGACAGTGACAGTAATTACACAACACTGTTGAATCGTGCTTGTGACGTACAGTCTCTACCCCACTGAGTTGCCTCTGTGACTATGGTCACAGAGGCCGCAGAATGCCGCCACAGACACGAAATTTCAAAAGTCTAGTTTACTGCAAACAGAGAGATTTACCTGGCAGAACTCGTTTGGCAAGGGCTTGAATTTACCAGACTCTTCATGTATCTGTAAAAATCCCACACTCAAGGATTTAAAACCCAAGTATTGTCAACTAAATTTACTTAGAGTATTTTAAGTACTTGCAGAAAACCGGCATGTTGGGACTGATATACATACATTTAGATTCCTTTTATTAAACTTTGCTCTCTTTGAAAGTTTTATCTCTTTGGGCCACGAACACTGTGAAAAGTTTATGGGGAGAATCTCTTTTTGTTGGAATTGTGGCAGACTAGCAACCTCTTTGTGGAAACTAACAAAGAGAATCACGAATCATATCATTTGATAATATTCAGTTAACAAACCCGACCCCCTGCAGCACTCTTTATTCCCTTCACTAAATTGTTAAAGTAGGATTAAATCCAAAAGTCCTCCTGAATCCTGTAAAGTTTTGAACCCAAATAAATATTTGTCTACACTACCTACACACATAGTCTATAATTAACTTTCCTGGTTAAAGAATGGTCCAGCAATGAGACACCTACTGTGGATTTTACACAGATAACTTTCAGAGAGAAGACGCTACCTGAGCTGCAGTTTAATGATCAAACTCTACACTGGTTACCACCGACACACACACACAAAGTCTTACCGCTGATGATGAGGTTGGGGTAGAAGATGCCCAGGGCGGCCTGGTTGGCACTTTGCTCATCGTCGATTGCGGCTGAGATGACGAGGCCAAACGAGATGCCAGTGATGCCCTGCAGCACGATCAGAATTATGACCAGCACCAAGGAGCCTTCATTAGGTATCTGCAGAGAGAGAGAGAAAGAGAGAGAGAGAGAGAGAGAGAGAGAGAGAGAGAGAGAGAGAGAGAGAGAGAGAGAGACTATTTTTACATGCTCAAAATATCAATGACCATAAATACTAAACATTTTTATAGTATTACAACCAACATTTAAAATATTCTACAGAGCCTACATCCTACTTTTTATTTAATTGTTCTCCAACTGTTTTTCATCATTGTGAAACCATAACAAAACAAATGTTGAGGATGACTAATTTTTACTTCTGCCACAGAGGGCAATCATTGTCTGAGTTCCACTTCCCACATTAATTTATGCTGTTTACAAGTTCATTATTAGAAGGTAGTTCAGCTCAATTTATGTTAAAATACCCTTTGCTCCCAGCAGTCTTTCGAATGGACACAATGTTAAACCAAACTGGATATTAAAAAGCAGGTTTTAGAGTAGGGACATATTTTTCACAGTGAAACTTTTACTTACACCATTACTAAGAATCTTTTATGATTTGTGTCTATCTACAGGCACAATCAGCACATGTCATTTACTCAGTAACATCATTAACTAACCTGTGTTTGCCACGTAAGTACACTACTGACTGGTCGGGTCCCAGTTAGATAGCCTGAAGCCACAGATTTCATGTTTTGCTCTCTGGGGAAGGGGAAGTTCTTTTTATTTTATTATCTGACAAAGTCAGAATTTGCTCAAAATGCGCTGCACCAGCTTATGGCATGGTGCCACAAGTTTAGTTTAATTTGGTGCTCGCACTTTTTGCATGGTTGATTGGAAAGTGACACATGACTGCTCTCATCTATTGTACCATAAGTCTGTTAACAGGTGTTGGGGAGTAAGGCTGCTGCATATGTGAAAAATGTAGTACAAAGCCTTTAGTGTCTTTAGTCTGCCTTAAGTGATGTCACTTGAGTCAGCGCCAGTTGGAGGAGGAGACTACAACTTTGAAAATGGAAAAAAAAATCTTGGAGTCTAGTGTTAGAAAGAAGTGAGTTTACCAGACCTCTCTATCCCACTCCTCATTACTGCTCGAGGCTAGCGGCTTGAGGCTACATTAGCTGCTACTGGCATAACAAACCCGAATCTCCGACTGAACCATTAGTGGGCACTTTGCATTGTGGGTAATGTAGGCGCCAGATTTTAACAAGGAAGAAAAATGGAACATAACAGACAATATATTTGGTTCTGCTGCATCGAATTTGATGCCTTTTTAAAAACTGTCCACCGTCAGTCCAACACTGAATTATAGTGTGAGTGTAATGGTAAATCAGCAGGGTGCTCTTTAAAGGAACATGAAAACAGATGAGAAGCTAAGATCAAGGGAAATGGAGAAAGAGATAAAGGGAACGAGGGGGAGACCTATAGAGACAGAATCACTCTGATCTTCTACACTGATCTTCAGCCAAAAACACTACAAGACATGAAAAGAAAAGTCACTGCTGCTGATTAAGTTTGGTTGTAAATCACACAGAGAGAGAGAGAGAGAGAGAGAGAGAGAGAGAGTGTAAACAGAGCAGAGGTGCTGCGCAAGACGTGAAACTATTTAAAACTATTTAAAAAAGAAAAGGTCTGCAAGTCTCAGAAGATTCAAGGTGATTACTCTTAAACTTGAGTCGAATCCGCAGACATCTGTAGGACTGAGTCTCCTGTGTGTGTGTGTGTGCGCGCACTTGTCCTCAGTGTGTTAAGACACTATCCGTCTCCCCTGACAACGTGCAAAAATAGACCTGCACCGAGAGGCCACATGACTGCTCGGTTGCCACAGCAATCAAGGGCTGTTATCGTGGCAAACCCACAGTGATCCCTGGATACGGCCAACGCTGGGAGTGATTTATGCAGCGGTGGTCTCTTTGGACTTCAGCACCTTAATTAACACACACATGAACGCTCACACACACACACACACACATTGACATACAGGGACGACAGCACACACCCATAAAATCCTGTGCCTGCCTGGACTCAACACACACACACACACACACAAATGATATCAATCCTCTCTTGCCTTCTCTCTGTATTGATTTCATACACATGACTATTGAAAATCAATGAGGAACAAAAGCCATATGTTCCCACTGGTTGGTTGTTCTCACAATAACCCTAACGCTGCTGACCTTCAGAGTCTCCCACAAGATGATTTACACCATATTTCTTCTCCTGTACACATGTCGCATGAACATTTTACCGAAAACAACTGAACACAATCTTGGAAAATAAAAGGTCTGTTTGCTGGTTAAAATGAATTCTTAACATAAATATGGCTCCAGTGTACTGCAGGTAACGTCAGAATTTTGACGAGGTAGTAAAAATGCTAATGAGCAAGGTAATTTGTGACACATTAAACTTCAACGAGTCAAACTCTCCACAAACCAAATCATATTAGGAATGCAGTGACCTTTTAGGGGCTCTTGGCTCTTTTAATGAGCCTCCCAGTCTCAGAAAACGGCTTAAACAGCAACTTTGGTAGTTAAATAGTACAGGAAATATAATCACGTGTCTACATCAAGACTTCAAATTAACACGTAACTGGTCTCAATAATGTTTAAACAGGATCGACACTGAGGTCTGTTTTCCCCAACAGGTATTGGCATTACAATGAAGAGCAAATGTTTAGGGAAACAAACAGGTAGGTAAATGGGTACCTATGTGTCTGTGATAAAAAACATTGAAACAGTCAGCTATGTTTATATAATCAAACATTTCTTTAGGACTTTATTTCTATCGAGAAATACTGCAGATCTTATGTTTGCTGCTGCAAATACCACTTTCCCGATCAATAAAGTCTCGTCTTATCTGAAGAGTATGTGTGTTTGTGCTTGTCTGTTTTATTGCCTGCGTCATGTGGACGAACCTTGAAGACGAGCAATATGAAGAGGAGCAGCAGGAGGATCTGAACGCTGATGACAAAAAGCTGAGAGAAGAGGTGAGCCAACATCGTCTCCAGAGAGCTCACACCTGGTGGAGAGACAAAGACACACATAGAGAGAGAAAGAGAGAGAGAAAAACAATGCATTATTATTCAGTTATAAGCTCTGTGCAAATGCTTTTAAGATACCCGAAGAAAATCATCAATAACCCAGGTTCATTCAGTCTCTTCTTAATCTAAATAGCTACAACAAAGCAAAACAGTTTTTTTATAATTACAAAATTTGCAGCTTCCTATTAAGTTATTAATCACGTAAAGCTATAAAATCAATAATTCATAATGAGTAAAAAAAAAAAAAAAAAACTCCCTCAGTGAAGTCTGCTTGCTGGTAAACATCTTCACATCCTGCTCTGATCATTTTACCCCACCTACTGGTCTAATCTTAAACTACATGTGAACTGCATGTTGATTAGATTCAGTTTAAAATAAAGTCTATCACAAACGCTTCATTGCCTACACAAGGATTTTAATTAATCTACAGATTTAGGGCAAATATTTTATGCATTATCTCCCCCAAAAGGTCCAAACAAACTACCCAATCAACCAGAACAGTGTTATAGATATGCACTTTTCGAGGATGTCTGACAATTTTTTTTAAGTAAAAATCAATAACTGCACAGTATGTTTGCTGCATGTGTCTATTTGAATATGAAATTCTATCCCTTTTATCAAGCTAAAATCTACAAAAGTATTTATTTCTACCGTTAATAACTAAAACCATCTTATTTGGAGGCATTTTAAGGAAAAAAAGATCATGTCTCAGATTCACTAGCCACACTACTGTATCATGTTTCATATGTTTGGGTTTTTTTGGTCTTCCAGTGAACTCTTTGCCTCCCCCCGTTGCTGTCCATAACACACAGGTTGAACAAGTTTCCTCCAATAAATATTAAGGCATGCTTTAACTTGGGAGTGCACATGAATATTACATCTATAGCAAGGAGCAACAACACATTTACAGGAGTCATTGGGAGCAAACAGACAGATCCTGTTATTGTTTTTCCTGTTTTGCAGTGAACGGAAGAGTTGTCTCTCTGACCGAGTTGCAGCTTTTGAGTTTGTGTGGCACGGCGGGAGCAGTGTGAACTTCTCACCTGCGACCCAGCACCTGTCCAAAAGCCCCTCCTTCCTCTCCAGGACAAAGGAGAGAGCAGTCAGACCCACAGCCAGGTAGAAGGTGATACTGGAGGGCCAGAGAGGACGAGGAAGAGGAGGAAGAGAAGAAACTGGAGGTTAAACGGCTGTCTTCCTAGAAAGGGTTGATGGTTCAATCCCCGACCATGACACCACTAATCATATATAACACTCTTTACCATAAGCAACATGTGTTTTAATACAATCTTAAAAACAAACTGCAAATAAATAAACAAGGACAGTGAAAAGTCAATAACTTCTCTTATTCTGGTAGCTACTGTATTGATCGATAGCAGCTGTCTGACCACATACCACAGCACACTGACCTGAGTACAGCTCCAGGTGTCACAAATGTTGTGAAGTCTGTGTTTTGGCTGCCATAGATCGGCTTTTCAAACTGCAAGACGACAGCAACACAAAGGATTTAAATGAACTTGTTCTGCAGCAGAAACAGGCAAACACATACAGATATATGTATTGTTGTCAACTTGTTTAAGTAGTGTCTTTTTTTAAGATAGCAATACAAACATTTCTCTGTTGTTGTTATACTCCTTCTTTATTGTTTTATTCTTCCATAAGCTGTTATTTACCTTTATTGGCAGGTCGACCAGGTACGACATACTTTTCAACTTACTCTCCACAAAAGCCTGTGAATGGAAGGACAGAGTAACAACATTTATCAATTTCAAAAATATTTATAGTAAGGATGTTGCCAGGCAGATAGTAACGTTTACTGTATTAAGGCTTGGCAATAATTCAGTACTATTTTTTATCAACTTTTAACCTAATCATGATGTCATTTCAAAACTGTAACTAAAAAGCAACAAAATGTGTTATTGAAGCTTATGTTTGGTCTTGTGTAATGTGTAATAGTAGAAACCACTTAGGGGCCTTGAGGATCACTATATACTATTGATATCGGAACCATAATGCTACCCCAAAACAAGACGTGTTTGTTTTTCTGGACTTGCTGTTTGTATCCCTCAGACAACGTCTGAATATTTGCACATGGCTCTAGTCGACAAAACAAACAGCAGAAAACACATTTATTTATACCTGAAAGGCCTCATGTAGTTTCTTCTTCAGCATAACAGCAATTTGTTGATCTAGACAAAACATAAACAGCAAACAACTTCAGCTTTGCAGATTCACAGGAGATCCTAACTGTGTTTAATGTGTTATGTTAATGTATATATTGTGTATATTTTGTTATATTTTTGGGATATTTAAGTTCATTTACAGTAGCCTACATGTTAATCATCACAATTTAATATACATATAAGGCAGATTTGAAGAATTTAATTCCAAAGCAATGTATAAGGAAAGTTTTTACAAAACCCCTGCTAGAATATTACTTAAGTTATAAACTTCTTTAAATTGCACTAAGGAGTTTATTGCCATGTTTTGTAATGGCAGTTATTCAATACAATTGTAGTGAAATTGACCCATTTCAGCAAAAAGACCACAAACTATCAGAAGGGTTTGCATCTTACTTGTCAGGTCCAGCCAGACGTGCACTGATCCCCCATCAACCACTTCTCTAGAAACATGTCGCTCCATCATCCTGTAAAATCAGGGACATAATCTGAGTTTGCTAGTCTATTTAACATTCAGCGACAATCAATACAACTGGAATTCAAATGTTGAAACACAAACGAAAATAATATTGGAAAAAGATGCTGAAGATACAGAGTTTATAAGACAGATCACAGTAGATTTATGTGGTGATAAAAGGGCAAAATATACCACTTATGAAGGTTTTCCACTAAAAATATGAATATTCTTAATTGAAAACATACAACCTTCTATAGGTAAAATGCACAAACAGTTCAGGTTTTGTGTTTTGATCTACAGCATGTCTCAAATATTCCTCAAAGGGTGGGGATGAGAAATAACTCAGTAAGTTTTTCTAAGCATGTAGGATAACCAAGAAAGTGGCAGCTCTTAAAACTCTTTTTATTTTGCATTCATTCGTGACAGCATGACCTCCAAGCTAATTAGTTTACAAAGCTATGTGACTACAGGCTGGTCTCACTAATCTAAATAAAACTTGGAAGGTTAGCTGGGCTCATTATTTCTCTGACACAAACAAAGCAATGCCCGTGGCCCTGTTGAGACATTGAGTATATTATAATGTATGCAATTTAGGAAATGTAACCTTGTTTAGGAGCCAGGCCTTGAGTTTCTTCCTGCTTCAGTGGACATGGATTTTAATTGGCTTGCTCGCCGTATTTGTAACAAACCCTTTAAATATATTTGCAATAACCTCCATGTCCTGTTCCAGTGTTTGTGTTTGTAGGAAGTCTAGAATATTTCCATCTGTACAACAGCTCTGCAGGGCTCCAACTAATAATTTCATTATCGACTAATCTTCTAATTATCTGCCCCAAAGTGATGTCCTCACATTGCTGTTTGTCTTCGAGCAGCAGTCTTAAATTCAAAGTTTATAATCATAATAACTCCTTACCCATCATGCCTTGTCCACCCAATGATTAACAGATAATAAACAGAAAATAAAAAAAACTTTATGAATTCACATCTACTTTAAGTAAGCGACACACACACACACACACACCCGACCCTCCACGTGATGTAAAAGAAAACGTGATCCATCTGACCAGGCCACCTTCTTCCATTCACAATTTGGCCCTTGTCAAAGTCGCTCACATCCTTACACCCATTTTTCCTGCTTGCTGCCCAATATATCCCACCCACCGACTGGTGCCACGGTAATGAAATATTCAGTGTTTTTCACTTCACCTGTGAGAGGTCATAATGTTATGGCTGATCCGTGTAACTCTTAATCATTTTCACATGACCACGAGTAAAAATACACCTTTTGTTTTCCGTCACATGAATCAGTAAGAATGAGCTATGCTGTGACCTGCCCAGGTGTGTTAGGGACAGGAAGGACCAGACCGTCTACCCAGGCATCTCACACACACACACACAGAAATACACACAGTGTACACAGAACTTCAATTCACACCTAAAACAGAAACTCATGCCCTTCACCCTCCAGGATTAACTCATCGACTCACAGATAAAAATCCTGAGGTGTGAGTTTTTTTTCGTTGCGTGTGCTTACTCTACCTGTGTCAAAGACAGCTGAAATAACAGAGAGTGAAAGTAAAAAAGTGTTCTTCATCTGCATTTCAGGAAATTCTAAATAATTCAAGTTCCTCATTTTTCTCTTCAGTCAACTTTCAGAAAGCCTGAAGCCCCATGATAAAATCCTTCACTTGTTCACCCAAGTTTAAAGTTCTTTTATGCTTGTAGGAAAAATAAGGGTAACACTTTATCTTGACCACCTCTATTTAGCATTTTCTATCTCAATATACTGTAGTAGCAGATTTAACGGCATTTTTAATATGTTTCCTTGTGTGTAAGTTGGTCTCTGCTCTGCAGCTGGTCTGCTTTTGCATGCGTCACTACAAATTCCTTTGATGTACAAAAACACATTCCTCTGTATTCAGCATTGCATTGCAATGCAAACATCATACGCACCAGACTGTGCTATGACATGTATAGACAGAAACTGAGTGAACTGAATGAGGAAGGATATGCAAGTCCAGGAACAAAACTAATAGTGTTTGTTAAATGACACCAGGGGGGAGAGCAGAAGGAACAGAGACATATAGTAAAAGGTCACTGTCAAGTAACAAACATCAGACTATAGCTCCTCCTCCTGTGACCACAAACACGCTGAAACTTAAGAAAACACACGCAAATAGACTAGCAAGCACTAGCAAATTAAATAAAAAACATCTTCACCAATGTGAAACCATATGTGCAAAATTTTAAAAAAGTAAGACAATTGGTGAAGATATTTTCTTAATTTGCTTGTCTTTTGTCTATTTGCATGTGTTTTCCTAAGTTGCAATATTGTTTGGCATTTACTGATTAATTATTTGATGATCATGATTAATGATTTAATTATGATAAATAAATAATAAATAAATAAATTATGCTGTCTGTTTCTCCCACCTTTTTGTCAGGTAGCTGGTGAAGTTCTTGCCAAAGCCGATGACACCCCAGTACTCTCCGTTATAGACCCCATCAAAAGCATCCGAATGGGACAAGGGAACCTGTGGATATATAAAGAATGGACATAATTCATACATTATACACTACGTTAAAATCTTTTAAAAATCAAAGGGAATGCTGATTGACCAAACAGACATTGTGCTTCACATTTGTATCCAGTAAAACAAAACACATTTCATATGTTTTTGTACTTCACTAGAGCTGTTTTACACAGTAGATTAAAAGGTTGCGTTTCGGGGTCACACACAGAAAGAACCTTTCACTGAGTCTGTTCTGCTGTGAACAGAATTGAAACATGTTTGCTTAAAGACAAATTAAATATAACAACTGGGAGAGAGGCAGGTTACTTCCTCTCTGAAGGACTGAACCGTCCAACAGTCACTTTGAGCTCTGTAATAAAATGTTTTAATTCAGTGAGCCACAAATCAAACACACTTCTCTGCAGTCTGGTTGATATATAAAGTAAAAATCTGTCAAAATACATCTAATTCCACTAATTCCAGTTTTACAATAAATTTATCCGCTACAGGGTAAAAAAAAAAAAACTGGTGACCAAATACAGAAACTACAAACTTGCTTTCTTTGGTTGTGACGTATAAATATGAAAACAGATGGTGTGATAATGCCTGATGAATATCATGACGTCTCCCTAGGCCAAATGTATACCTGGTGCACGCTGGAGTTGTCCAGGAAGGAGAGCAGCGATTGGCTGTAAGCAGAGGAAGAGGTCTCGTTGTTCACTACGGCAACCTGGATCCCATTTGGGTCTCCTCCAATACACAGACAGATCAGAGAGACCTGAATGACGGGCAGCAAGAACTGGAAACACAAGGAGCTGCGAGCAAAGGACAGAGAGAGTGACGTTAGTAACGCTGCAACCAGATGTGCTACATATTACTATTAAATACTATGAACTACAACATACCCAGGCATTCTTTTCATCCGCACCATAGTTTTGATGATCAGGGCAGCGATGTTTCTCCACTTCGGCAGCACGTGTCTGGTTCGCACCTTCCAGTCCGCTAAACACACACAACAAGTACACACTCTAAAAAGGTTGCAAAAAGGTTGCAAACAAACAGTAATTCCAGTGGTGGTAATGTAACCAAGTACATGTACTGAAGTACTGTACGTAAGTACAAATGTGAGGTACTTATACCTTATGTGAGTTTCTTCTTCTCATGCCACTTTGTATTTCTACTGAGCTGCATCTCAGAGGGAAACATACTATTTACTTCACTAAATGTATTTGAGAGCTTTAGTTTAAAGCATATAAATTAAGATTTGTGCATACAAAACATATGAAGAGATTATAAAATATAATGTTTGGTCATAAATGAAAATACCCAACATTATGTAAGAAACGCTGAAACAATAAGTCGATAAATAAATTACTCGATTGACAGAAAATGTATTTGCAACCAAGTAATTTTTCATGTAAAAAAATGTCATGGTTCACAAATGTTAAGATTTGCTGCTTTTCCTTTAAATTATTTTTATTTATTTTTAATGATTTTGAGGTTTGCACTGTTGGTTGGACAAAACCAGCACTGTGAAGGTGTCACTTTGGGATTATGACGGGTTTTCTCACTGTCCTCAGAATGTTTTATCAACCAAACAATCAATCGATTAACGGAGACAATAATCAGCAGATTAGTGTACATAACCTAATACTTAATAGTTCAAAGTGAGCTCCACCCGAACCAACTACAGCAGTAAAATCCTGCTTTTAAATTAATGCATGAGTAATAATGATCAAATATGTATTAGAACACAGTCACAGGGGACATTTATCTGAATTGAGTACTTTCACTTTTAACACATTTTCCTGATTATCCTTTTAGTTGTGTAACATTTTCAATGCAGGACTTTTACTTGAGTATTTTTAAAATGTGGTATTAGTATTTTTACTTCCCTCCATCTCTGAGTAACTCAACAGTTTTTCACATTGCTCAGTGTTTACATATATCCCATGCCACTAATATATTTACCACCCCACAAAAACAGGCAGAACCGCATGTCAACATGTCGATTTAACTGCTGACATGATGAATGAATTTCCACACAGAGAACAACTGAAATAACATTGACGTCAAAACAAAGATCCTACTTAGCCAAAGACGCCAACTGTGAGGTGTTGTTGTCATTCTCATTTTTAATAGCCAGGTTTCTAAAATTAGCAGAGCAGCAAATTAAACAGAGAGTCTTTTATCTCTTGGACCCCCTTGGCCACTCACAAACATTTCTAAGCAGCAATAATATGACTCAGACAGACTGGACATGTTATGAAGAGATTTCCTGATATTAAACACTGCAGTAATGATTTCAGATAATGGTCATATTTGTGTTTTGGAATATAATGAACTGAAATAATACATGTACTGCATGTTTCAAAATAGCACCTGAATATTTGGGAACTTCCTCTGCCGCTCCTGGTCCGACCCCGAGAATTGGCCGACTCTCGTCCCGCCCGCTCTCGAATGACTCCAGCTGCCCACCCTGCGGACTGGACCGTTTAGAGTCGATCTGGTCCGACGTCTCACACAGCTGGAGGAAGGCGTGCTCCAGTGTCTGCAGCAGAAGATAATGTGGGTCAACAGTGATCAGACTACCAATATACATTATATATATTTTTCGTTCTCCCCTGCTTACTTTTTTGGCCCTCCTACATGAAGCTGAATCTGAACTAAGAATCAGACTTCTATCTCACTTTCTTCTTTCGTCATGCATATTCGAGGCCTCACTTTTGTTTTAATCAACATGCATCTAATTCTTTTTCATATCTTTAATGTAATACTGAAAATAAAGCACATTGTATTGCCATTGTTCATGAGATGTGCTACAGTATGAATAAAATGTTTTGCTTTGTGGTCACATGATCGACCTCCCTGCCCTGACTACCAGCACTCCTGGGTGGCCATACACCTTGTGTGGGTTTTAGTACTCACTGATGCATTGTGCTGCTTCATGACTGCGTCTGGAGGGCCTTCAGCCAGCAAACAGCCGTTTCTCATGAGGCCGACCTGGAGAAATAACAGGAGTGTTGAGCCTGATTTGGAGAGAATATTTGTTCACTTAAATTGTTATGTATGGGTGACGTACTTGTCTTTTAAAACAACAATGTGGGCAGAACGTTGCTGCTCAAGTATGTATATGTGAAGAGACACTAAATCAAACAACAGATCATGGCACCTGTACATGAATCAAAACTTCAATCCCAATCCATACCTACCGCCTCAAAACTGTTTTAAAAAGACACAACATCTAGTCTATGTTTCCACTCCAATAAAGAAAAAAAAAGCATAAATAAAAACCCTCTCCAAAAATTAGGTGGAACATTGCTTTTTATAGCACTGTGCACACCAGACAACAACAGCACACAGTAACAACATACAATGACGGACAACTCTACACTCTCAAGCCATTTCAGCAAGGCCTTTAATTGAAGGCAGCTATATGGCTGAGGGTAGGTAGTTTTCAAAGTCTGGGACTGTGGGCCTCCCCTAAGACAAAGCTTAGAAAAAGGCGCCCCCTCACCCCCCCTTAGTTTAGTTGGTTAGTTTCGCTCAAGTCCTGGATGCCTTAGGAATCATGATTATGTGACTACACCAAATACATCAAAAGAGGTCTGTCCTATTTATTGTTTCTGACTCTGGGAAAGAAATACCAAAATTCTTTTTCTCTGAGCTCTGACTTTAACCAAATCACATACATTTAGGACATGCTGATCTTCTTTTGATGACTGATGATATATTTTTTAACTGAGCTGCCACAGGAACAGATTGGAGCCCGCCGTGGGGAGGCTTGTCTTCCACTTTGAAAACCTCTGGCTGGGGATCAGGCTTTTCTCAAAGCGAGCCCTCCTGCCCCACTGTGCTGCACCCAGAGGGAAGTAGGGTAAGATGGTGCTTGAGTGGGTGTGTGATGTCCTGTGCTATTGAGGTTTCAATGCACGCAATGTTTATTTCTGTTAGGTTGGGTGTGGGGAGACTAATTATCCTCGCGGTGGTGTTTTTTTATGTGTGTAAGTTCGGCCTGAAATTAGCAGCAGAAACAGAACAGTAGGAGTGGCTGAATAATGCCCTGATACAACAAGAGGAGGATATGTGGGGCAACATATAGTCCTTCAAGATCGTTACATGAATGGAATAGAAAACATTTTGGGGAGCGCTACTGACCATTAACAGCCTACGTTACTACATCCCAGTCCTTTCAGTGAAGCTGCAGAGTTCACACACGCTCCAGCTCTGTAGGCTAGTCAGTAAAATGTTCAAATTCAAATTCAATGTGAGCATGTGAGCTAAGAACATACAAAATGTAAAGCAGTTTTAGAGTCACATTTCTCCCCTTTTGGTGACTAACTTGGAGAGGGAGATCAATCTGTCTGACTCCCAGGGGAAGCTAATAAGCATATTTCCCCAACATGATGAACTCGGAGCACTCGGTTTTATGGTCTTTCTTCTACAAAGAAGATTACTGGTGAAACAATGACTGGCTCATGATTCATGGAACGGCAGGGTTTATGCTGCGCCAAGCATTAGTTTGAGCAGCAGTGAAGGTGGTTTTAAATGTACTGTAAAATGTGGGGCTATTACTGTATGTATAGAGTCCATGTCCTTTATACTGTTGTTCTTGTGCATGACCAACTAACTATCAGTGGTATTTTGACATGATTCTGACTGAAATCTGTGACTTTATGTGCTAAAAAGAAACCAGAAAATGTAACGGCTCTCTGGTGAATGTATATCATGTGTTTCTACATTATTTCCTATTCTCTCTCTTCACACTGTCTGTCGAGATACAGTTTGTCGGTTGGGTGTCAGTTCAGTCTATGCAAAGTTTTCAACAGCTGCAAAGGTCCAATGTCCAAACCGATCATTTAATCTATCACACCATGATCATATGATAAAGATTATGTAGCCAATAAACCTCTTTCAAGTAATTACCTTTCTAGCAATTCAGTTTTATGTTTGTCTGCATACAATGTGGCTTGACCATTATTAATCTGTGTTTATTGAACAAACCACAAGTATCAATGTCACCAAAACATATAATTTTACACAGACTTGATGGACATGATCTACAGTTACAGTTAAAAAATCCCATGAAAAGAATAATACCAACAATGTGTTACTCCATTTGTCAACACTGTCTGACTTCCCTAACCTGTCTGTGGCACTTTGTTGCTACTGAAGGTGTAAATATTTGAAATGGGTCACAAATTTATTGTTTCGTTTAAAAAAAAAAAAAGGGGGGGCTAAGTAATTTCCTAAAAATGATGAGCACTGTAGATTTTAGCATATTTTTCTCAAACAGGAGCAAATTATGCATTTGTTAGGGACTATTTTCAGTCGCACATTTGGTGCACTAGTATTTACAGCAGCAGGACGTTGCATGTGGTATTGACTCAAAATAAACTACAGTGTGTCTGTACAGTGTGTGTGAAAATGTTATCCAGTGCAACATTAATGGAGCTCTATGGCACAGAGGAATATGATATATCTGGATACACACTATTTGTTCGTAGGATCAGTTCATAGAGAAAAATCCAGATGTATCCTTTAAACTGATTTATGAAACTGGTTCTTTAGATGTATAAAACCTCTTGAAGTCCACTGGATCGCCTGCTTGAGCTACTTCTAAGCTGAGATCAAACATACAAATTTGAATGTTTAAACTTTTGTCAGTATAGACATGCTACACATTGTTAGATCAGTTAGATTCTCTATAATTCAATAGTTTGGTTAATTTTATGGAAACAATAACCCCCAAACTCTAATTCACTCAGTTTTACCAGCATGGTAAACAGGAGAGATGGAAAAGAAGCGATGACCTCCTAACTTTGAAGTGGTCGTAAAGTCTGAATGTGTGACTATTCCTTAATTTTTTTATATTCATATAATCTGTTAGGATCCACCGATCAAAAGAATCAAAACGTATTTTCATAAAAATCAGTCCAAGTTGTGAATACTGTCATGTAAAGTCCATCGCTCACTGTCTGCTAACTTCCTGCACCGTGTTGTTGGGTATACTTATCTTTGTTACCTTGCTGCCTACAAAATAAAAGTGCCTAAGCTGTCTGTCGGAGCTTGATCAAATAAATGATTTGTCATTGATATGTTATTGATCTCTTAATTTTTATACAAGTAATATTCATAGCGGTTGAACTAAACAATTTGATGTTAGCCTATTTAACATCTTTGCTGAGGAAGAGTTTTGTACGAAAGGAATTAAAGGCCTGTCCCAAATATAGGAAGGGTGAGTTCAGTGGTTTAAGCAAATAAAAGCCCAGGCTTCAACTCAATCAACTGAAGTTTTACGGTAGTAACTGAAAATTTAAGCAAACTTTTTGTTTTGTCCGTAAAATGAAGACACAAGAGAGCTTCTATACAAACTCTATAGGATGTCTCTCATTCAGTGTGAACTTTTGTTCTTCCTGTAAAAACTAATAAAGAATAAACTTGATCTGATATGTCAACAGTGCAGATATGAATAGACTCATTGTTTTTCTATAAACAGGCGAAACATTAGGACTAGTGTGGATGCAATGCTTTGTTCTATTGATTTTGCAGCCGGAAGCCCTGATCCTTGTTTGTGAGTGTGAATTTATGCTTAATTGTCCTCGTGTGTTTACGTACATGCACATGGGCTCTCTGTGCGCATGTGTGTGTGTCCATGCATGTATGAATTGTCTCACCACATTGGCTTGCCTCGCCTCCTCTATGTAGTGTGTGGTGATGATGACAGAGACTTTCCCCGTCTTCACAATCTCCACCAGATGCTGCCAGATCCTAGAGGAAGGAGACGGAAGAAACCAAACTCATGACATAACACTTGACCCACTTGTTAATAGATTTTTCCTAAAAGCGTAAAAAGCTCACAGCTTCGCCAGCACCAGTTTGCCTGCCAACCGTCTGACCTGACCTTTGTGGTGCTATTATACAATGAGATTAGAACAACACACTGAGGGAGGGCCGTACGATTTCAAAAAGGTTTGTGAGGCTCTGAGAGTTTGTCCATACAAATTCTTTCCCAGTAATCATTGTTAGATGGATCCAGAAGTTGTGGAAACATAATTTGACAGCATTATTAATCTTTTGCAAAAAAAATCATGCTTAAATGCTAAATACATACAGTACAATACATTAATGGATCTTGGAGTTGAGCCATTCCTCCTAAGTAGTTTTTTGGACATGGTTATAGATTCTTTTATGATTTGTCAAGATTTTACAAGGCAGCATAGAAGCATCAACATTGTCGAGGTTGAAAAAGTGAAGCGTCACAAACTTTTTAAAACACAGATTACTTTGTTCTGGACACATACTGGGTTATGTTTCATTCCTTAACCTTCAACTGGATTATGCGGCAATAAGTTTTATCTGGCAGCCATGTGACGATGCTAGATAAATCTTAGGTCACAAGAAACAACGTTGGAAGAGAAAGCAATTGTTTGACAATACTGTTGGAGAGAGTTGTGGGTACCAGTTGAGTATCTACTGTTTTAAAAGGAGTGGTATTTAACCTTTTGGTATTTAACTTTTGATTACAATTTTAAGTACAATTACAGCCTATATCTAGCACAGCAACACAATTTATTGATATAATATCAATAATGTGATTACTCTGGGGTTTAGGTTATAGATTAATCAACGTTACAGTTTAAATGTTGTCCTCGTGTTTAAGGATTCATTGCAGCATAAGTGATGCGATTTTCTGAACTCATTCAACTGTTCCTGCTGAATAAAATGTCTCATGTCTCTACTTGTGATTTTTTTCACTGCTTCATATCCCGCTGATTACTTTTGACACGTGTCATCTTTGTCTCTCAAAAGGTTTTCTGCGACTCTCTCCTTTACGTTTGTAAATCACAAATGCTATTAAAATGAAAGAAAGGCCTGGAAGGAAGCCCTACTGCTAAACACTCATTATTAATCACAAGAGATATTTGCCAGTATAATTCAGATTGTCTGTTAAGTTCACTACTAGCTGGATATAGTCTGTAAATGTATGTAAATCTAGTGTCTCCGTTTAGTTTCTTATGTTTTTATGAGGGAATGTGTGAAATTATATGAAATGTGTAAATGATCTTGTTAAACAACAGCGCAGTATTTTTCCGAGAGTGACATAAATTACAGAACAGCCACTGGGAAGAAATAGCTATGAGTGTGTGTTACATACTTGGCCCTGAGCACAGGGTCCACTCCGACTGTCGGTTCGTCCAGGATGAGCAGCTCTGGGTTCTGAAGCAGAGCCGCTCCGAGAGACACCCTACGCCTCTGACCCCCACTGTAACACACAGAAAACAAGTGAGAAAAAAAAGTCACAAAGATAAAATTTCTCCCACAGTCCTAAATGTTTTATAACTGATGGCACCTCACATCTATGCATGCCACTCACTCCCAAGGGAGGTGCTGGCAGGCAAAAGTAGCAGTAGAGACAAAACCTGCGAGACGAACCTGCCTGACAACACGGAAGAAAACAACAAGACTTGAGGGAGGGATGATGGGAGGAATGGGCATTTTGACAAATGTTATTTTATTGATATTATCTAAAAATGTAAATAAATTTTAATGCATCCCAAATTATCAGACTGATACCACAGTGTGTTAAAGACAAAATGATATGAAGCAGAAACAGACAATGAGTGCCACATTGTGTGTTTTTTCATTCCACGAATAACTTTCATTTTATTTATCTGGAACAGTTTCAACAACCTGTGTGTCACGTAAAGCTGCAGCAGAACAAGTGAGGAGAAAGCTACAACTTTTTTACAGTATCTCTCAGTCCAGAGTAACCTGGATTCTAGATAAAAAAGAAAGTCAAAGGGTAACTTAATGATTAAAGCAGAGTTCCATCAGAAGAATTTGGTGAAATGCCAAATACAAAATTTTAATTATATATCACTTTGTTTCCTTGTATGGCTTGTGAACTAGGCTTTTTGTACAACTTCCTCTTCTGTAGAAGAGATACAAATGTAAGTAGCTTATAGTGGAAGTTCAGCTGAGTGGAAAGTTTTTCTTCCGCAACAGAGAAGCTACAAGCTGGCAGAAATCTCCGCAGCAGGAAGTTTGCATCAATCAAAGCTTGGCAGATATGATAATTTGTTCAATGTGACAATAAACATGTTGGATAGTGCACACAGAGCTGCCAATCAGGTCATTAGATGGTGATGCAAACTGGCGTGAGGCTGAATGTAGAGTCTCAGCCTCGGTGCTTTATTTTGGTGCACAAGTTAATAATTTGTAATGAGAAAAAAAGCACAAGGAGAAGCTTCTTTACAGAACATGAGCTGCACGGCACACAGCAATATACAGATACATGATATTTCCTCAAATTAAACTTTGAGGATTAGACTTGAGGACTTTGCCCGGCGTTGCCAGACAGGATGTAAAAATTGTTCTTGTGAAAATGGGGGTCGCTTTTTGTACTATTTGAGCTGTTTTCCCCTGATGGAGAGTTAAAGATACAGAAGTGAATCTTTCCCAGTTATTATGATTGGGACTGACAGGGCAGAGAGTTCAGTAACGCACTGCGACTTATCCCAAATGACAGATAAATCCATTTTATAGTTCATTAGCCTGCGTTGACAAGTCTTTCCAATTAAAATTATGAATTGGTTACAAAGTCACAGCTCTGTAAAAATCTATTATAAGTGATGACTTTTTATGTTTATTTTAACATCATCCAAAACACTTGGCGGAGATAACTTTTAATTACTGTAACCAGTGGAGCGTTTAGACCCAAAACTTTATTTTTCATCTTATCTGACCAATTTACTACCCAGCACTACACAGGACAAATCTAATCATGTTACTGAGGTAAAATGTTTGCTGTTTTATTAGTGACCAGGATCTGTGTGTATTATTTTAAGAAGGTCATCACACACAACCCAATACAGACTTTAAAAAAACAAGTCAATCATAGTATTGCAGCATATAAAGCCACTACTCCCAAATTAACATTTTAAAATGATTGGACTGCTTGGTGTCAGTCAAATCTGGAAACAATCACCGCCCGCCTCCCTACCAGACAAAGTCATATTGTTTTGTGGGTGCAGGGTTTACAACCTGTAGAGGAGAAAGCGATAATGCTTGACTGTGTTTGTCTGAGTGTGCACATTAAATCAGGTTATTGAGGTGTCAAAGTACACAGACATCACGTATCTCACTTCATTAACTGGCTGTATCTAGAGATATACTGCATTTGGCTTCAGCTCACCAGTCCTGAATCTAACCTCTATAAATCATCATCTCTGTGTTTCACTAAGCACAAATTACTGACCTTTAGGTAAGTGGTTTTACAAACAACTTCTGGTGTAAATGCTGCGGCAATGAAATGGACCAACAATCAGTCTTGCATACAGTATTATGTTCCCAAAAAAACAGACCTAAATCACTGCATATTAAACTCATTCTGTCACCTCCTACATGTGGTTTTACCTGAGATTTCGGACCAGACTGTGCTTCTGAGGTAGATCCAAGATGTCAACGAGGAAGTCCATGCGTGTCTGGGTTTCCCTCCACGTCAGGCCGTGGATTCGGCCATAGAAAGTCAGGGTGTCACTGATGGTGAACTCGTTGTACAGCGCCAGGTCCTGTGCAACGCAAAGACAAGGTTTTAAGAGGTTGTATGTGTGTGGATGTTTAATCATAGATGTCACAGAATTTATCAGACAAATTCTGCTTTACCTGAATAAATTACACCTTAAAAGTGGTCAGATTTGTTCTTATATCAAATTTGATCGCAGAATAAATAAAGAAAAGTACAAATCAGAGCAAATATTTGATTCCAGCTTTTGGTACTTCACAGTTGACTCTAAGCCACGGACACATTTCAATCAGTACCAAAAAAGCATTAAAATTAATAACCAGCCCTAGTCTTATGACATCTCTCCCAACAGTCCCTTGCTCATAAATTGACAGATAAAAAAACTAAATGTCCAATGTTGTATCTAAAAACTAAATATGTAACACAATACTGTTCCATCACAAAAACAAACATTTCAATAGCTTGGGATAAATACAACTACAATATTACACCCAAAGATAAACACAGTAGATTTACTAAGGTAGTGTGTGTTTTATTTCATCCTGCAGATCTGTATCAGCGCTGCTGCCTTCTGAGCACTTAGAGACCTTTGACTGATTTTCTTAGAATACCTCTGTCACAGAAAGGATTACTGCAGGCATTTCTTGAGTTACTATTTAATCTTGAAGGATTAAGGTCTTAAGTAATGGTTCATGAGCACATTTTCCCGTAACAACAAATAAGTATTTTCTTTTTTTTTTTTTTTTTTACAGTATATTGCTAGTCTCTCTGTTTGAGTCAAAGGTTTCAAGTCAATGAATTTCTCTGCATCAGACAACACAAGCCATGTTCACCACAGCAGTGCAGCAGTTACACCCCAGGGATCAGATGAAGGTGTCATGTTAAAGGCTTTGTATTTGCAGGAAGGGATAAAGTGTCCCATTTCTTCTCCTCTGGGGTCACAGATCACTTCCTGAAGGGACAAATGTGATGCTACACACAGGTTATCAAGCTTTATCAGATATCCAGTTGGACTGCAGAAACACTCAGGTACAGGTCACTGACTGCAACAGAGGCTGAGTTAACCTCTTGGAAACAGACACCTAAAATAACATACCCAAAATTAATCAGTAATAACAGGCCTAGATGCATAATTCTGGATTATTTATTGTGAAACTCAGCTTAAACATTAATGTAATCAAATCAAATATAAAACCAAAGCTATTTGCCACTGCCAGGTCTTTACCTTTTATCTAGCTTGTTAAAACAAGTTAGAGTCCAGAGCCACGATCATAACATCCTAACAGGAACCTTCTGTGCAACAGGTTAACATATATAAATCTGTTTTCTTGATTTTCTTTTCTGATAAGGTTTCAGCAAAAACAGTTTATGTTAAGCAGCAAGTGTCCCTGTTGAGTGAGGTGAATTGTTGTGGTGGTGCTCGCCTCATGCACACATCCGCCCGCTGCCAAAGTTGAATTGTCTTGAACTTTTTGTATACGACGTGCAGCACAAATTATTGGAAGAGAAACTGACCCTCGCTATTTGTGAGTTTCCAGAATCTGTTACTGTTTACTAAATGACATCCACAGGAGGGAATTTGCATGGCAGAGCATCCCCGCAAAACTAGATGAAGGCCTATCAGGTAACATTAGTCTATAATTTTAACATAAGTTAAATAAGCTACAGCTGTGTAGTGCACAGAAGCCGTTGCCATGGTTACTATCCATAGAGCGCCTCCATTTACTCGCGGTGCCCTTGTCTCCCTGTCTGTTCCCCTGAGGAGTGCAGAACACCCCCGCGGGGCCAAGCGACTAAGTTGTGATTTTAAGAACGTTCCTAAGGCCAACATCTTCCCCAGTATTAATCAGCATGCAGCATGTAGCTATCCACTTCGCTATGGCACCTGATCGCTGGTCTTACTTTTGTTTATCTTCAATTTGAGAGAGAAACGAAACCTAAGAGTTCAGAGGTATTGCGCAATACCAAGATGAGGGCCTCAGATATTTATACACACAGAAAACAGCTGCTTTTGGACTGAAAACAGCAATAATGGCAAAAGTAAGTCAGTGGTTTTAACTGTAAATGTAAATTAGTGCATTTGTTGTTATTATTACCTGGCTAATAGGTCTGTGAGTTTAGTGATTTGAGTGTTCTGAGTTACACAGCTGATCAGAGCTGGAGCTGAGCTTTCATCAGAGTGGTCGACTGCAATGTAGGATGAGAGAAGATATACCTAGAAGGCAATAACTGCAGCCATGTACAGTGATTACAGAGCAATTTATGTTGTGATATAAGTTCATTTTGATGCTTGGGGTTTGATGTGTGTTTGGTATGTATGGATAAAAATGGTTGGTTCGAAGTTCTGGCTGAGCCTCCTAGCTTCACAGAAGTGTGTGGCATGCATAGGGTGACAAAATACTAGGATCAGATGTGGATTTCTCATTTGCATTTTGCACAAAAATCAATTGTCCTACCCGGTACTACCGCTGTTATGAGCAGTGGGGTGAGAATTTTGTTTGGAAAACACACATTTTAAAAAACCTTCACTGGACAAAGGTTTAAATGTGGAGCAAGCGTAATGCTAACAGAAAGCTGCAAGGAACCTGCAGGTTTTACAAAAAGCAACCACAATTTAAGATCTTTCCCTGCCTACTTAAACCTACACTGAATTTAAGATCAGTTTAATAACCAAAATCATGAAAGGAAGCTTTCTGACTGAACATACAGCTAAGAATAAGGACAACGGGAAGTCTATTTACAGAAAATAATGACCTCATGTTAAAGGCCTTGTACTTGCAGAACATCTGATGCTTTTCCAAATATTTTATGACACTTTGGGCACATGAGTATATTTCAGTGGGTTAATCTATACAAGCAAGAGCAGTAAAGCGTTAAGCCATGTAACAAACACACATATACCTTTTAATGTGTGGAAGATACACTTGAGGATGTGCTGTTTACCTGTGGCATGTATCCGACCATCCTCCCCGGCACATCATGGCCAGGGAACGCTGGCGGCTTGCCTAACACAGTGATATGACCCCGTGAGATTTTCAGAGTTCCAACGATGCATTTCAAAAGCGTGGTCTTCCCACATCCACTGGGCCCTAAAAGGCCATAACTGCAACACAGAATCAAGAGCACAACTTTTAGTAAAGATGTAAATGTTACTGTTTATTTATCATCTGTTTTTATTGTCAACAGCATGTTGTCAGCAGATGTTGGACTTTCCTTCAAGCACACAAACAATGGTGCGTTTGTGCTGAATGGAATGAGGACCATGTTTTGAGAAACTATAGCTTCTGTACACATAACGCCAGGCATGGGGGGAGCTCAAAGAGTTCCTTATAAATATTTTAAACAAAGGAAATAGATAATGTCTATGTAAGCCCCTAAAGATAACCAGATGACTGTATTAGATAGCTCAACAGTGACTGCAGGCAACGTGACATACCAGTGCTTTTACGAGGCCCTACAATTAGATTGTGTAAGATACTGTCCAACAAAACAAAACATCACTGTTTCACTCAGAACGTCTCACTCAAGACAATGAATAAAAGTGAATGTGTATTTTATAAAATGTAAATAAATAATTATTGCTTTCAACTCTATACTGTGTTTTAATCTCAGCAGAACCACAGATCTCTGAATGTTACACGTTTTGTACCGATTTGTATTTGTGCCTCTTTGATAGAGAGCTTCTTGTGTGATTGTTGAACATCACCAACATCAACTGGAAAACTAGCAACGCTTTAGAAAGTAACCGTTCCTCCTTGAGTCTGACAAAGTGATCAGATGTGTACTCACACCAAACATAACCATAACACATCATGGGAGAATACAATGTACATAGAAGAATTATTTATAACTATAACCTTTATTTCTAAATATTATTCTTACTGATTCTCTCGCTCACTCATTGCAAAAAGACACTCAATAAAAGGGCAGTAATGTAATATCAATAAATTATCACTAACAACAAAAACAGCTCACATACACCATACCTCTAAATAAGACTCTGTATGTATTCCAGGTGCAAAACTTTATCAGCTTTGTCATCAAGCACATATCCAACCTGCTATAAAAGCTTCTTGTGACAGCCTTGTTCATATCTATCACTTTCCAGTAGATTCAGTACGTATGTACGCAGTTCGGGAAAAAGTAAACAATGTAAAATGAGTGGAAACTCTTTCTCACTCAAGGTTTTAGTTTTTCCACCAATCTTCCTCATTTCAGGAATTCAGGTATGTGTGAGTAAAGTGATCCTGTTACGTGTTAACCTACAGAAACCCTTTCTGATGAAGCTCACGCGCAGAGAAACGACAAATGACGGATGACAGACAACACTAACTAAACATGAATTTTGTATTTCAGTTCTTCTATGAACTTCTAGATCTGTATAACAGAGTCCATTCCCAATTGAGATAACATATCGTAAATGTCTTTGCAATGACGAGTTCCTTTCACTTCCCTTTGGGGTGACAGAATTTCCTGATCCAGCTTTAAGGAGCCTAACAAAGTAGATTTATTTAAGGTTAACCTGACTGTCCTGCAGGAAATTGAGGTTTTGGCAATGGATCAGTCAGCAGATACATGACAAAGGAGAAGGCGAGTAGACTTCTAGAGTTCCAGCCGGGTCCTGGACAGACACACAATAATGCCAACTGCATTTGCATGATGGGAACACATCTGCCGTCTGGGAGGAGAAGGGCAAGTCCATTGTTTGTGCCTGTTTAGTGCTACAAGGGGAGAGGTGGAGGTGTAAGGTTTCTAAATGCATCTAACAGTACATCTAATTAAACGGTAGGTGTAGTTAGCTTTTCAGCCTTTTTAATACTTCTGTTTTTATGGTTCTTTTGCGTTCTGCAACTACCACCCTGATTCCAGATCGTTTCTTTCTTTTTGTGACGTCCACTGTAATAAGAATTTATTTTAACTGACCAGACAGAAAAAAATAATCAAGCACAAGGAAAGATAATTTTCCTTTGAAGCTGGGTTTAGTTTTATAGATAGATAAAGAGATAAAAGCCTTATCAATCGAGGAACACCGTCTGAAATGCCAGCCATGATGACACACATGAGCCAGTGCGCTCCACTCACATTTGTCCCTGTGGTACAGTCAGGTTGAGGCTGCTGAGGACCTTCAGTTTGCCGTACGACCGGCACACATCTCGACACTGGATAGCGAAACCCGCATGTCCAGCGGGCAGAGAAGCCTCCAAATCAACCTTCATATTCCCCTCCTTCAGCTGGAAGACAGGACAATAGGTTGTTAAACATCAATAACATATATAATAATCTGTGGGACTGCCTGTCTGCAGCATATATTGATTATTTTCAAAATTCACTAAATGAACCGAGCAAACGGGACACAAGGACAACAAGAACTCACAAGGCTGAGACTTGATGCTGGTCTGTTTACGGTGCATCTTTAAAGCAAAAGAAAGTGTCTGTTTTCTTCCACTGAACATGAAATACTGTTTGCAGGAAGGAATTAATCTACATCAGTGTTGCTGTCATAAACTGTTCCTGCACAAAGGAAGGTTTTATATGAAGAGTCTCAGTTAAATAATGTCAGCTTGACAAAAAATGTCACTGATTTAGTAAAAAAGGGCTTCCTTTAATTGTTAAAGAGATCAATCTGATTTTCAGAGGTTCATTTTATCAAAATGTGGAGTAATGTGGAGTGGTAGAAATTTCCATTGACAATAATACTACAGTAAACAGATATAGTCAACTGACCTGCTGTGATATTTCAAAAATACAAACCGAAGTCAAAAGCAACTGAGATAATGCAGCCAGTGCATCTTCTCTTAAAACTTTACCCATTACTGGCATATTAATGCTAAGAAGGACCAAAGTTGATAAGCCTCCCTCTTTGATTTTCACATTTACCTCAGCCAGATGCAGAATCAGCTATACTGGCCAAGTAAAGGAATTTGGAGCCAAACAATAACATGTTTCTGTGATCATCCCTAAACCACCAGACTAATGTATTGTATATCATTTCATATCATATTGTATGGTTTATTAAAAGGCTCTCAACTCAGATCATTTCTCCTGATTATGTCGCCACATCGGGCAGGTTTTGTTCTACAGTAACACTGCTTTTGAGCTGTATTATGCTGCTGATTAACCACCCTAAATGTGTTAGCTAAAATGCATTTCTTTCATTACAAAATCCATCCATCCATCGTCAACTGCTTATCCTAAAAGTCATTCTCAGAAACTATAAATTAAACAACTATTCAACAACATATGCTGCCCGACTACGTTTAACTCCTGTAGAAGTTTGTAGGTCCATCAGAAGGACTAAAACAACATTACTCACTGTAAAACCATCCAATTACTAAATGGCTCCCCGATTCTGCACAAGTACTTTACAAAAGAAGAAACTACTTTGCTCTTTCACCAAAAACTCCAAGATGAATCTCACTTCTGGCACAACAACATACAGAAACAGCTTTCATTCTCTGATATTCATGGTGGTTTCCTTGCATCTTGTCAAGCTTCATCAGACAGAAGTATTTGGGTCGTAAAGCAATCCTTTGCACAGTAATCTCTAATAATGGTCTTCTTTTCCGGGTTTCCCCCGCTCTCCAACTAACTCCCTCCTTTAATCCAGCAACTCTCATTTTACAGTGAGGAGATTAGGGAGGTTGCGTTGTGTAATCTGGTGCATTCGGTTGGCCTCACCTTTGGCACTATAGCTCACATCTGCAAAATATAGGGAGAAGTCAGCTAAAATAGAGCAAATAAGGTTCTTAGCGCTTTAAAGATGTGGTATTATGCTCATTTTCAGGTTCAAAATCTTATTTAGGGGTTGTACCAGAAAAAGTTTACATGGTTTAGTTTTCAAAAAACACCATATTTTTCTCATACAGCACATTGCTGCAGCTCCTCTTTTCACCCTGTGTGTTGTACGCTCCGCTCTTGAGCTACAGAGTGATGCATCTTACTTGTACAAAATCTTTGTTGGGAGTAGCACATGCGCAGTTCCCAGGTAAGGACTACTGGCCAATCAGAAGCAGAGAAGGGCGGGTCGTAAGAAACAAGGTAGTGTGATCCAAATAAAAGCCGCTTCAGACTGCGACCGTAACCTAGTAGGTGGTATAAGTTACTCACAAGTCCACAACCACACAACATCATTGTTCCACATCTTACAATAAACCACTACAAAAATCACCATATTTCAACTCAATTTTACATAAAAATTGGCCAAACAATTTGAACGTTTGCTCAGTAGCTTTCACATCAGGTGCAACGTTAGCATTATAGCTATAACTTTATCTGTGTTAGCCAGCGTTTACAACAAGTCCGCACTTGACCAGTCTGTGAAGTTACATTGCCGTGTTTAATTGAAATATAATTCACAACCAATAAAGCATACTTACAGGTTGTGACTGTGAATTTCCAGGCCCAAACAGAGTCTGAGTTGCATCATCTTTTAGGACTAAATGTTGAAATGTTGCCGGTGTTCTGACGATCTATGCTGCCTTGTCGAAAAATTCTACCATAGCGTAAATCGATAGACTCGACTCTACTCGGCCCTGCTCCGTTTTCCATTGCAGACAGTACCCAGAGATAGTACGTAGCTTGTTGTCATAGCGACGCCTTTCGTTTCAACATTCCTCAGAATGTAAAGACAGATAAGTGGTATGAAAACCTTCCAGCTGTGTTTTCCTCTGTCGTTGTTGCTGCAGGGGTCTGTGTCACGGCGGGAGCAGAGGGCTCTGTGAGTGGGCGGCTGGCCGGCCTCACATGCTCCTCCCGCGGGTTGGCACAGGCCATCACTTCTCGTAAAACTGTCAATATTCGAAATCTACACAGTTGATTTCTCACCTCAAAACTTCTCAGAAGTGGATTTAGTGACGAAATTACATACGAAAACTGTAAAATATAAAACTTTCTGTTGCTGGCCTCTGTCTGGCGCAGCAATGATGATGCAGTGAATAGTGACGATTCTCTCTGACCAATCAGCAGTCTGTCGTTTTTTCACGTCACATTTTAGTTAGTTTAGAATCTCGATGCAGGTGTGATGATACAAAAAAAAAACATTTCTACAATGGAAAACCAAACAAAGGCGAGTTGAGCCAAAGGGCCTCCGATCAGACTAGCTTGGTTTGAGGGCGTGCCTGACCCCGCTAGCCGCTTGGCAAGCTTTCTGGCGCGTTTTCATTGTGACGTCACAAGTAAAGGAAGTGAAGGGCTGGACTACAAACGAGCTGTTTTCAAGCGGTTCAGAGCAGAGAGTTTTCTGATCGAGATGGGAACTCCCTTTGGGCTGGACTTTGGGCTTTTTCACTTTGCAAACCTGTTACATGCACAAAAAAGATATACAACTCAATAAAGGAGAGGGGAAAAGCCAAAAAGCATAATACCACCTCTTTAATATTTTACAGCTAATCAAAATTACTAATCTTACACTGTTGCAACAATGCTAGTTGCTAGATGTAACATGTCTAATTGGTCTAACGCTGCTACTGTGGGCGGGGCAGAGTGTTAGACGCAGTACATCACCCTGACCACCCTGTTGTGTACGCAAGCGCACTGCATTTTCCTGGCTTTTTAACGCCGTTGTGTTTACAAACTTGTTGCAGCTGATTGGGTAACACCTAGCAAACATAGCAAACATGCCCGTTGCAGAACGTTGCACAACATTTCAAGGAAACATGCCGTTCAATCTGAAAACGTTAAATAAACGTTTTGAGATTGAACTCGCCTCAGATATATTATACGGTAAGTAAGCATGACATAGCAAAGACTTGATGATAAAGCAAATATAAATAAGCTTACCAACAAAGCCAATTGTTTATGAACAATGTTATGGCAGACTTTTTCAAATAAAAAAAGACATTTTATATAGCTAATTTATAAAGCAAACAGATTTTTGTGAAAAGAGTCATTTTAAGTACTGGTCCTTAATTAGCAAGCTAAAATGGGCCACAATTTTAAGCTCAGATGGGCCACGTGCACACACTCTTACACAGAAGTTACACAGACGTTGAGGGTTCAAAACAGGCTCATAGGTCTATACGTTTACATCCATGCATAACCTAAACAATCTCTTTTAATTACTTTGCACACAAAAAAGACAAAAAGACACCAATACATGGAAACACACACCCATACAACATGATAAGTTCATTTTTAAATGCATTCAAATAAATATTTGTAGGAAATTTATACTGACATTATTGTCATAATGTGATGTGCACCAGCCACAACATTATGACCACCTGCTGGTCAGATTGTAGGTCTCGCTTTTGTCACTAAAACTGATCGAGGCATGGACTCCACTGTGTATGCACTGTGTGTTCTGACACCTTTCAATCAGAACCAGCATCAGCATCATCAACAACCTGACCTACAGTAGCTCGTCTGTAGGACTGGACCACACGGGCCAGCCTTCCCTCCCCACATGCACAATGAGCCTTGGCCCATGACCCTATAACCAGTTCACCGCTTTTGCTTCCTTGGAGCACTTTTGATAGGCGCTGACACCTGCAGACCGTTTTGGAGATGCGCTGACCAAGCTGTTTAGCCATCACCAATTAGGGCCTTGTCAAAGTAGCTCAAATCCTCATGCTTGCCCATTTTCTGCTTCTTAAACACACAATGTTCACTTCCACTAACAGGTGCCATGATAATGAGATAATCAGTGTTATTTACTTCACCTGTCAGTGGTCATATTGTGATGGCTCATTGGTGTATTTGCAGCATTGTTACTGTTGCACACCAAAGACAAAAGTGTCAATTTACTGCTAAAATTATATTTTCTCTTCACATTTAACCTGAACACTGTAAATATATATATATATATATATATATATATATATATATATATTTTACAGCCATTCACAATTACTGATCTTGCATTGTAGCTACAACTCTAGTTGACATGTAACAATAGTTTTGATTGGTCTGAGGTTGCTAAGGTGGGCGTGGCAGAGTGTTGTGTGAAGTACATCAGATAAATCATAACATTATGTTAAGTAAGCATGATAAAGCAAATTTCACTTATCACTACTAAGGATGATGAAACAATTTTAAATAAACTCCCAGCTCATCATATAGTGGCTTGGTCAAGACCCCTTTGTGTCACCTTTTAAGGCCCTGGGTGTAGGGGTCCCCAGTCGAGTTGGCAACAATATGCAACGTCTGGTTTGACCTTTAAAATAAAACTAGTAGTTAACGTTGTGAAATGTCACAATTTGGTTAGGTTTAGGCATCAAAACTACTTGGTTAGGCTTTCAAAAAGATTGTGGCGTGGGTTAAAATAACAATAAGCCTATTACATACCTAAGTTAAGTAACGCTACTTGTGTAACTTGCGCAACTAACTTAAACTACGAAACTACATAAGTTAATAAAAAGACCATAAATAAAAAATATTATTATATTACCGGCCTCCTGGGTGAAAGTCCAGTTTCAACTACCTCCTTACTCGCACATTTTGTGTTAAATATTCTACACCTACATTTAGCGTTCATAAGTCCATAAGTAGCCTAGGGCTTCCCCTAATGCGTTACAAACTGACGTCAACAGGTCTTGACCAAGCGTATGTGATGACTTGGGAGTGAGAACGTGTTGGCTTACCAACAAAGCAAAATGTTCATGAACAATGTTTTGACAGGCTCTTTCTAATGAAAAGATGAAATTTATAAATAAACTTTTGTCACACACAGAAGTTACACAGAAATTGAGGGTTCAAAACAGGTTTAGAGGTCTATACCTGTACTTTCATGCAAAACCTAAAAATGGTCAGTTCATTTTTAAAATGCATTATTAAATTAAATATTTGTTCAACAATTTATTATAGGATATGTATTTACAGTGTTACTGTGGCACACAATGATGTTCAAAGTAAAATGGTTTCAGATAAATGAATGTCTGTTCTCTCTTTATTTTGTAATAATTTTGTAAGGGTTAAGAGGGAACCTGCTGATACTCTAACTCTTATAATTACAACAAAAAATAAATAATTAAGAGGCCATGCCAATTTAGAAAACAATCCCATTATATCTCATGCATGCCTTGATGGTCTTTTGAAGTCATTTACCAAAAAGTCCATTTTAACTGACTTCACCTTGCACCAAGACAAATCCCACTATCTATTAGTCTGTGGTTACTGCAGGTTGTTATCATTTTAGATCTCAAGCTGATTTTAAACACAGTTCTGATCCATCAGCCACAAAGATAAAGTCAACTCATCCACAGTGGCAGTAAATGTCAACTTAGATAAAAGATAAAGCAGCAATTTAAACAAACACTCACCCAGAGAGAAGATAGAGTCAAAAGGATGAAGAGCAGCTGATGAGTGAGTCCACAGACTGAGGACAACTACTAATGAGCAAGTGAACATCAGCTGACACAAACAACTCAGTCAAGTTAGTGTAGAGTGGAAGAACGGGTTCAGTTCGCCTGCCGGCAGGTGGAGAACGGATGCTTTCCTCTGAATAATACCCACCTATCACACACACATACATACTGTACATGCACACACACCCTTCTCCACAGCCTGTAACAGGTGGCTTTACTCAGAAGAATTGCTTACAGTTTCACAAGTTGTCAGACTAACTTGATTTTCACACTTTACTGTGATCAAATTAATACTTTGGTATTAATTGTCGATCATTCTAAATGAACCCAGCTGCAGACATCACCTTGGGCTCTGGTAACTTGTGATTCTGACATTTTCAGAGCTTGATTATTTCTTTCAAATACAGAATTGTTAGAAAACCAATAGTAGGCTGTTTTTTAGTTGCAGCCCCAATGATGAACAGGCCAATAATTGGAGAAAACACCACATTGTGCCTCTATATGCTCTCTGCTGGACACGCTCCTCTGATAATAACCTTAATGAGCCCAGCAAAGCCTGTCTTTTCATTCATACTCGGCGCAGCTCTGCTCTGTTGATCAGAAAAAAATCCTACCGTTCCTGCCAAGTTGTTGCCAACTTGCGTCACCGCAAAGTGGAAGAAAACGGACTTGACAGCCGCGCTCAAATCTCTCCGGATTCAACAGAAAACGAGGCGAGTGAGACTCTTAACTGGTCAAGAATGGTTACTGTCGGGCTATTTATAAGCTGAGCCTCTGTAGCCTACATCCACCGACCGACCAGCTGCTGCACTTTCACTTCTCTCTTTCACATCAGCGTGTCACACAGGACGTGAGCTCTGCAGCAGTGCCATGCACGGCACTCCCTCGCTCCCCCCGCATTTCCCCGTTGCTTGAACGATAAAGCTCATCCTACCTCCCTCTAAATCTAAGTGTCTAGTTGAATATTGTGCCAAAATCAAATACGATAAATCGTTGCGGTTGAATTTCGTTGCGGTGCGCATCCTGCAGAGTTTATCTCCATCTTGCTGCAGCGGCGCGTCAGGGACTGGGAAGGCCTGCTTTCAGAAGACTGACTCCTTTCCGCAAAGAGAGCATCCTAAATGATCCAAATGTAGCTCACCCTCTCCTCCATCTCGGTGCAGTCTGCATGAGCGGCCGTCGCATCATCCTGACCGGTATCCTCCGCGGCCATGGCAGCAGGGAGATGGGCGGACCGGGCAGCCGGCTGGGTCTCTGCAAGAAGATACAGCGAGAGAGGGGGAGAGAGGGGGGGATGGATGGGACTTCTAATACTGAAGTCGGACCAACTGCTCTCTGTTTTACATACTGACTGTCAAGAGCAACGACTGACATAAGAAATACTGGATTCTGGATTTTTCTCTAATCTGTATTATTTATTGCCAATTCTAGACCACAGAGAGCTGCCGCATGTGGGCTGCAGACCACATCAACTAATCTGTGTACAGGGGCAGCTAACAAATAAAAAACATTTACATAAAAAAACACTTAACCATATGGGTGATATGAGTTTAGTTCATTGTGACTCTGGTTGATTACATTTCAAGGACGTCAAACTGATCTGGAAACAAAGGGAACGATCTTAATTTATTATTAGGTTGCATTTCTCCTTTACTTCATCGAGGTGTGAAGATATATCAGGCTGGTTCATCTTGAAAGAAGTAAAACGTTCCCACACTTCCATCCCAGGCACGCCCCCTCTCATCAATACTCTGCCATGGAGATTTATGAACAAAATTTTGTGGGGAATCTTTTGAAGATATGGTTTCAGGTCATGATGTAATTCCCAAAGAAACCACAAGATGGAAGCACACAACAAGAGACTCATCACTGCACAACAGACAGGACTGCACAGGGACATTGATCCGTGACCATCAATGTTTAAGGGAGCAAAGCAACTAATTTACCCGAGTACTTAACATACTGTCAAGAATACCTTTGTTCATTAGATGTCACTTTATTTAGTTCAGGCTAAACTGGTGAAAAAATGCAGGCCTTAAAGTAGCAGAAACAGCTTGATGGTGGATGGTAAGCATCTTTCAAAAAGCTATTTCTCCTGTGCCTCCATGTTTGAGAAGAAGAATGAGTGAATGACTCTTGAATCTCCAGTTTTTACAGATAAGGGAGACCGTCGATGGTTGTAACACAGGTCAGCTGTAACATGTCCAGTTTCTCCAATGAGGAACAAGTTATGAATTATCCGATTCACTCTGCACATGCTCAGTTTAATTCTTTTCCACATTTGGAAAAGTAGCACCCTGTGGCAGGCACAGCCCATTTTTGGAGGGGAAAAAGAAAGTTTTACTTCATTTATTTTTTATAGTATTGTCCGCTTTGTAGTTAAACTCATCAAACTTGTACAGATCCCACTAGAGGATGTTGGGCCCTCATGCCACCCTGATGGAGTCTGTTTCTGACAGTTTAGTCAGAAACATGCACACCACTAGCCCGCTGGAGGTCGTTTTGTAGGGCTCTTGCAGTGCTCCTCCTGTTCCTCCTCACCTGTCCTGCTGCTGGGTTGATGTTTTTCTACGGCACTGTCCAGCTCTCGTCGTTTAGCGGCCCGTCCTCTGGTACTTCCTCCATGCTCTTGAGACTGTGATGGGAGACGCACCTTTTTGCGACAGGACTTATGGATGTGCCATCGTGGAGAAGCTGGACTGCCTGTGCAACCCGAATGGGCTGCAGGTACTGCATCATGAAGAGAAACTCAAAACTAGAGAACAAAGGTCAGGAAGGATAAGGAGAGAGCATTTGTCTGTGGCCACCACCATTCCCTTTTTGGGGGTTGTCTTGTTGTTGCCTCCCCAATGCCCCTGCTGTCATTTGCACCAGAACAAGTGACATTGATTCAAAATCGCTTATGCTTCCTAATTAGCCTGCTGCTGAAAAAAATTCATACAGACAGAAATGTTAAAAATGTTACAACCATCCCTGGTCTCCCCTAATTCAAGGTTACAAAGTGATGCTTGCAAAAATGTAGATTAATTATATAAACCAGATCAGTTCAGTACCTGAAATCAGTCTGAACAAGATGATGCTTTGTCGTCAGCTTCACTGGAAGTCTTCCTTCTGCTCCAAGAGGGTTTACAGCATAGAAATCCTTTATGAATTTCATTTAGAAACACAACACAGGTAAACACCATTTAGGCTCAGTGAGATCCTGAGAGATCTAGAGACCAGTCAGAGAGGGGATATTTCTGGCCCCTGTACATGTGGACTATGACATGTCAAGTTTATTTGTACGGCACAATATTACATATTGTTTAAATAGGCTTTACAGGCCTAATAAACTGACCCAGAAAACCCAAAAGCTCTCTAGAAATTCCACAAATGCCCCCATCTCAGACAACTTGGGGCATTAGGAGGCATACTGCAAAAAACTGAACAGATAGTTGGCTCACGGTCGATTAAGCATGTTATTTTTAGTAAAACACTGCTTTAGTGTGGAGACACAATTAAGTGTTTTGTCTACTTGGAAATGACAAACAGAGAAGCAGGCAGCAATGATGTCCATTGTTGCAATGAAGTCTATTATGTCTGCTGCTGCTGCACCCATACAGATTAATGTAGTATAATTGGATGTGACTGTGAACTGTCTTTTAACTGTTTATTGAGTAATTTTGTAATGAACTACATATTTGAGTATTTAAATTTTTGGTGTTCTCCTTGTCTCTTGCTGCAACATAATTTAATTGGATATTTATATTCAACCATGTGGGTTATGTGAAAAGGGCTTTGAATTTTATTAATTGTTAAAACAAATACTTTAAGGGGATGTAAAAACTAGCTTATGGATGTAAACCTTATGGTGCCATGATTTGTGCTTTATGTCCCACTTTAGCCACACATGTTCATAATGTATGCATTTTCTTGCCTCAGATGTCATATTTTGATGTCAAATGATATAATTATACTAATGGGACTGTGTAATGTAAGTAGTAGTAAATCCCTGGTATAAACCGCTTTAAGAGCTTTTAATTGGCTAATGCGTCAACATCTATGGGAAAGGCCTTTGACATGTTGTTTCAGCTTGTGATGCCTTTAAATGTCCACAAAGAGGCAGAGTGAACCAGTTCAACTAAACAGGCATCAACCTCACAGAGAGAGAGACACACACACACACACAATGGGAGAGAGAGAGAGAAATGTTTGCATGCACAGTAATGGACAGCTAGAGGTGGAAAGACAGAAGGTAGTGGTGTGGTGTGGTGTGTGTGTGCAAAAGTCAATAAAACGGAGAAAATGTAAATTTCCCCTTCATTCACTGGAAAAACAATTAATGTTCCAGGCTCACAGCTGAAGATTCTCATTAAACAGTTATCTTAAGAGAGAGGATGAGAGGCAAAATGTCTTCAAGTATCTTCGACCAAGTCCGGGCAGTTGCCCTTAATTTTAACCTTCCTTGGATAACTGGTTTATTTAAAGCTCGTAGTGGCCTCAGAGGCCTACAGTAGCCTATTGTTTAATCATTCAGAAGTATTGAGCGTGAAAACTTTGGCCAATTAGGCCAGAGCCCCGCTGTATCACATTTAAACTGACCAGGCGACACGCCAGAGTGCATCAGTCTGGCGCTCACACACTAACCAGTTATTCAATCAAAGTTATAAACTGGATTGTTGTTCCAGTGTAGAAATAAAAAGCCCAAGGAGCGCGTTGCCTAATTGGGTGAAGGGTTGAGGAAAATCTGTCTGATTAGCCTTCTCCAACAGACGGGGATTAAGCTTTTAGTCTGTAATTATTATAAAGCATACGTCAGCAGATATCCACCCATTTCAGGAGCGGAGGGATGTCCTGCAAACGTTAAGCGACTGAGCTCTCTGTCAGGCCCGTTTCAGACGTGGTGACCTAGGACTAGGGGCAGTAACAGGAATATCCTCCTGAGTCAGTGCCACGACGCTGACACACCGCACTCCCCAGCAGGGCTTCCTCCGCTCCCATAACAAGCATCCTATGCTATTCTGCTCAAGATGGCGGTGCAGGCAGCAGAAAAGGACGGAATAGTGAGTATTTTGGAGCTTCAGTGGGAACTGGGGCGTGGGTTCATTGTGTTTGTATTTATTTTCTGTGCGTAACGGCCTGTGGATTTGATTTAGGCGCTCTGTTATGGCGATTATCCGGCGCTTATTGTAAATACGGAGCGCCGTGCGCAGCGAATTCAGAGCGCAAGGCGACTCCTCTTTCATCTGTGACCGGGGGAGGAAATCCAATACGTTCGTGGTGAAATGTATCGGCGGTGCGCGCTCACCTAGGCCGCTCAACCGCAGCTTTGAATCTACGTATTTAGGCTGCATCGCTTGCAGAGGGCTAATTTATAATCTCGCATGGCTCGCGACAGGAACCCCGATAACAACATGACAGGTCTGCTGCCACCTCGTCATTGTTGGGAACAGCCGCATGCAAGGCCACACTGTGTGTGTTTATTGATAAACAGGCCTGCAGCCTCACGTTGGGTGTTTAACCTCAGCCAGGCCAGTTTATATCCTACCTGATAGAGCGATAAATGACAGTTTGCATCCTGTGTCTTTTGTCACTGGTGTTGAAGAATGTGGAAGACGACCATCTGAACGACTCGCTGGGGAACCCCGGCCTCATCTCACCTGACAAGGAGGATTTGTCACGTCTGCTGGTATGAAAGACGCCTTAATGGTCTCTCGAGTATTCTTGTTTGATGCTCGCTCCGGGCTGTACTTAATAAATTCATTGCACTTTGCACAGACGGTGCCATTCAGCGGGCGCATCCGGGGCGGCATGCGGCCAGGAAAGAAGATCATAGTGATGGGCATTGTCGACCTGGAGCCAGACAGGTAAGATAACACTTAACAATGCATGCACACGCTCCTTATCTAGGGCCTCATCAATATGCGGCAAGCTGAGTGATTTTTAGAGATGGACTTTTGTTCTTAGGCCAGTCAAACTTGCCCAGGCACTCCAGGGCACAGTGAGTAATGCTGTGGGCAGCTAGAGAGAATGGTGGCTCCTTAAGTATGCAGAGACAGGGCGTTCCCCAACTAGCAGGGAGAAAAGAGAGAGTGGGAGGGACCTAGTGAAGCAGACTTGTTGGGTGTGTCTATACCCTAAATGGAAACTTGTGTCAAACTTGGAAGAAAAAGCTCCATGACCTCATCATGTTCGGGGGCTGCTGCTGGCACAGTATTCATGGCAAAGTTCATGTGAATGCTCTGGCTGGCAGAGCTGCTCCAAATACACAACTGTTTCCTTTGTTTCATATCAGTGCTCAGAAAGTTTGTTACTGTAATCATGCCTACACGCTCACGCAAAGACTGTTATGTGTAAACAGCTGCAGGGGAGGGGTATACACCAAAACTAGCAGCAGGGATTATGCATAATTAACAGAGTTGGTTTGGTCTTACACAGCAGCAGCAGAATTATGCATTCAACTTATCCCAGATTAGTTATTGGACTCATGTTGCCTGTCTGACTCCTCTTTTTCCTCCTCCCCCCCCCTCCCCCCAGCTTTGATGTGAGTCTGACCTGCGGCCGTGACTCAGAGAAGGAGGAACATCCGTATGATGTGGCCCTGAAACTCACCGTCCGCTTCACTGACCGCCAGTTTATGCGCAGCGCCCGCATCTCTGGGAAATGGATAGGGGAGGAGGCATCCACCTCCTACTTTCCCTTCATCCCCGATCAGCCCTTTAGGGTAAACATCCTTTTTGTACTCATGGCAGATTCACTGTCCAGGTGTTTGTGGTGCTCCTGGGGTGCAAGCAGGTTCAGGTTGAGAGTTTTTGATTGTTCTTATTGAACATATGCTTTTATGAGGTGGGATGCTCTCTTTTCTGAGGGCATGCTCCTCCTTCAGCCCTGTTCTTCATTATCATGGTTACAGTTACGACCTATTCGTTTACAAACTGGATCTTATTTGGCGATTAGGTCTTTAGTTTCATTGCTGTGATTTGGCTGTATAGACACAGCCTTACAACGAGAGTCCATAACGGCAAGTAACATAAGTGATCAGACAAGCTGTCAGCATTATTATCAGAACCAGCTAATTTTAAAGTATAAACAAAGGTGAATCTGTTCAGCAGCTGCATTTTCATATTTGTTAGGAGCATTGTTAAAGTGCTTGCTTGTGCTCTTTCTGTTAGTAGATCAATAGAGTAGCTCAGCGTTGAACTCGGGAAGCACTGTGAAATCTAACGGATCTTTACAACAAATTCTATAGTAATTTTATTGGTCAAGGCAGTATTGTTAAAAAGGCACGTGTTGTAAAGCTGTGTCATCATATCTCCATTTCTATAGAATCATCATGGAAAGTAAAATGTTATCTGAACTAAAAGGACTGATGGCCAAAATTATTAAAAATGAGACACATTGAATTACATTGAAACAGAAAAGGTTTTAACGGGAAATTCACCCTTAAATACTTGTGTTGACCGACCCTGTCAGGAGGCCATGAGTGCTATCAAAGCTGTTTTGGATTTAACATTTAAGCAGTGCAAACAAGGCAGTCAACATAAGGTCCAAAAGGGCAGTATACGGTGCCTAAACATAACAAGAGCAAAGACAGTGAAAAGATAAGATAAAAAAATTCTCACAGACCCAATCCCAGTATCCACCCATATACTTGGGTATACAGTTTTATACCATTGAAAGATGAATACCTTTTGGGTTTTAGACTGTTAGTGGGTCAAAACAAACAATTTGAAGACCTTACCTTGGGCTCTGGAAAATTGGTATGAGCATTTGTTTTTGGATTAAATGCTAACCAATTAGTTCATACCCCCAAAACTGACAGATTAATCGATAATGACTAAAACATGTTGCTTCTTTGTAACATTGAAGTGTTTGGGATTTTTCTTGTAAAATCCTGCTGTCAGCATCAATAAGAGACAAACAGGAAATGTTTTCCATGCTACATCATATATACAGGCTGTGTCTGGTGTTGTGGTCTGTTAACTGCATGAGGGGCAGCATCAGCTGCTTATTTGTTGGGTGAGGGGCTGAGTAGCAGCACATATACAGATGAGTAATTCTCATAAGACCTGAGGACTTGTTCGCTCTGATAATTCTGAATATGCACATGAGCCTCACATATGGTGTTTGACTAAAAATAAATGATGACGTGTTTCAATCCAGAGTGAACTAAACTGCCTTTAATTAGAGAATTTTACTCTTAAACCTATCGTCATTTGTATTAGAAGAAAGAAGATTTAGTCCTAAATGTCTTTTTTAAAGAATGCCTAATACACCAAGCAGCTACCATGTTTGGATTATTTTTAGAGGTGATCCCTGTGTCCGGTTATGTCAAGTCGGCTCTCTGATAAAGTGTCATTGTTTGTGGTTGGAGTGTGACAAAGCAGGTCAGCACAGTCATGACTATCAAAAGCTGGGGGCTGCAGATTAAGGCTTCCAATAAACTGCCTGAATTTGGTTAGACACACAATGTGCTGTGTTCTAGAGCGGGACTGCAGGAAGTGGGATCACACCTACAAGTTTGTTTTCTTTGGTCCAAACCATGCAGAGAGATGTTTACGCTGTTGCATTTTTGTGTTTGGTTTCTTGAGGGTTCACAGTGAGCAGCTACAAATGAGCCCGGCTTGTAAGCAAAAGTGACTTGGACTCCCTTTTAGCTGATCCATTAGACAGCGTTTTGGTGTCGTGGAACATGTTAAATCTAAAACATGATATTAAGCATCAGTCCAGCTTGTGATTTGCACTTGCTAAACCTTTAGAGTCTACAGGGAGGATTGGCAGATGGTTTTAAACATCCTTCTCATTAAACCCATAAAATTTTGTCAGTATTTGTTTTCTGTATTTAGTTAAAGCTGCACCAATCAATATTTTATATTGACAATAATTAATTACAATGTGAAAGGTGTCTCAACCCCACAGTGTCTCTCTCTCAGCTTTGTTGTTTTGTTTTTATGGCCCGCAACTTTACTCTTTTGGTTTAGTCTCGCCACTCTCATCAGCATAGTAGTAGAAGTGCAGTTTACTCTTTTCACCACTGTTTAACTGCTGCAGAGTTTTAAGATGCCTGGTGTTAATTCACTTAAATTTTTTAGGACATGAGACACAATGTAAAGGAGCCTGTTGGACACATAGTGAATCTAAAAATTATTTAGACTTTGTTCATACAAAGCTGAGATTAAAGTTTGAGAAGAGAAAAATATTGTTAAAGGAATGGTTCAACATTTTAGTAAATTTGCTTATTCATTTTCTTGCCAATAGTTAGATGAGAAGATAAGTATCAAGCTTATATCTGTTAAATATGAAGCTACAGCCACCAGCCTGTTAGCTCAGCACAAAGAGGGAAATGGCTGTTGTCATTTTGGTACTTTGGTTGATGATTTGGTTTCATAACATATTAATGTTATCATGTAATTTGTGAGCTCTGGTGCTGGTGGGTGGATTTTGTTACTGTTGCACTGAGCCAGGCTAGCTGTTGCTCTCTTTCCAGACTTTGTGCTAAGCTAAGATAACTGTCTCCCGGCTGTATCTTCATATTTATCGTACAGATTTCTCATCTGACTCTTGGCAAGAAAGCGAATAAGCATATTCTCCAAAATGTCCCTGTGTTGCAGTTTGATGCTCCAGTGATAATATCATTGCTTCTTTAAGGACTGATTATAAACTGTAAATGCACTGAACTTGCATTGTTGACAACTTGTGTCGCTCTTTCTGTTTCTCCGGTCTCTCCATCTTTTCTTCCCTCGCTGCAGATTGAAATCCACTGCGAGCACCAGAGGTTCCGGATATTCGTGGACGGACACCAGCTCTTTGACTTTTATCACAAAGTAAAATCTTTGCCCTCTATCGACACAGTACGGATACAAGGAGACCTACAGATCACCAAGCTCGGTTAACGCCCCACTCTTCCTGCTCTGCAAGTCGTGTGTGAAGCAAGGACTTGACCACAGATGATCCCACACACATACGCCATCATCCATAACCCATCATGCAACACTGCAACAGCATAACAACTGGAAACAGGCTCCGGCGGAGACAAGTTAGAGTTCTTCTGCTAAATTTAATGCACGTCTTTCCTTTCCTTTCTATTTAACATGGATCTGATATGACGATGCTTTGAGGGTGAATGTCTTTGCTCCATTTTCAGGTTTTTCTCTTTGTAGCCCCAGTTTTGTCAGATCAGGGATCTCACAGCTTATTAATAGTGCTTTCATTTTTTATGTTCAATCCTTTATTGATGCTGAGATGGAGGCAGGTGTGGAGTTCTTTCAAGGATGGAGCATTTACTCAGATGTTACAGAAACCAGTTACTCAGGAAAAAACATATCTGGTACTTAGCAGCTAATATGAAAGCAAACTGTTGCTTATGGGTCAAAATCTTCAAATTTGGTGGCTGATTATAAATGTTTTATATAATCAGTCATTTTATAAATTCTGCATCTCGTCAGCATATAGAAACCTTTTGGGTAAACTGGAAACATGCATGCGTATAAAGCTAAAAAGAGACGTGACGGCAGAGATTTTCACCAGTGACAAACATGCTGTAAAATTCCTCCAGTATTGGACCTGAGCAGCGTCTTCAAACTAAGCCTCGACTAATTCCCAAAAGGGCAGAAACATGATTTTCATAGCAGATAAAACTGGTTGAAAGCAGAATGTCACCGGTAGTTTGACGCTTTCAGATTTGATTTCACTCAACCCAGCTGGATGTGTATTTGTTGTTTTACTTATCCTCTGAAACTCAATTTTCTGACCACAGTAGTGCGCCGTGTTTTCAATGTGCTGATGTATCTCCAGCTCCTGCCCCTCTCTTGGATTTATCCCAGTTGTTGTGATAACACGCTGCAGTGTCACACCGACCTAAATACCCACAAATGAGGATTATATCATGACAACATGGATCTGAAAGTGCTGTCCACTGCATGTGTCACTGCAGAAAGTCTAGAAATGCCTGTGTGGTGGACAGGAAGTAGAATTTGCAACTGGACTCTGCTCTCTGCTGTCACACTCACAGAACACATTTATTTCATGCAAAGGTTCTGAATTGTACACTAAACCAATATGCAATTTATTCTCATAAAAAAGCACTCGCTTCAGTACATACTCAGAAGAAACTGTGCTGTCAAAGTGTGCAAACTAAACTCAAACTGAAGTCTCCAGTCGCATTCGATGGTCAGTTGGTTGTTTGGAAGCAAGATTGGATCCTGATGGTAGTTTGAATGTATAGTATTCATGTTTCTTTAGTAGCATAGAAGATAAAGTGATGCACAAAACTATTACTTAATGTCACTGTTATTTGGTGGTATGGCTGGTGCTGTTATAGTCCATTTGCAGTCCTACAGTATGTGTTTTATGGCTTTGTAAGTGTTTCCTGAATCATTCCACATCAGTGTCTCGACACAGATAGATGAGATAAAGCATCCTTGTTTAATGCAGCCAGCAGGTTTTTACAAGTCTAACAAATACAATTGTATCCTAAATGCATTACATGGTTTTGTCTCCATAAGGTGACGTCTTTTCCTTCACTGAGGCAGAAAGGATGCTATAAGTAATAATAGACGTTATCTTCAAAGCAAAACTCGAAGTATTAAAAGTATTATGTCTTGAGGTGCTCTGTTCACACCCGTATCAAAATTCACTATGCTCTGTAAAGTTAAACATGTGCAGTAGAACTAGAGGAATCTCACTGCGTAGATTTCTAATAAAGCGGTTATAAGATGTTTCTTATGGCATTATTAATGAATAATAAATCATTTACTAATGCTTTAATAGATCAGTTGTAAGCCATTAATAATGAAAACTTTTTGTTTTCCAGGTTTTTCTTTTTTTTTCAGTTATTAATGTTGGTAAACTATCTAATAAACCATCAGTTCTGCAGTTATAAATGTTAATACATTTGAGCAGCAGAAGCAAAACGTAGTTATTGGTAGAACGTTTCACAAGGCTACACACACGTACCATTAAGATATATGTTTACAGTTGCTCTTTACGAGCTAATGAAGGTTTTCCCATCATGTCTTGCTGCTGTGAATCGGGAGTAAGCCATGACATCTGTGCAGAACAGCTGCACTGACTTCACTGCATTGCTCACACTAATGAAGCTTCCTGCGAGATTTCTGAGAAAACTTTGAGCAAACCTTTTTTGTTTAACATCTCATTACTGTCTGTGCACAGTTGGCTACAGCTGTGTGCAGCATCCATCACAGAGAGGCTGTTTTCCATACGTGCATGCACTGAGTACTTATTAGCTCCGTTCGCGTAGCAATAAGGTCGCTGCTCCAAGACGGACTGGCTGTGGAGCAGAACTTTCTTTTCCCCCCCTGGTTGGTCGGACAGTGTCTTCCTTAGTTCCTCAGTTTGGCTTAGGCAAGCGCTGGGTTATTTCGGACACAAACAGGAAACGAGTGCGTTTTGGTATGAGTGGGCAGTGAGAAGGGCAGTTTGAAAGGGTGTGAGCATCATTACTCCAGTATTGCAACAGAACAAATGTGTACAAATAATGTGACATTGTGTTGACAGGATGTGTTTTTGGATACTGTTTTTGTGTTCTTTCTATTAACTGGTGAACATCCCTTAAACTACACTTTTCTGTATGTTAACATACACCAAGTAGAAGAAGAAGAAGAATATAACCATAACTCAGCCACATGTTTTGTGGCTGTGGAAACAAGATGTGTGTTAAAGTGTAATACAGGTTCACGGTTTTGGCTCCCTGGCTGTCGCAGGCGGAGCCGAGCTGGCAGCAGCTAACAGCATCAACAGTGGTATTGCTGTTGCTAGGAATTATGGGGGAGGGAGATGAACAATTCAAGACTTCCTGAATTAAAGGGCTCGAACATGGGGTGTGTGTGTGTGTGTGTGTGTGTGTATGTGTGTGTGTTTTGCTCAACATGGAACAGTTTAACTCTGCATTTGCTAATTGTTCATGGGACTGTGGTTGGTTTTCCAGCTGTGTACGAGCGCGGTGTGTTTTTCCCATTAGGTTTTCTGCACAGGTTAGGTGCAGTGCAGGTACATGATAAGCTTGTGGTACTTGGGCTTGTACTTATGTTGTACTGTTGCACTTTAAAACAAAAATTAGGTTGTTGGTGTCCACTTCAGGGACTCACAACTGCTTAGTATCACAGTAAGAAAACATGTGCATAGAAAACCTTGACCTATATTGTGTTTATAGTGTCCCAGTTTCTGATCTCCTAATGATCCCATGTCTTTTGAATAACAAGCCTAGGACATAATAATTGTTGCTCATAACTATATTAATTGTTCTTCAACCCTTTTGCAACTGAAAAACTGAATGTTATTCTCTTCCTGATTGTAATCTGATGGTAAATACCCAGGTAACTAAATACTTCATGTTGAAAAGGGTGAAATAGACCCACCCTTATACGCTCAGTTAGAAACTGTGGGCTTCTGACGCAAGAGAAACATTTTTTGACCCAGGTCTGTATCTTACCCTGCTTCTGGACTTTGGATGTACATATTTATGAACGCAACTGCGTTTTTACATGAGGAATACTAAGCTGAGTTAACAAGCAGAAAGCATTTTTTTTTTGTGCATGTAAGCTAGTACCTGGCATTTTAAATGAAAGATTGAGGTATTGCCAGTTTTTACTCCAGTCAAGCATGCTCTTTCTTTTTTTGTCTGCCATCTAGTGTATCAGCCGTGTTTCGGGGATAGATTTCCCTTTGTGATTGCATTTTTTTTTTACTTTGACCTGTTAGTACTTACCAAATTACAGTCTTTGAACACTGCTGACAAGATTGTGGCATTTCCCCCCAGAACTTTAAACAAGTAGAAGAACACAATGATTTTCTAAAAGAAGTGCTAAAACTTGTATGACTGTTGTAAGAACAGCTACATCATGATGTCCATTTACAGTATGATGATGTGTCCTCTGAGTAGATGTAGGCTGATCTGTTGCTAATGTATTGTGTGGTTGTACAATCATGTTATCATTTCTATTTATTACTGTGTAACCAGCAGGGTTGTGTGTGTGGTAACGTCATACCTACTGTATTGGTAATGTACTTTTTTTTTTTTTTTTTTTTTGCTGTTTATATGAAGGCGTCTTTGAAAAGTTGAGTTTTTTACAATGATGAAAGTATTTCTTTGGATCTGGGCTCTGACATGTGCAAATATTTCGTATTGTACTTTCCTGTATAACACAAGGAAATGTGTGAAACGAGGATTGGATCAAAGATAATTTTCTTTTAACTGCAAAACAAGGTTAAGCATCATTTTGACACAAGCGTTTTATTTCCGGGATGTGCCAAGTCTGAGGATCACCAGGGCGTTGTTGCTGTTGTGACTTTGATCTTCTGAGAGTCTTTCATGTTACCAGGCATCATGTTGGGCCTCTCTGTTGGCTGTTTTTCAGCTGAGCAGCTTTCTGTTTGCCACAAAAAGCTACTCCACAAAACAAAAGCAGAAGGAGCACTTGTATTTACACGATTCCCAAAATATCCTGAGAATTACCCTGATTTTGTGTCTGATTGAGGATATGCACTCGACCAGTGTTAAGATGAAGACAGCACATTCTACCGTTGTGTTAGACCTCTCCAAATGATTTTTTCCCCTCCTCATGCTTTTGTAAAAACAGCTACTTTGCAAATCCAATAAACTTCTCATCTTGGAATGTGCTTGTTGTCTCAGTCTGAAAGTGCTTGTTGTCTCAGTCTGAATCAGAATGCTTTAATGTCATCGAACATAACTCAGCAAGATTTAAGTGCAACTGACCTCATTGTACAATAAAATGTTTCACCAATGATTCACACAAACTGGTAAAAACAGTATAATATGCACTCAGCTGTGATGATGCTGGCAAAAAGACAATGTGTGCAAATATAAATAAACCATGGAGATCTTTACACTCAGGCATGATACTGCAACAGTCGCAAATTCACCCCACAGTTAATTGTTTCCGACAGTCCAGTTATTTAATGGCCTGTTCACTGGAGATATGGGCCTCAATAGACATATATAGCGACTCCCAGTGGGCAGTAGAGTGAGCAGGTGGCTACCCGAGTGGCATGTCAGGGAGAGAGGGCAGCTCTGTGTTGTTGATGTTCTGAGCTAATTTAATAACTCTGTAGTGCCTTTTTGTCGGCCTGAGTGCAGCTTGTGAACCACACCAGGATGTCGAGAGAGGATTCAACACTGAATAGGCACCCAGGCAACAAATAAAACCGGTACAGTAGCTGCATCCCTGGTACATACCTGTAAGAAAAATTACAAACCTTGACAAAAGCAACTTCAGATTTAGTGCAATGAAAACATTTCTACTAGTATAGGCTATTTACACACCTGTTCATAGTTCATACCACTGTCAAAACTTCAGGGTTTGACATATTCCCTAATAATAATTAAATAAAATGATGTAGAGCACAAAGCACAGAATTTATTTTTATTAATGTCAACATTCATGTGTAAGGTAAAGTTACGATTTTTGTCTCAGAAGTGGATTGAATTAATTTGTGTTTACTTATAAGGGCTGTGTGTATTTGAATTATCTTGTCTTTTTTTCAGTGTTAGTTTAATATTTGACCTGTAGGGGGCAGTGAAACACCAGCATCAATGCATTTAGCATGTTGAGACGAGGTAAGTTTGACTGTTACTGGAAGGCTTTCTGATGTAGGCCTTGTAGGACTTGTGCTTTACTTGAGAATTTCCATTTTTTTCTACTTTACTTATGCTCAACTTAAATTTAGAGGTAAGTATTGTGTATATATATTTTTTGTTTTATGAAGTTTATAGAAATGAATAGTGAAGAGAGAGTGGAAATCTGACATCTTTCCAGAAGTTGGACTTTTAAATTAGGTGTTTTCATGCACACCTGGTAGACCGCTGTCTAGGAAAATGATATGCACCTCCTGCACCCTGTCAGCACCGACTTCATTACAGATGCCACATTTAGGTCACGGACCTTCATCAAGTATCTTTTTCACAATATGAAACAAAAATATCTGGGAATCGCTAGAGCTGCAACACCCAATCGAAAGGAAGTTACAAAACGTGAGAAAAATACAACACGATTCAAGGATAAAAACATTCTTAAAATGAGTCAAACAATATGTCTATTAACACAAAGTGTCTGTTTGTAAATATGTAGAAATGTAGCTGAATAAGAAACTTTGTTCATCAGTTGCTGTGGATACAAATTGAAATAATACAAGCATAACAAACACTTGTTGGAGGGATCTCTCTCTAGAGGTCCTCTTCCCAAGTTCCATGTTTTTTTGCCTTTTATCCTAAAGAGTTGTCCTTGTCTTTAGAGAGTTTGGGCTGCACATAATGCAGAAACACATCTTGCAAGCAATAAACTTGGAAAGAAACCAAGCTGCATTCCCGTTTTGCATTCAGTATCTCAAACTTGTTCTGACGGTTTGTAGTCCATCCATCCATCATCAACTGCTTATCCTGTGTACAGGGTCGAGGGGGGCTGGAGCCAATCCCAGCTTACATTGGGCGAAAGGCGGGGTACATCCTGGACAGGTCACCAGTCCATCGCAGGGCCACACACAGACAGACAACCACTCACACCTAACGACAATTGTGCAGTTAACCTAGCCTGCATATCTTTGGATGGTGGGAGGAAACCGGAGCACCTGGACAACCCACGCGGACAACATGCAAACTCCACACAGAAAGGCCAGGGGCAACAGGGGTTTCAACCCACGACCTTCTTGCTGTGAGGCAAAAGTGCTAACCACTGCACCACCGCGCCACACCGGTTATTATAAGGAAGGAAAATAATAATGTGTTTGTCTTTATAAAATACATAAACTTTAGTTTTAGTAAGCCTTCTCAATATTTGGAATACATAGTTTTCTTTCTAATAGAGCATAATTTTTCTGCTAAAAGGAAAGAGACCCCTCCGCGACAGCAGGGGGCGCTGGTGAAAATGAATCCTGTGCGTTTAACTGGCAGGAAGCGTTAACTCACGTTGCCTGCCTGAGTTTATCTTACTGAACCAAAGATATAACATTAAACTGTGGTCTTCAGTTGCCAAAGAGTTTCTTCATTCTTCTTTCACCATTTCAATGTCTGCGTGCCACCCTCCACGTTTACCGGACGGGCAGCGGCTGCAGAGCAAATCTGTGGACTTGTTGAAAAGACTATCAGGATGAAGCTGAGCGCAACAAGAGAGAAGTCAACCATCTGCAAAGAGCAGCTGAATTAATGTAACTCGCAGCAGGTTTGTGTCCTCTTTCATGTAAGTTAGCTGCTAGTTTCTAAGTCGAATAGCGTTGCAAACAGGAGCTAGTGCTGTTAGGTAGATAGTTAGCATGCAACTCCAAGAAGATATCTTTAGATGGATCAGTCCATATTGTATTGTACAAAGTTGATCCTTCTCCTCCCCCCGTGGCGCTTTGAAACCATCTGACTGAAAAACATCTTTATTTTACGTTTAAAATATATATATATACTACCGTTCAAATGTTTTAACAACATCGGATTGATCAGAAATGCAGTGTTAGTGTTGTAAATGACTGTTGTTGCTGCAAACTGCGGTTTGTAAGGGAACATCTACAGAGGCCCATTATCAGCAACCATCAGCCCTGTGCTCCAGTAGCATGTTGCTAATCCAAGTTTATCATTTTGAAAGGCTAATTGATCTTTAGAAAACTCTTTTGCAATCATGGTAGCTCAGCTTAAAACTGTTGTGTTGATTAAAGAAGCAATAAAACTGGCCTTCTTTAGACTAGTTGAGTATCTGGAGCATTAGTAATTGTGGGTTCCACGACCGTCTCAAAATGGCCAGAAACACAGGGCTTTCTTCTGATACTCATCTGTCTACTCTTGTTCTGAGAAATGAAGGCTATTCCACGCAAAAAGAAACAGAAGATCTCGTACAGTAATGTGTTCTGCTCCCTTCACAGAACAGCGCAGACTGGCTCTAATAAGAACAGAAAGAGGAGTGAGAAGTCCCGGTGCACAACTGAGCAAGGGGACAAATACATTAGAAGGTCTAGTTTGAGAAATAAACTCCTCACATGTGCTGAACTGACGGCTTCTTTACCTGGAAAACACCAGTCTCAACATCAACAATAAAGATGCGACTCTGGGATACTGCACTTCTAGACCGAGTGTCAAAGGAAAAAGCCATATCTCAGACCGGCCAATAAAAAGAAAAGATTAGGGCTTAATCTTTTCTTTCTTATGGATTTCTTTTTTTGCAGCTCTGCCTAGAATAGTAGTGTATTTGTGTTGGATATTACTTGGTTATTTAACAAGTTATATCGTGTGTCTTCTCTGTCCTATAGACGCCCGGCCGGTCTCTGAGGAACTTTCTCAGTGTGACATTAAGGAGGAACAGATTCCCGTTATGGATGAAACAGAGGTCCAAGATCAACCACAGGTCAAAGAGGAGCAGGTTGATCAGTGTATCAGTCCGGACATGGAGGCTGATACTTCCAATGACGCTGAAGTCACACTTCCTAAATCAGAACCAACTGCTAACTGTGAGCTGTTCCCGTCTTCACCCGCTGCACCTGTGAGTGTAAACGAAAGCATAGACAACATGAATGAAAGTGATGGTTCATCGTCTCCTCATCACGGCAGTAGTGTGGAAGTCTTTGTGGAACTGGAACAGCCTCCGAGGGAAGAAACGTCCTGTCGTTTTTGTGGTAAACGCTTTAAGAGGGACTCTATTCTTATAAGGCATGTAGACAAGAGTCACAAAGGGCAAAAAGCCTTTAAATGTCTGAAGTGCAAGAAGGAGTTTGAACTAAGGTCCCGGCTGATTCTGCATACAAGAATTCACACGGGTGAAAAACCCTTTAGTTGTGATTATTGTGACAAAACCTTTTCTCAGAACTCAAGTCGTCTTGTTCACATGAGGGTGCATACTGGGGAAAAACCGTACTTTTGTGCTAAATGTGGGAAGAGTTTTGCTGTGAGCAAACATTTAAAATATTGCAAAATGCAGAATGAGAGCAAAATCACACCAGAAAAAAATAACATAGAGAAGAATCACAAAGAGGAGAAGCCCTTTAAATGCTCTGAATGCAACAAGGGGTTTAATCACAAGGGCCACCTTGTTCAACATGTGAGAGTTCACACCGGTGAAAAACCTTTCAGTTGTGATTTCTGTGGAAAAACTTTCACTCAGAAATCTAGTTGTAATGTTCACATGAGACAGCATACCGGAGAGAAACCATATTTTTGTAAGAAATGTGGCGAGATGTTTGCCAGTAGCCATCATCGTAAATCCTGCACAGGGACACAAAAGAAAAGCACAAAGTCCATTCGCTGCTCAACATGTGGCAAAACCTTTTACAGAGATTCAGACCTGGAAGTGCACATGGAGGTTCACGAGTCATGGAAACGATACATCACTGAGAAACTGCAAGGACAGGAGTTAGAAGAAAAAACTTAAACAGGTCATATTATGCTCATTTCAGGTTCAAAATCTTATTTAGAGGTGGTACCAGAACAGGTTTACATGGTGTAATTTTCAAAAAACACCATATGTTTGTCATCCTGCACACTGAACGCTTCGTTTTAGCTACAGAGGTATCTTGTATAAAATCTTTGTCCCAACAACCATTTTATACAAGTTGCACATTTCCTAGGTAAGGACTACTAACCAATCAGACGCAGAGTAGGGCGGGCCGTGAGAAGCCGGTAAACATGGCTTCGGTTCAGCTGTAAATGTTGCTTTTACTGGCTTAGCAACATAGACTGGAGCAAGAGTTTCAGAGTGGTGAGTTATTAATCTGTAATACATTTATCTTTAATACATAGTTATAACTTCACTGTCTCTACATCACAGAAACAACTTTATGTCCACTGACTGCCTGGAGCGTAGCTGATGTTAATGGAAGGGAGAGGAGAGCCGGCAGACAGATGTCTTGTCACTGTGTGCAGCAGCTCATTGTGTTTTTCCACCGGTGTTTTTGAGGGCGTCGCGCTAGTCGCTAGGCGAGTATTATAACTCGTATTTTGCTGTGACGTCACAGAACAAAAGGAAAAGGCTGGACTACAAACAAGCTGTTTTCAGGCCATTCAGAGCAGTGTTTTCTGTGGGAGATGGGAACTCCCTTTGTGGTGGACTTTGGGCTTTTTCACTTACCTATTACATGCACAATAAAGGAGAGCTAATAAACCTAATATGACCTCTTAAAAGCTCTATGAGAGAGCGTCAGAGTCTTTGTAACACAAAATATTGTTTAAAAAAAATAGATTAAACGCTCATCCAGTATAGGAATGGCCTTTTTGAGCTACAGTGTCTCACAAAAGCAATCTATTTGTAAATATGTTGAAATGTAGCTGAATAAGAAACTTTATTCATCAGTTTCTGTGGCTCCAGTTGAAATAATACAAACGTAACGAACAATTGTTGGAGGGATCTCCCGCTAGAGGTCCTCTCCACAAGTCACTTCCATGTTTTGCCTTTTATCCTAAAGAGTTTTCCTTGTCTTTAGAAAGTTTGGGCTGCGTCATGAAATACTGCTGATGTGGGCTTGTAAAGCTTATTGAAACGTGTTGTACAAATGACCACATGTTCAACCAATGTTTTATTGCTTTATTTTTACTTTGTAATCAATGTTTTATTGTACTTTTACCCTGTAAAGCACCTACGTTGTTTTAAGTGTGCTATATTAAAAAAAGTTGTGATTGAGAAGTTGAGATTTACAAAGTGCAAGAAATAAACCAAGCTGTATTCCCCTTGTGTTATTCAGTGTCTCAAACTTCCTCTCAAGTGTTTGCAGTTTCACACTTTGATCATAAAAAAAACAATTATTGTAAAGAAGGAAAATAAACAGTTTACGTGTTTGTTTCATACCTCGTCTTTATAAAGTATAGATAAGGTATTTTTTTTTGTATAGTTGATAATTATGCATGTTAGTGCTTTTTGTTTCTCTTCAGTATTTTTTAAACTTCGACAGCAGGGGGCGCTGGTCAAGATTTATCCTGTGCGTCTTCATGTGAAACTGGCAGACAACTAGTCCGTTGCTATGTAGCCGAAGAGCGTTGCTGGGCAACAGATTAGCTACAGTTAGTGATGGTTGGTAGAAAATAATTAGCAACCTGCAACTTCTTGAAGATATCGTTTGATGGATAAACCCATATTGTACATTCGAACTTTTATTTGAGCTAAGTCGCTGGAGGGAATCCTAAACCTTCCTTATCACGAATTAAACTGTAATGTTAGTTGTAAAAACAAAGTTCATCCTTCACCTTTTGGCGCAACTTTTCAGTTTGGGAATTGCTGAGGTTGATTTTTAGCAGCCAATCTCATTGTTTTAAAGTATTTAACGTTATAGATGAAAAGCCAAGTCAATGATCATTGTAAGTAATGAATAGGTATGGTTGATCAGCAATATATTGCTTGCCAGGAGAGCAAACTTAACCAGGTATCAGGGAATGTTCCCCCCACAAAAATCATGTGTCAACCCACCCTGAGACAGTGTTCTTACATCCTGGTGATTTTATTTATCTTGTTAAAATGCAAGAGTGCAGGTTTGGCTTCAACATCAGACGGGACACATATTAAGAGGGGGGTCTCCAATTGAAGGGTTTGAGCATTAAACACCTAATTTCTCCATTCTGGTGAATTTTTCAGTACCAATTTCTGAATCAAAGTATGGTGGAAATGTCATACATAAAATTCAGGCGACAGGTGACTATGACAGAATATAATGTAGTTTTGAGTCAACACTCAACACACATGCAGGCATGATTTATTCTTCACTCCTCCTTTGTGTCTTATTTGGGGAATAACTTCTTTAAATGTGCATTTTGCGTGTTTTCACTGCAATGTTAAATTAATTAATTTTAATTCATTTATAATCTCCTGGAGTTTAATAGCTTCTGTTTTCCAGCAAGTTTCCTACTAATGTTCCAAACTTTCTGCATATTCAAAATCTATCTATCTAATCTATTTATGCTGAGAAAAAAGTCGTAATATTACGAGAATAACCTTATGATTTAATGAGAATTCATAACAATATTTAAAAGTCTACCTGCCCTGCTGCGTATTAGCCTACTTTATTGGAAATTAACTAAAAACACATCTGATCAGACATAAATCTGACCACAGCCACAGCAGAGCAGAGATACTGTCCCAAACAGAGCAAGTTTGCGATGAGTTGAGTTGTGCTGTTTGTTGACGGTATGATTTATAAATTTTTTTTACTGCGTGAGAAATTTGAATTGTGGCATAAGAGCATGTAAAAAGTGTCAGTTGTGTGAGTCTTACGTTCAGTGCTTGACAGTTGGCAGCTCTGATTAACTAAAACTCATGGCACTTGCAGGTGAATAAACATATTTGTGTTGGATATACAGGTCAAAGAGGAGCAGGTTGATCAGTGTATCAGTCCGGAGGCTGATACTTCCAATGACGCTGAAGTCACACTTCCTAAATCAGAACCAACTGCTAACTGTGAGCTGTTCCCGTCTTCACCCGCTGCACCTGTGAGTGTAAACGAAAGCATAGACAACCTGAATGAAAGTGATGGTTCATCGTCGCCTCATCACGGCAGTAGTGTGGATATTTTTTTGGAATTAGAACAACCTTCCCGAGGAGAAACGTCCTTTCGTTTTTTCTGCATACAAGAACTCACACGAGTGAAAAAACGTACTTCTGCGCTACATGTGGGAAAAGTTTTGCTGTGAGCAAACATTTAAAATATTGCAACATACAGAATGAGAGCAAAATCACACAAGAAAAAAGAAATGTAGAGAATAATCACAAAGAGGAGAAGCCCTTTAAATGCTTTGAATGCAACAAGGGGTTTAATCACAAGGGCCACCTTATTCAGCATGTGAGAGTTCACACTGGTGAAAAACCCTTCAGTTGTGATTTCTGTGGCAAAACTTTCGCTCAGAGCTCTAGTCGTAATGTTCACATGAGAAAGCATACTACAGAGTAACCAAGGTTTTGTAAGAAATGTGGCAAAAGAAAAGTCCTTTCGCTGCTCAACATGTGGCAGAAATTTTCACACAGATTCAGACCTGGAAGTGCACATGGAGGTTCAGAAGTCATGGAAACAATACGTCAGTGAGAAAGTGCAAGGACAGGAGTTAGTAGAGAAAACTTGAAGCTGTATGAGAGAACGTCACGAGTCTTTGTGACACCAAATATTGTTTCAAAAATAAATCAATGAAATGTGCATCCAGTATAGGAATGACCTTTTCGAGCTATAGTCTCTCACAAAAGAAATCTATTTGTAAATATGTTGAAATGTAGCTGAATAAGAAACTTTGTTCATCTGTTTCTGTGGCTACAGTTTATCTCCCTCTAGAGGTGATCTCTCCAAGTTACTTCCATTTTTTGCCTTTTATCCTAAAGGGTTTTCCTTGCCTTTAGAGAGTTTGGGCTGCTTTTCAGGAATTGTTGCTGATGTGGGCCTCTAAAGTTTATTGAAACATTATATGTGTTGTTGTGTTAAACAAATGGCCACATGTTGTTTTTTCCATACTTTGTCTTTTTAAAGTATAGGTAATTATTTTTGGTTTGTATAGTAGGTATGTCAGTATTTTAAATACATGTACTTTTTTCTGTAGTATTTGTAATAGACTGTAGGCAAAGTCCTTACAGGCTGAATTGAGATTTGTTTCGCTTGATTTATTATTTGAATCTCTGAACAAATAAAAAAATGACCTGTGATCCGAAAGTACAAAAACAGATGTGGAGACTGTCCAAAGGAAAAGAAAAACAATCACAACTGTCTGAGAAAATGTCTCATGTTTCAGACCACAGCCTTTTGAGTCCAGTGATCAGAAATCTGGGTTGCAACTAATGTTTGTTTAGTGTTTTAAATTAGTTTGAATGAAGGAGAGTGTCTCGTCAAGTTAATGTTTTCTTTATTGAAACTGTAAGTAGGTCATGAATAATAGAAGACTGATGAAAGGTTGCCTCTTAAGTGAATGTTAGGCTATCTGTCAATGTGGTGATTATCCGGGTTACTTCAATCATTTTTTTGTTGGTTTGGTGCATTTGAGAGCTCTACACTTCAAGCCATGACCTGTTTTTAATTCTTGTTACTGCTCATGGTTATCTAGCGCTTATTGGTTAACAAAAAAAATACTTGTTTTTAGAACTTTTTGTGATACTTAGTAGTAGTAAATCTGTTACTATGAAAAGCTTTGGATCCAACATTAAAAGTCGAAAACTCATCAGTAATCAGAATCAGAAATATTTTATTGATCCCTGAGGGGCAATTGTTGTGTTACAGTTGCTCACGTTGCTAAGCAAGGCATTAAAGAAAAAGAAAAAGAAAAGAAAAATGTTGGCAAGTATAAAATAGAAAAACATAAATAGGTACAGTACGGCTATCGTTTAGCACAAACTTTTTAATTCTAGTACCTTTATTTTGGATCCATGTCCATCAAGTGGGGTGAGGAGTAGGGCTGGGCGATATAGCCAAAAATGTTGTCACGATAAAAAATTTGATATCGATAATTATCACGTTAAATGTCAAATCATTATTTCTTTCAAGTTTAAAGGCTGACTTTTGCTCCTGAGTCAAAGTTGAAGAATCCAGATGGCTAATTGTGGTTTTAAACTTTTCTTTATGGTCAGAACAAACACTTGATGCCAAATTTTCCACTTAACAAATCTGAGGTAGAACATTCACAACAATGATGATAAAATATTTTTTCAACAAATATGCTTAGCAGACAACAGGAAGCCACATTGTGATTACTTATCTGCTCTTACCCTAAAAACAAACCACAAGAGTTGACCATCACTGGTATTGATAGCAGCAGAGAGAGAGGAAAAAATGTCACATATTATGTTTTCTTATTTGACTAAATAAACTACAATATTACTGCTTCTTGCACTTATAACTATAACAGCCAAAAAGCAGAATAAACTGTAGTGTACTACAAAAGGAGAGGCGTAGGATCGAGTCTCTTCCAGGAGCTGGTATTGTCTGCGCGCAGATCGTCTATTTTGAAGAGGAGTCACTCTCTGGTCTGCAACATGGCCCCCGGGTATTTACCCCAACTGCTGTTCGCGACCGTTAACGACGAGTAATTACGGTTCCTGAAAACGGGACACAGTGAGAGCTCTTCTTTTTTTTACTCATCTTAGCGGATACTTATGGAGAAAGATGCTGGCAGGTGATGGAGGGCAAGGCTGCGGCGCTGATAAGACGAGAAGTGAGGAGAAGGCGAAGTGTTTGAGTGTTGGTAAATATAAATGTGGTACTTTGTATTCATAGCTAGCTGTTAGTCTCGTTTAAATAGCACGTCAACGTTTGGCTGCTTTTATAGGATAGCTACGGTTAAGCTAGACACCGGCTACATTAGCTAGCTGGTGGTAATGTAACGCTAAGCTAATCAGCTGCTGTGTTGTGACAAGAGAGAGCTTTGCGATTTGGGACCTTAATTTAACATTAAACCTAACGTAACATTCAAGTAATTAGCCATAAACAGATAGCTTTACATTTTATGAACAACCTAGTGTAGTTTTTAATGTCATGGCATGTCACCTGTCTGTGCAGGAATAAAAATAATAGACTGGAGAAAATGGCTGGACGTCTATAATTGTTGTTGTTTTAAGGATTATTCAGCCAAATAATTTTATCCCTCTGTTGTGTAAAAATAGCTGCTGGGATGATGAATTTCATTGTGTCAGCGTGTTCGTGTTATAGTATTTTCCCCTTCAGTACAAGGTGGCAGTTGTTGTGTGTTTCATGTTGAAGGTTTAATACAGGCACTAACGTTAATCCATGATCCTGAAGTGGCTGACTTGGTTTGAACTGTTCAGCTAAGTAGCACAAAGCTGCGGATAATGTTTCCTGTATCAGTTTACTGACTGCGATCAGTCCTGGACACTTTTTCCATTCCAGGATCAGCACCAGACGGGGAGTCTGGTAATATCTCATAGTTGGATAGACACAAAAAGAGGATGTGTGAACAGATGAGACTGTGTAGTAGATTTGTGATGTTCAGATTTTTTAAGGTTCTAGTATGCGGAACAATCAAACGTGTGCAGGTTCCTCTATTTTACTGAAACCAAAAACGAATAGAGCGTCATCATCTATATCAATTTGTAACCAAATTATACTAGGGCTGGGCAATAAAACAATTATGATATTTATCGTGATATAATTTTCCTCAATAACAATATAACAAATGTTCAATACATTTTTCATTTAATTCTTTTGAATCATGAAAGAACTGTCACTTATTTTTTCTTTGAAGATATTTATTTTGTTGAAGAAAAGGGCCAGAAAAATGGTTTACTTAATTTTACTCATGCATATTTGTTGAAAAAAAGATGAATGTTCTACCTCAGATTTCTTACGTGATCCAGGTGTTTGTCATGTTCTGACCATAAAGAATAGTTTAAAACCACAGTTAGCATTTTGGTTTCTTCAACTTTCACTCAAAAATCAGCCTTTAAACTTGAAAGAAATAATTATTTGACATTTATCATGATTATAATCATGAAATTTGTTATTGCGATAACATCGCCCAGCCCTACTGCCATGGTTGCTTTGTCAGACGTGAAATTGATACCTACATATTCTGGTACTGTCTCTGACGCACAGGCTTTAACACGTTTTTGGATATGCAGCCATCATAACCAACATTACAAAGTACTTTACATGAAAAAGGAATAAAAAGAGTCAAACAGAATATCAATAAAGCTAATCATAAAATGTAAAATACATAGTGTGTAAGCTACAACAAAAAAAAAAGAAGGCAGTTTTTGTTTTCAGTTAAGTGCTCGCCCGTTTTTAACCTAGTTAAAGGAACAACCAGATGGTTCAAGTCTGAGCACCTCAGGCTGCACGCAGGTTGATAGGGTGGATTCAATGTGAAATGTAATCTGGCAGCAGTATATTCATTTAGCCTTAATATTAATCAGTAAACCAAACCCAGGACCAATGTAGGGATGCTAAAACTCGAGTAATGTTGTCAATATGCAATATGATGTCAAGTGAGGTCTATTCAGACATCAGCTAGCAGTGATGAGCTGCTTTTGCTCATTCTGCATACATGTCAAGGGGATGCCAATCTCATTATAGTACAACTGCTCTGATAGAATAGCCAAAAGACCAAACACATGGGGTCCTAGAAAAGTCAGACAATCTTGGAGTGATTACCATTATCAACCCACTGAAACATTTTCTCTGATTCCCAGAAGGCTGTTCATGATGCTCCTCTTCCTGTTCTTTTCACTTTCCTCTCCCAGGTGCATGAGGCCTTGAGGTCCTGCTAGGAGAACCCATGGAGCCAGACATCATGCCGTACCACTCCTCCTCTCCCCCTCCACTGGATGATGATGGTGACGGGGAGGCGGGATCAGAGGAGGACGAGTTTGGGGACTTTGGGGGATTCTCTGTCAGGGGTTCCTGCTCGCCTCCTGGCTTTGCTGATTCTTCTGATTCACCACCGAGCCTCAGATATCCTTCTCCCACCATAAAGCCAGACACCCATCAACCAAACTGCAGCTTTAATCGCCCCGCTGAACAATTCCAACCCACTTCCACTGTGAACTCTGGGTCCAGCGGGGTCCAGATACACGTGGAAGGGCAGGACTGTAATGTTGAATCACGTGTGCACCTCACAAATGGATACTCTGAAAGCTCTCCCAGGGAAGAAACAGGGTTTGCTGATTTCACTGTGTTTGCAGATCAGACAGCACATCCCTGGTGCTGTGGCTTCACCCCCTTGAGCAGCACAGAGCAATGGGATGGCAGAGTGGCAGGGAAAAAGTCCCCCAACAGCTTGGGTGAACAAATCTGTGATCCAGGACAGGAGGTTATTATGGACTCTGAGCCCAGATCTCATGGTGTATATAAGGCAAAAGGAAACGTTTGCTCTGAGGTTGAGCACTGTGAGAAAAGAGATGCAGCCCTCGTGCAACCATCTCAGGACCACCATCAGCCTCAGGAAGCTGCAGCAGCTTTTCTATCTGAAGAGCCTCATTCTGGAGAGGAGCAGGGCCACCCTCGGGATGGTCAAAGGGAACGGAGGCATAGTGTTAATTCTCTGCAAACAGACAAAGAGCTGCAGAAGGATGGAGAGTCAGAAGATGACAGAGACGATAGAGAGCAGAGCATTTCTTCTGTCCCCCAAACATTCAGTGTGTATGAGTCTGCGTCAGAGGACCTGGCATCCTTCTGTGATGATTTGTCATTTGAGTGTCCCTCTGCGGACTTGGAACCAAATGTTTCATCTCTTGCTTCACAAGAGGATCAGACGGACTGGGACCAGACTGATGACGAGGATGAAGAACTGGGAAACTACAGGCGTTCTGCCTCTTTTGTCAACAACAGCATGACAAATCTCAGACAGTCTAATGAAGAGAAGGGTTTTCATCACTGCGATCAATCTGCAACTCAGGAAACTTCTTCTACCTCCAACCAGTCACAATCTGGAACCGATGACTGTAGTTTTGAGAGTCACAGAGACCAAGATCATGTCCAAACAGCTGATGCAGGGGTGCAGAGTCTGGGAAATCTCCCACCGAGTGACAGCTTTGCAGATTTCTGCTCAGCGCCCACACAGGAGGATGGAGAAGAGTCGTGGGCGGAGTTCAAGGAACAGAGGGGTCAGATTGATGGGAGCACTGAGGAGGAGCAGGACAGGGCAGAGCAATACGGGGTTTCCAGGAGGAACAGCTGTCAAGTGGGAGATGTTTAAAAACTGGCTTTAATAATGTCGCACAGAGAATATAATTTTTTCTTAATTTTTATTTCCTTTTCTTGTCAATATTTTGTTTGCTTGTATGTCACTTGCCATACAGATGTTTCTCAGTGCTTTACAGGCAAATGACAACAGTATAGGCTTAAAATGAATGATCAAATCACATATTTTGAATATTTGACTAAAAAAAATAAACATATCCCCTTTTTTCTGGCTAGGCGTCACTTTCCTGCCGTGTCCAACAGCTTCTCCTGGCCAGTTTTCCGGAGATAGAGGTCCCGGCTGTGGAGGGTGAGGAGGAGGTGCTCAGTCTCGGTGCTCTGCTTCACGCCCAACACCTCCCAGAGAGTGAGGAGATACCAGAACTCTGTCCGCCATCTCAGTGGTGAGGATGACTTCCTGGCAATGGTGGTGGTGATGATGATGGTGGATGTGTTGTCAGTCTGACATTATCCCCTAATGATACAACAAAAGCTATTTTATAACTTTAAGCTAGCTCATCAAATCTTTAACATTTGTTGTTGGTAAACTCCTGATATCTGGAAGGGCTTCCCTGGAAAAAATTGCCAAGAAGTGCTTGCTCATGCTGGGACTTGTTGGGTCTCTGTAAATAATATAACAAACAGGACGGTCTAGATCTGCTCTGCATGAAAAGTGCAATGTGATAAATTCTGTTGTGAATTGGCGCTGTATAAATAAAATTTAATCGAACACAATACAGAAGTGATGCATTTCCACGAGGAAGCAACAGCAGTAGGATGTGAATAAACAGATGGAGAACTGGGTAGATAGTGGGAGCAGTGTTTGGCCCCATGACTAAATCTTACAGCAAAAAGTCTGAATAAATAACACAACATTTTTTCAGACCAAAATGCTGCTTTGTTATTTTCTCACCATTTCACAGGATTCAGCGGGGGATGTGGTGGCCACACCAGGACCTCCACAGTGCAGTTGGCCTCCAGTTTCAGTGGGGAGGTTCCCATACCAACAGGACTGTGCTCAGGTGCCTTGGTATGGACACAAGGAACATTGTAAGTTTGGAAAAACATAAAAACTTCTGTAAAACAGTGTTTCCTACACATAGACTTTACTTGGGCCACCCAGGTATATTTGGTGATCCATTTTAGCATTTTGCTGACACAGATAGAGTTGTTATCTTTTATGTTACAAGACACGGACGCGGTGGATATTTTACAAGCACCAACCAAGTAAGGTGATAGTGAACACCAGTGCAGATGTCATTTGGTACTATGTTGGTTTCGATTGTTGTGATATCTGTGAAGATTCTCAGTCATCCAGTTCATAGTTATCCAAAGAAGGTTAAAGTCAAGGGCAACTGGACTTGGTTGAAGATACTAGAAGACGTTTCGTCCCTCATCCAAAGGACTTCTTCAGTTCTGACTGACTGGTAGGGAAACCAAGCTATTCAACCTCAGTGGGGTCGTTTGTCAGGATTGTCGATACCGCTGGTTCGTGAGTGTTCCTGGCTGTTGTAACATATGAGACACTGAGGCGAGACAAGAAAAGGCCATAGAATGTCTACAACAGCTACAGAAAGACAACACCATCTCCCGTGAACAATATTAGCGTTTGTATCCTGGAGAAGCCATTCCATGCATTTATGGACTATCCAAGATACACAAAGAAGGAGCCCCACTCAGGCCGATCATCAGCAGCATCAACTCCTACCTACAATATTGCCAAACACATTTCTACCATCTTAGCTCCCTTGGTGGGAAACACGCCTCACCACATCCAAAACGCCGTTGACTTTCTGAACTTGAAGTTCGAGGACTGAAACTGGACCCAGATGAAACCATGGTATCCTATAACGTGACTTAGTTTTTCACCTGCATCCCCACCATAGAAACAGTAGAAACTGTAAGGAAACGGCTAACACAAGACAACACCCTGGACAACAGAACTAGCCTCAGCCTCAGTAATATCAAGTTCACACAAGAAGATGTCCACAACAACAGTTTGGCGCTGTACACATTAAAGAGGACAGGAGCCTGCAGATTGGTGTTTACAGAAAACCCACACACACAGACCAATACCTACTCTTCGATTGCCATCACCCACTGGAGCACAAGCTAGGGGTCATGAGAACACTGCACCATAGAGCGGAATACATACCAACAAGCGCCCAAGCCAGAGAGAAGGAACAGAAACACCTGAAGGGGGCACTTACAGCCTGTGGATACCCTAAATGGACCTTTGTGAAGACAGCCACAAGATCCAGGAAGAACAAAACTACAGGGGAGGAGGAAAAGAAGGTCAAACGCAACAACATTGTGATTCCATACATGACTGGAGTATCAGAGAAACTCAGGAGGATTTTCAACAAACACAACATCCCGGTGTTTTACCCAAGAACACGCTAAGACAGATGCTGGTACACCCCAAAGACCGCACACCCTAACACAAGAAAAGTGTATGCGGTCCAATGCAGTGAGGAATGCACAGACCTGTATATTGGGGAGACTAAACAACCACTACACAAACGCATGGCTCAACACAGAAGGGCCGACTCCTCAGGTCAAGACTCTGCAGTCTACTTACATCTGAAGGAAAGAGGGCACTCGTTTGAGGACCACCAGGTGCACATTTTAGACAGAGAAGATGGATGGTTTGAAAGAGGTGTCAAGGAAGCCATCTACACCAGGGTTGAGAAGCCGTCATTGAACAGGGGAGGGGGTCTACGCCACCACTTATCCCCCACTTACAATGCTGTCCTTTCATCACTTCCCAGGAAACTCAACAAACGTAACCTATTGGCCTCAGGTGAGGATGCCAACGATGGTCGTTCAGTCTTGGCCTCCGGTAGTCCTAATGACAATAACAACTGTCGTTACAACAACCAGGAACACTTAACGAACCAGCGGTATCGACGATCCTGACAAACGACCCCACTGAGGTTAAATAGCTTAGTTTTCCTACCAGTCAGTCAGAACTGAAGAAGTCCTTTTGATGAGGGACGAAACGTCTTCTAGTATCTTCAACCAAGTCCAGTTGCCCTTGACTTTAACCTTCTTTGGATTATTGTTGTGATAGGCTTCGTCATTAACAAGCCTCCTGCCCAAGCGGCGCACAGGCGGCTGAATATGGAATCGCGGATGAAAAAATCCAGAAGACAACTACTGTGTCTTTTTGGCAATATATTAAAACATAGCCCACTGCTGATGGAGCAAGTTAACAGAGCAGACACATACAGGGAGAGAGAAACAGAAAGAGGCGAGGCACGCCACTGTGTTTGCAGCAGAGCAAAATTAATCTTAATTAAAATAGGACTAAAAAGATATGTAATGGCAGAATTACCAGCTGTTACACTTCTTTTGGTTTCTTATAACATTGAGCTTATCATTTTAGTGTTGCACTGAATGTAAGTTGATCTTGTGTGTCTTTACCTTTTGAAAGGCGTTCATTGGCATGAAGAAGCAGCCAGTGGCTGTGCCTGCTTTTGCATCCAGCCTGGTGAGTAAACTGTTGGACACTTATTGGGGAGAAGCAGCATTGTAATTCTGTAAGATGAGCAGTTTCTGTAGTCCTACATTTTATTTTCTTGCTGTTACCATTGACAGTCCATATTCCAAACCTTGTTTTTTCAATTTCCCCCCTATGGCACTCACTCATCAGGGAATGCTAGAGCCCACCAAAGACTCTGTGTCAGCTGTCTGTTCTCCAGGACACACAGTGGTCACAGCACAAGAACCTCCAGGATCCTGGGCCATACCGGCCCCTTCAACAATGCAGGTAGATTGGTATTTTTAATTTGATTTGATTTTATTACTGCTGTATTAGATCAAAGAACAAGAGATTGGAGGATAATACATGCAGCTACTGTGTAGGGAAACAGCCCACTACTAAAGCCATGTATTTTACTGATCACACCATAAAGCTTGCTCTGCTGTTACATTCTGATGTGTCAGTTTTAAATGCTGTTTATTTTGTGTAGGAGGCGCCCCCTTCCAGACAGCTAGACTGGAGCAGCCGTGGCCTTAGCAGCTCTCAGGACGGTACGTCCCCTCGCCGAGCCCCTCACTTCTGGGGCCGGAAGTAAACTACAGCATCAGCCATCCCTTACGTGGCTTCTTCTAATGAGCTGAAACTTTTGAGACTTTACTCTGGACTCTTCCTCACTTCCTCCAGGGCGTGTTCTGGTTCTTTTAATTCACACTGTGTTTCCCCTCTATTCATTCAGCAGTAGTGGGTGACAGCTGTCCCAGATAAAACACATGGAATCAGTGTTCAGAAATCATGTTGTTGTCATTATGATTTGTCCAACCAAGAAAACTTTCAGAGATGTAACATCCAACAGACCCAAAACTGGGAGTCAAAGACAGATATGCAGCCAAAAAATGACAGGGGAAACACTGTACTGACTTCCCTTTTCTCCCTCTTTCAGCTACTTTTGTGAATTTATCTCAGTATTTATCAGTCCCAGTTTTTACTATGTGGTAACATTATGGTGTCCAGTATTGAAGTGGGAACACAGGAAATGGGCAAAGGCTACTGAAAACTATTATGAAGGCAGATGTGCTTACTGTTGTTGTGCAACTTGATGATTCCAAAGTTTCTTTTTTCAACATAAAGAAATGTGAGGATAATGATAAATTAATTTTACATTTGCAGAACACTAAACTAAATACCAGTGAACTCATGGAGCGTGGTCATAATGTGTCCCATGTTCATTGAATGGATGTGTTTATCCAAAGGACCATTTTAATTTTATTTCTTGGTGGCCACTGTGAGGTTTGAACACTAACATTTCCAGTATTAATGTTAATACTCTGGTCCATCTTTTGCCCATTGCATGACTATTTTACACACTTTTTATTAAGAATTAGCTTATAAATCTGACAGTGTCATTCAATTAAATCTTTGGCTGTATTTGACACTTAGTTTTCACCAAATAGTAAAGACACTTATCTGTTCATATTTGCTTTTAAATGGTTTCAGGGTCCCCTCAGTTACCTTTTGGTAAAAGGAAATCAAAAAACACACATTTAAAAAAAGCTCTAAAAGCAGCTTTAGTACAGTGGTGATAAATATTTGCATAGAAGAAAATTTTTTCTAGTTCATCGTAAAACTGGAATTCTAAAAATGAAAGTATGGATTTGTCAGTTGTTGACAAATGGTCATAGAGCCTACCGTGATCTAACAAATGTGATAAAAAACAAAGTCACAAAACAAAAGAGAGACTAGAAAAATAAATGACAAATTCCACAAATTAACTTGTGTTTGGTGTCCTCGTGAATTTTTAAGGAAAATTCTTTAACATTTGATAGCCAGTTTGTTGTTGCAGCTAAAATGCTGCTAGTAAAGAAAAGTTAAATCTGAATGTTAATTGGAGTTTGCATTTCTGGACAGTGATGTTGATATGTCAGTATGCTGACATGTTTGATTTGTAGCTCTGGTTTGTAGCATGCAAACCTGTTTAAAGTATGCACAGCAGAGGGCAGTGTGTTCTCTGTTGGTGGTGCTGAGGGCAGAAAAAAGGTCAAAGCGCAGTTACTGCATTTACTCAAGGAACAAAATGAAGTCATTTAGCAGATTTAAAGTTAAACTGTCAGCCACTAATAAAACAGGACATGCACTTTATATATTTTAAAATATTTGTTTCTAGTCTATCTATATTTTTAAGTGGTTGTTTATGAAATCTGTCTGTGGGGGTTTGATTTATTCTGTGATTAGGTTAACATATTATCATAATTTAACAATTAAAACAGGAGCCAAACGTCAGGCTGCAGTTTTGATCACTCCTGTCATTCATGCTGACACTGACATACCGTATGAGCATGCTGAATAGGAGATATATATATATATAATGTCATTTGTTTTATTACCAATCAAAAGTGTTTCTACAACTTGAACTGCGGTTACAGTATTTAATAATGATTTGTGCCTTTATGCCAGCAATTATTTTCTAAATAAGGACTTTTTTTTCAAATGATGAAATACTCTTTATAGTTTGTTGACCAAAATGTCTTCAGATTTACTGCTGAAATCCAGATGTCATGCACTGCAATAAGGACCTGTGGGAAATACTTGTAAATACTGAAATAAATCAGTTGATCCTTTCTGTTTGGTTTCGCCTCTTTTCCTTCAAAGTTTCTTTCTTGTTGGAAGCCGTATCACTTTTCTCTGTGGCCGAATGCAAAGTTGCAGTATTCAAACATCTACGCAGCTTGCTGGGATGTGGTGGTTTGTTTTATTTACAAGACAAAGGATATAAAACGGTTTAGATTTCCTAGCTAACCTGCTTAGTCCACCCTTTTAAAGTTGGGACTGCGATAATTTATTATGGCAGGTAACTACCAAATTATTGAAAGTGTTAAGGGGTAGCATGTAAAATATTGTAACATCTTAAAAGATTAAAAAGTTTTACGGGTAGTTTCAACCCTTTTGTTATGATCTGAGACATTCTTATGCTAACAAACTACAACAACATCCAGAGGCTGTTTGGCCCACCTTGTCAGCTGAGTCAGGATATTTCCATGTGAAGTTTAAGTGACCTCATACTAGGTGGTGGATATTTCATGGTTAAGGGGCCTGTGAATCTGAACATAAAAGACTCTGGATAACAAAAACTTTGCATTGCTTTGTTGAGCTTCGTTTGCTGTGTCTGTCATTCTCTCGGTCTTCCCACTGTCTCAGTAAAATGAGAAAACATCAGTCACAAGTAGATGCTCATTCTCCTTTTTTATGAATAAGAAATCAAGCTGCCCCGTCCCTCCTCAGCCCAGAACATTCCTCACTGTCTCCCCTCTGATTAGCACAGACTGCACTGCTCTCAACCTGGATTATTTTGGTCCTGAGGAGGAGGGCAGATCCTACAGCAGCAGCAGCAGCCGTAGCAACAGTCCTCCTCCAGGTCAGCAACTGAAGAAATGCAGATTTGTTTTTGTCAGAGCAGCCACCAATATCAGACCGTACACTCTTGCTAAATTTAGCTCATGCTGTGGGTGTGTAAGTCCTTATGACACTAAATGAGTCCTCTGTACCTTCTTATGACATGTTTTATGTGTGTTTGTTATACACACTCACGTGTAAAGGAGTTGACCGTGAGCTGTATGAGTTGACCATCAGCAAACTGGAAACGGGATTTAACAGTAGCCACATGGAGGACACACTGAATCGCCTGATGTCCACTGCAGAGAAAACCAGCACTTCAGTAAGGTCAGCTCAGTTGTTACATCCATGTACCTTTCATATTTTATTTTAATTTTAAAGCATTCATACAACTGAAACAAAAATCAGAATCATACCCAAGCCTCTCTTAATTACTGTATTAATAATGATGTGTCCTTCTTTTGTGTGTTGTAATTCGTTAAATACTTACTCTGCTGTTTTTATCAGGAAGTCTCAGCAGGATGAAGAGCTGAGTGTGGAAGCTGGCAGAGTGATCTCTGGACTGCCTAACCTGTCTTTCATGCTGGCCAAAGTCCTTATGTTCCCAAGCATTCTCGTACCCAAAGAATGCTGTTCCCCAAAATTACAGTGATTTGTACACATTTACACTGAATGTGTAATCTACCACCTATTGCTGTTAACACAGGATTCAAATACTCCATTAGGGCTATAAGGAAACAAGAGGCATTGTGGACTTGTGGAGTTGAGCTTACTGCTTCAGTCAAAATACTCCACCTGCTGGCTATTATCAGTTTTAAGCCCAAAGTCTTTGTCATTAGAGAGGCATTATATGTGTTAGCTTGTGCATTAATTTCAATGAACAACAATAATCTGCAAAGTGTAAAGAAGGTGTGCAATACAGTATTATATATATTGTAAAACATGTCTGCTTATTAAGTCATATATTGGAGATGGAAAGTATGTACTTACCATAGTAAGAAATGTAGCCTTTGTGAGTGAGTGTGGGATAAGAAAGAATATCTTCCTTCTGTGGAAATTTTAAACAGTTGAAATTTCTTCTCTTTTCATCTTATGGTTGTAGACCGTAAGTCAGTAAAGCTGGTTAATTGGCGTTTGATTGATTTAACTTGCTTTGAATAAAACATGTGAAAGGGCTTCAGGATTTCTCTTACATTTATTGTTATTTAGGTCAGTCATGATTTTTCATCCTCAAACTATTACAGCAACAACAAACACCAGTTTGTACAGTTTACACACCTTCATACATTACTGGTCATTCACTCTCCACTTAGCTCATCCTGGCGTTTTCACATGCAGTGCCCTGTTTGATCTGAGTAGTAGAGCTGGGCGATATGGGCAAAACGATAAAAATATGTCATATCAGTCGATATTGATAATTATCAGGATAAATGTCAAATCATTATTTCTTTCGAGGTTAAAGGCTGATTGTTGTGGTTTTAAATTCCTCTTTATGGTTAGAAAGAGATGATGCCAAACAGTGGATCAATTAACAAATCTGAGGAAGAACATTCATAACAATTATGATAAAATCTTTTTTCAACAAATATGCATGATTAAGTAAAATCCTTTTTTTCAGTCCCTTTTCCTCAACAAAATAAATGTCTTAATAGAAAAAACTGAGTGCTGATTAGTTCGTGATTTTTGTCCATTAACAGCTTCATAATAATTTGTTTGGAGATTTGTCCATGAGTGTTTACATGTTCTGAAAAAATAAAAAAATGTAGCCAGATGAGAAGCTTTACACTTGTTAACACTTCTTGCATGTGGAAATTGAATTAGGCTGCTTTGCATCCACGGACCCTGAACTTAATTAACTTTCTTTTTAGTCAGTCAGTGCATTTGTTTGGTTTGTAAAATGTATGTATGCATTTGGTGTAAGGAGTTTACAGCTTAACATGCATCTTGGAGGGAGGGACTGTCATTTGAACAACTCACCGGATGAACACCCTGCCCTTCCTTCTCCCTGGCCGGGTTGGTGTGTCTTCCTTCCGGCTTGCCGAAGAAAGTTGAGGGAGGTTCAGCGACAACTGGGCTTTTACACAATGGACAGCCAGGGAAGGAAAGTGGTAGTCTGTGACAATGGGACCGGGGTGAGTTTACCGCTTTGCTTTGACACGCTATGAATCCGTGGTTTGCTGTGGACGGTGCCGTTAATGTCGGACGATTTGCTGAAACAGGAAGTATCAGCGTCCAAGCTAGCTAGCGTTAACTGGGTGGGTAGCTATCTAGCCTGTTAGCCAGCTAATTTTCATTCATCCAGACCCGACACGGGAACAGCACGTAGAGTGGGTGTAAATGTCAGGAGAAAAGATGAATACACAGCTCTGATTATAGTTCTCACAGCTACATACATTTTTAAATACTAGGCAGACGTGTAACTGCTCATTTAATACCAACGGTTACTAAGCTAAGCTAGCATGCTAGTTTACTGCTAGCATTTAACAGCTGTCTGGTTTATACTGTCCGGCAGCTGCGTCGCTCATTTCACTGATTTGTTGTTTTGCAAGCGATGCGGGATTTGCAGATTAATTATTTATCTTGTACATTTTGATTTAATTATAAAGAGCAGTAGCTAGACGTTTGTACTGATACCAGCAGCTAGGTGCAACGTTAGCTAGGCCGTGGCAGGTTAATTGAGGAACCACCTTTTATGTTTTCCTGTACTGCAGCTAGCACCAACTTCCCCGATAGAAATGTCACCTAACAGGCGTTTAGTAAGGTGTTTGGACCTTGGAAAGACCACTCCTCATACTTTATTTTTTCACGTATGCATTCGTCGTTAATCATCTTTGTTTTTAGCTAACTTACACATTTTCTCTGGATATATTAACGTTAGGGCTTTTGGCTGGTTGACAGATACTTTAGGTGTGTAAAAAGACATATTTCGAAATAGTCCTCAATACAGTGACAGGTAGCCACCGGCCACTTGCCCAGTGTTGGTCATATCTTCTCTATTGAGGACAGTTTGGTCGTCCTATAAGACAAGATAGACCTTTATTTATCCCCTGTAGGGGAAACTCAGGTTGACACAACAGCACATTTACTTTACTACTTTTAACAATCAAAGTATAATCAGTAACACTCCAAGATATATATATATAAACATACACAATCAATATACAATTAACATTCTAGGTAGAATATACAATAACAATTGTATACAACAGGTCAAAAAATTTAATCACAAATACAGTCTGTGGCTGAAGGTGCTTTGTCACATGCTAGCTGGTTGGTTGAATAGTTCCTTCGGTTGGTGAATTTAGGGTGAGTTTCAAGCTGCTGTGGTTTGTAGACACAATGAGCAGTTCCTACCCCATCCTACATATAACATGCACTTTGCTGATCTTTGTTTATTTTTAAGAAAAACTCTCCCCTCTGCCCGTAACGTCTAAACTGCAAACCCCTGCAGAAACTTAAAATAATGATAACTCTGCACCGTTGCACTGTGGACAAAATATTTACATTGGACTGTTAACTGTTGCACTGATTGTAAATAATTTGTTAATTACTCTTTACTTTATTTCACCTTGGGTCATGTGAGAAACACAATTTCAATCCTCTGTGTAAATAGTAGAATTGGCGATAAAGTTGCGTTGACTTTAATGTTTAGGAGTTACTCATTGCACACAGTTAACAATGCCTCTTTCAGAGTGTAGGTACTTCCTTTCCAAACGTGTCAGCAGTCAAAGAGGATGTTGGCTCAGCATGTTACTGACTAATAAGGCCTTTTTTGAGATGTGAATTTTTTTCAAGTGCATTGTGCGAAGCCAGAACAAAAATTACCAGTGTCAGGAGGAAGTGAGTCTGAACCACAGCCACATATGTCACCAACACATTTTTAGAGCCCTGCTTTATGTTGTTTCATATCGTAGTTCACTTTAAAATCTGACAGTTTCCTTCAAGCACATGCAGCTGCAAAATGAACAGTGGACAGACAACTATGAGCTGTTTGGTTTACTGGTAAATTTCACAACCATCCAGAAAAAGACACCATGGAGGGTGAACTGGTTCTGTAAGATGATTAATCTAGCAGCAACAGCAACCTAATTCCTATGTGGGGGCAGGGCAATAGTGAGATGTCTGCACTACATTTTAAAAGTGTACTTTATTTGGTTAAACACTGGCTTTTGAATTTACCCATTGACACTGACAGTTTGGAAAAAGTCTTTCATTTTTACATTGCTTGAGGTTGTGAAACAAAAAGGACAAATGCAGAAGAATCTGACATGCAACTATGAACACTAAACCACTCAGTGTGTCTGTGTGTGTGTATGTATATTTCTATATTTACACAATGTGTTGATAACGGTTAGTCGCTTAAACATTAAAGCAATGCAGAGGAAGGACTTGCACAGAATGTGTTGCAGCATCATAACTTACTTGCATGCAAGGGAAAATGTGTTAATTAGCGCTGAGCAAAATGTTGACCTGATATCAGTATTTTAATTCGAGATTAGGGATTGGCTGGGATTTTATTTATCATGACACCACAATACAGTTTAGATGAAATCTTTTCTTGGTTTTCAAGATTTAACTGTTCAAGGATTATCTGAGCTCATGTAACTGTTGTGGCTGAGTGCAGTGAACAGTAAGTTCCTCAACCTGCTTGACCTTTATGTCCACACAGTATTAATAATTGTGGTTCTGGCTATATATTTTACTGCTAAAAATACTGTCACATCATTAAAATACATCATGGAAGTCAATTAGCTAAGAAACATCGTGGTGTTTGATTTTTGTCGGTATTGTCCGGCTCTATCATACTGACATCATCTTATTAGGGATTTTCAACATTTTAAGCATTAACTTTATTTTAATGATTGGTTTATTTATTCATATACAAACTTCTACATTGTTTTTATTGTTAAAAGCTGTAGATCAACTTTTAAAAACAATAAATATGTTGCTCAAGCAGATGCTGGCCACAGATGTGTATAAACTCCTTCTCACACACACATACACACACGAATGTCCTGGCATTGTAGTGTAGGCCGTAACATTTTATCTTGGTCTAAAAGCTAATCAAGTCCACTGTTATCAGCAGGATGACAGCAACGTTGTCTCGCTGTACTGCGCAGTTATCTCATCAGTACGTAACTGTATTTCCTCATAACTTCCTCTATGCTCTGGTTTTCTTGTCTCTCTCCCTTTTAGTTTGTCAAGTGCGGCTATGCAGGCTCCAACTTCCCAGAGCACATCTTCCCTGCGCTCGTTGGGAGGCCCATCATTCGCTCGACAGCCAAAGTCGGAAACATTGAGATCAAGGTACGAACTGGTCACCCTGATGTTTCTGGACAGTCCTTTCGTTTTGACCAGAAAGTCTTCATTTCAAGAGCGAAACTGTGACAAGAGAAAATTTTTATGAAGTCAAAAAGCAAGAGATGAAATCGCACACAACAGATCAGTCAATTTCTAATATAAACATTATGTCAAAGCCACAAGCTGTCTAATTGTAATCTAAATTATAAATTTGTAGTAAGTAAGCCCAATTCAATTATATTCGACCAGATGCTGTAATTTGGGTATAGATCAGTTGATTCTGCAGCAGCAAGTCTAAATGTCCCCATTATCTGAGTATGAAGCCTATATCTATCTTTCTACTGTTCTTTCCAATTATTTTGTTTATTTATTTTTTATATGTACCTTCCTCTTCCTCCATGTTTTGTTCCCCCTCGATGAAGTAGAATCCCCAGAAGATGGTAAGTTCAGGTTGGTGTGTGCCTCCGGTTCATGCCTGCTCCGGAGAGTTGTGTCAAAAAAATTAAGCTCTCTTTCTTTGTTTTTAAATGTGTTGTTATTTTGTCCAGTGTTTTTTCTGCATTTGGTTTCTTTTACTCACACGTTGATTCCATTGTTCTACATCCAGACTAATTTGCTGATTTTTGCTGTTGAATTTGAGTGTTGTTGGCCAAATGAGTGGCAGAGAGTCAGTTAGATATACAACCCTTACGTTAATGCACTCCTCTCTCCGGGCTGAAAGTGTTGCAGAAATGGCTGTAATGAATCACAGGCCAGCTGTTATCAATGGGGTGCTAAAAGAGATTTTGGACCGATTCCATTTTCAGAGTCTCTCATCTGCTGGTGCATCCTGACAGCTACGCCCCCCACCCCTCAGTCCAGCTGCTATTTAAGGACTGAAATAATCACAGCATTTTTCAGCTTCAGCAGGAACTTCAGCTGCAGTTGTTGTATATCTATATATCACAGATCCGTTTACCTTTTTATTTAAGGAATGTCCCGTTTAGAGTATTTGACTTAGTAATCTGTAAATGTTTCACCTTTTCAAGTGCAGAGGAAGTGTCCAAACTCCAGCATGCATTTTTTTTTTTTTTTTTTTTTTCGTGAGACCACATGGAGGCAATGCCTGTGACTGGTACTTTTGTTAATGCCAAAGCATACAGGATGAACCCATAAAATGGCTGCCTTCAGTGGGCTTTTGATGTCTCCAAGTGGAACGTGAGAGGCCTGACTGTGTGGCTAATACTGAGCTCTAACCCAGCAGTTGTTTACATTGCCAGGCTGCCTTGCATGCAGCTAGTTGAATGGTGCTAAAACAAGCGGTTTACTGTAGCTGGAGGGAAGCAGAAGTGTTTCCAGGTGTAGGTGCATGGAAAATAATGGCTTGTTGTGCATGCTGGGTAACAGAGTTTTAAAACAAAAAATACTTAGGTTAAGGACATTACTTGCTTGATGCTCCGTTTTAATTTTGAGACCAGCAGGCCACTGGGGCAAATTGAGATTATTTTACTGTCTAAACTAACTAACTAAACCAATACTTAGTGCCTATCCCTGCTCCCAGTGACTCTGAAAGATCCAAACTGGGTTTCAGAAGTGAAGGGCTACGCTGCACAGCTTCTGAATATTTATTTGTTGACCTTTGACCTCTCTCGCCAGGACCTGATGGTGGGGGACGAGGCCAGCGAGCTGCGCTCCATGCTGGAGGTTAACTACCCTATGGAGAACGGCATCGTCAGGAACTGGGATGACATGAAGCACCTGTGGGATTACACCTTCGGCCCAGAGAAGCTAAACATCGACTCGCGCAACTGCAAGATCCTGCTGACCGAGCCGCCCATGAACCCCACCAAGAACCGCGAAAAAATCATTGAGGTATGTTGACATTTATTTCCTTGTATTTGCAGCTTGGATGTATTTTTGTTGATGTGTGAGGCGAAGAAAAAGAGGAAACTGTCTTTATGCATTTCTTACTGTGGGTAAGAAGATCTATTTAATCCGTATCACCGAGGGATGTTAAACTGTACTCATTCACTCTATATCCAGTTATTCAAAGTATTGAAATTAGCATAGCTCCTGTCAGGTTTGTCAACATAATTATAATGGGCCACTAAAGGTCGACTCTGTCGATAACTTGGTGGTCTTTGGTGGGTGGAGCAATAGGCTGTGTGTGATGGCCAGAGAGATTTGTCATCCCTTAAACTGCTACATGATGTAAATTAGAAGAAATCATATTTATTAGTTGGGTTTTTTTTCTGGAGCCAGCAACAGCCATTACAGGAAATTTATTTTATGGCATTTCAGAATTTTCCACTTCACTCCACTTTTCTGTGAAAGTATTGTATTATAATCCTATGTGGATAGGTTGCCAGATGTACTTTATTTGTTTTTATCAACGGTCTGGCGTTTTCTGACTTCTGCTGCAGGTGATGTTTGAGACCTACCAGTTTGCAGGAGTGTACATTGCTATTCAAGCTGTGCTGACACTGTATGCCCAAGGTAAGACAGAAACTGTAGAAGTCAATAGCAAAATGTTAATATTGCACAGATTTTGCAGGTGCTCTATTCCAACAAACCCACAAATGAGATTTACACTGTGTCATAAATTAAATTATGTGTAGTTCAGTAGCTGAGAGACGGAAGGCATTTCATTTTAATCGCGGAAATATTCTTGTGTGGCACTATTTAACTACAACACCTTTGTCAAATAGTTTGTGCAAAGATTTGTTTTATGAGACTGCTTAGATACCTTTGGTGCCCAGGAGTCTAGACAAACACATGAACATCACTCTGCAGTGTTCCTGCAAGACACGATATCCTGACATTATCTGAAGTGTTCTGATGTGTTAAGGACGACCTGTGTGGAGCTTCAAGCAGGATCAGATGACCTCTAAAACCATTTGCACCTACAGTTAGACCCAGTCTGTTTCGAACACACAGCCATGCATGTGGTCTGTGTGCTTATCCGCCATTTTGTCTCTTGAGTTTATTACCAACTAGTGAGCATTTATTAGCAGTTAATTGTTAAATTATAGGTATTCTCTTTCCAGGTTGTGTGTGTTTACCCAGCCAACAAGACTAACAATTAGTAGCCCAAAGCACACACTGGATAAAACTCGGACACAAACACACCTCTGTTTGTAGAATTGTAGATTGCTAACTGTAGTGAATGTGTGTGTTTTAGGCCTTCTGACCGGTGTGGTGGTGGACTCAGGTGACGGTGTGACACACATCTGTCCAGTGTATGAGGGTTTCAGCCTGCCCCACTTGACAAGGCGCCTGGACATTGCAGGCAGGGACATCACCCGCTACCTCATCAAGGTAATCAGTCAGTCTCTCAGTGTGTGAGAGAGTGTAACAAAGAACAAAAACTAGCAGCGCAAACGAGGTAGTTTGTCAGGGGAGAAAATACTGAACTACGTTTTTTTTTTTATTTTTAATTGATTTAAAAAATCATGTTCATATGGTAGATTCCAGATAATAACACTTGCTGGTGCTGAAGCTGCAATGGTTAGTTGTCAACTATTACATTAATCTGCAACTACTAACAACCTTTTTTTTAAAGGGGGGGGGGAAAGGTCCAAATTCCAGTCGTATGTAAATATTTTCTGTTTTTTTTTACATCTAAATAACAGTACACTGAATATTTTTGGGTTTTAGACAAAACGGGATATTTGACGATGTCATCTTTGGCTTTGGGGAAAAAAACAATTAACATTTTTCTCCAATTTCAGACATTTTCTGGACCACAAGTTATTAATCGTGAAAATGATTGACAATTAATTGAGAATTACATGAAACCTTACTTGCAGCATAATTCACTGCATCACCAGCACTTCCAAAATTGATATTTTCATGCTTTTGTGGTGTAACAAATATGGAGTTCAGTCTCTTTAAATTGGTTGCCCTTTAGGAAGGGGACACCGGCATCTTCTTTGTAAAAAATACCATTGGTTCTTAAATAAACATATAAAGGAATCCCTTTAAGTAACTCAAAAGAAAAATGCTTTCTGACCTTCTTCGTCTTATTTCTGCTTTTCGTCCATCTCTGGGTACAGCTGCTGTTGTTGAGGGGCTACGCCTTCAATCACTCTGCAGATTTTGAGACGGTGCGCATGATGAAGGAGAAGCTGTGCTATGTGGGCTACAACATTGAGCAGGAGCAGAAGCTGGCGCTGGAGACCACCGTGCTGGTGGAATCATACACGGTAGATACTCATGTGTTTTTAATTTTCAGCATAATAAAACACTGATAAATATACTTTATACATGCAAGCAGATTTAATATAATGCACATTTTGACTGCGGCTATTTGTACCTGTTTGTGAGTTGTTTAAGAAAGCTGTTCAACTTCTAATCATTATGTAACATGGTGTTTGTAGTGCCCTCACGTGGATGTTTTATGCACTTTTCATTTGGTATCAAATAGGGGAAAAGGGACAACATAAAAGAAATATCTCCCCTTGGACGATCATGGTAGCTCAGCACTCCTAGACGCGTGCCATCTTATCCCACTCACTGCTCTATGTTTCCTGCTGTCATCTACGTAATAAATATGTCAGAAAACAATCATTTAAAAAAGGTTTTCTATTAAATCAGAGACATGAGCTTTGTCAGGACACAGTGAGACTCAATATGAGGATAAAGATGACAGAATTTGGGACAGAAATGTGAAATAACTGCTAAATACTGACTTTACTCATCCATATTTTGTCTAACACATTAAGCAGAAGTTTTTATTTTATTTTTTAAGTTGGCAATCTTAACGGAAAATTAACACATTTCCAGCCCCCGGGGAAATTCTCGCTTTTGTTTTGTTTACTTGGTTATTAAAATTAGTTATTTTTATGCAAGCCACATGCGCACAAGTTTCAAATGTCTGCTTAAAATAGCTTTGTGGAAAAAATCCCTAAGGATTTGTTATTCAAAAGTGGCAGTATTTTGAAGTAATCAAAACTAATGTGGTAACTGAATCTGTTTCTGCACTGAGCTAAGTAGACTACCACATGCCCGTTGTTGGTTCTGTTGGCTGCTTTAGGACGGGGCAGTGCTGCTGACTGTTTTCTCTGGGACTCAAACATATGGGGGTGCAGTGCTCCTCCACCAGGCTTGCTTTTCTTTCCAGGGCCCTTTTCCCCGCAGAGGGAACCGCAGAATCTAAACGCCGGTCCTGAAGTCTGTGTTACTGCACGCCCTACCGCGCACATGTTGTGTCTCAGAGCTCACTGACCATGAGTGTTTGGGTTAGTGTAGGCGAGTGTGTGTGTAGGTGTGTGAACATGTAAGTATCATTTTGTGCGCACAAGTGTGCCGAAACAAGGAGGGCAATGTAACTGTGGCCGAAGTGCCCTGAACTGTGCGTTACATCATTTCCTGGGCAGCCACTTTGCGACGGTGGCTGGGCTCCGCTTCCTCCCACTGCCCTCGGCTGAATGAAGTCTTTTTATAGGCGCGCGCACACACATTCACTCTACTCAGTTTGGAGCCTACACTCTCTGTGCTTTAACTTGCTGTACAGTATTATCTTGTAGAGTGTTGTAGCAAAACAAACTGCAGTAAACACACTTTCATACATTGCAACAACCTTTTGAAAAGTATAATTTTTGATTCTTACAAGATTTATGACTCTCTACTAAGTCATACGTTAAGTCATCACATTTTCTTTTTTCCCCTTCTCTTTTCATCTCATCCCTCCCACACATCTCCAGCTGCCAGATGGTCGTGTGATCAAGGTGGGAGGAGAGCGGTTTGAGGCCCCGGAGGCTCTGTTCCAGCCCCACCTCATCAACGTGGAGGGTGTCGGAGTGGCTGAGCTCCTCTTCAACACCATCCAGGCAGCCGACATAGACACCAGGTGAGGCCAACAAAAGAGTACAGATTCACTCCACTGTCAATAAAGAAAGGCAGACGCATCAGTATATGCTTTACTGAGAGGGTTTCTGCTTTAGCACACATAAATAGACCACATTAACACAGGCAGATATATGCAAAATGGTGGTGTCGGCCTCCCAGAGCTACCACTGAGTTCTCTATGGAAAGTATGAAAATTAATCTTTGGGTATGTAAGAGTGGAAATGTCAAAGAAAATACACCCTTGGAAACCCAATACATCATTATTTAAATTATCTATTTTTTTAGAATTCATTTGAAGTCACTGAAGGGCTTTAATCTGCAAGGTCTTAAATGTAGATTTTTAACATTTGTGCACTTGACATGTGGTTGGTTCTCTTCCTGTTCTCACCTTTGTTTTTTTTTTTTTGTTTTTTATTCTGTCTTGCCGTCCTCAGGGCTGAGTTCTACAAACACATCGTCCTGTCAGGAGGATCCACCATGTACCCGGGCCTACCTTCTCGGCTGGAGAGGGAACTCAAGCAGCTGTATCTGGAGCGTGTACTCAAAGGAGATGTGGACAAGCTTTCGGTGAGATATCGACCCTGAACGCGTCATTTATAATTACACTGTTGACGGTGTGAAGAGCGTTATTGAAGGACTCAGATGTGGTTTACAGTATGAGTGTGAAAACGGGTCACACGACGTTAATTTGAGCTCAAATTAGAACTTGATTAGTGTCAATTGCACCGTGACCAATGTAACCTAAACATTCAGATGAGCCAAAGTCTGGCTTTACAGTGCCAGGCCTCTCAGTGGGTGTGAATCAGTATTTCCAGCTGATCCTCCGGGTTTGTTTAAGTAGGCTTGGGCGGGGTTTCCCACATGTTAGAGAGCCGTAAAGGTACAACAACCACCCCAAGGGAACGTATTTGAGTCATGTTAGTATGTAAACGGTGACTGACGCCTGACAGTATCTCCTTTGTCCTGATGAGGTTAAATCCCACACACTGGGAAATCAGTTAAATAAATGAAACTCCTTGAATCATGTGCAGTTGGACGACTTGTAGCATTTCTGTCTCGAACACTTGCTCTTGCAGGTTTAGGAGCAAAGTTTATCAGTATGTGACGTTTCAGACTGGTGCAGTGTACGCAGACCACCACCAGGTGGTGTCATAGGTTAACAGACATTCAATGAATTTAAACAGAGTATTTTAATAACAATATATATGGGGTTCACTTCCCAGTGGTAAATATTTGCTTTTGGAAAAATCTCACTACATTACATTTCAACAAAAGTATTTTAAAGAAAGCTATGATTTTAAACAAAACTATTGTCAAAGATCTACAGATGACTCGTACGTATAAAAACAAGAAGTCACATGCTTTACTCCTCTGCCCACAACTGTCTTCAAACTGTTTATCTAATTTTAGAGTAGAAATCTTTATTATCTTTATTTACATTGTGTAAAGATTGAACACATTTGAAAACATGACAGAGATCCCCAAATGTGTATTTTTATATATTTTTTTCAAATATTTAACCCGTGTTTGCTTGAAGGACGGCTGTCGGTTACAATGCATTCCACTGTTGACAAGGTCTCACGGTGAAAACATGTCAAAACATCCATTAAAAATGTTATAAGCCATTGCTGTTGCACTGTAAGCAACAAACAGAAGCTGTGTCTTTCGCCCTATTTGGTGAAATATGTGTTTGGAAAATGCTGAGCAATCAGACAGAGACAAGGGAAGAGGCAGGAGAGGATTGAGAAGTTCGTATTGATGTTTTGATTCTCCCGTTGTCGTACAACATATATGACAAATTTGTATCTGGCATGCATGAAGCCGTCCTTTCAAGCTGATTTTTCGTCGAGTATCACTTAAAAGCTGCAGTCATCAGTCTTTTTAGATTGGCAAATGGCTGTTTAATGTGAAGTGTGTTGCTCATAGTGATTAACCCCCAGAGAATTCCACTTTCTTTTCAGAGCGTTTCAACATTTTAAGTTCATATAGTGTTTTAGTTCACTCTCACCGCTCTCATGTAGATCCCTTAGGAGTTGGGGCAGACCAAAACGGAGCTAAAGGAGAGTGAATGTTGTGAGATTCATCAAGTGACTAAAACGTGACAAATACATGCTAATATTAATCCTAACATGAGCGCTACATCAACTTTAGGGATAATACTTTGTCAGTAGTTGCTGTTTATTAATGCAGGTGGTAGCGATGTTCACACTGCACGTCCTTAATATTAAAATGCTGCTTACGCTGTTATTATCCTATAGCATCATTTATAATCATATTTATAACTAAATGATGCTATATCCAATATTTATGACACTGTTAAAATCATTTACAAAAGAACCCATCTAGTTTTGTTCACTTCGTTCCTCAATTGGCTTCAGTTTCACATTACAGTTTTGATGCCATCTTTCAAGTTTTGAGTTTTATTCCAAATCGTAGTCCCGCCAGCTGTTTTATTTTAAAGCTGTGTATTGTTGCTCACGCTGGTTGAGTCAAGCTCCCTCTGGCACCAAAGTTGTAACAGTTGTTTTCAAGTTTGTCTTGGCAGCAATTACACATTTTTATTTGAATGTACAAACACTTGCAGGTCCGGAAAAGCATTTAATTCAGTTTCCTTAAAGAAAAAAGGTCGTACATATTTTTTTCTTGTTTGCTGAAGTCAGGTATATTAGTTTGTGGATGTTTTTGGATCTGATTGTTGGGAGACGTGATACTCTATAAACTCGAAGTGTGATTGTTTCAACTGTGTTTGTGTTGCAGGAGGCTGTTTAATCTTTTACAGTCAGCACCATCAGACCTGTGGCAAACAATTTCACTGCTAGCTGCAGCAGCTAGTGTTGATTTTAGTAAAAATTTAAATGAACTACGTTTACGAAGCGCAAAAATACTCTGTTACAAGTGAAAGTACTGCTTTGAAAATGTTACTTAATTAAGGTATGTAAGTATAATCAGGAAAAAGTACTTAAAGTTAAAGAAATGTCCCCTGTGAGTGTTATACTATTACATCTTATCATTAGACTGTTAATACTGGGGCATTAATATAAAGCAGGATTTTACTCTTGTAGTTGGTTAAACGGTTTTGTATCAGAGTTCAATTAATGATTATTTGTATTATGGATCAATCCGCTGATTATTTTCTCCGTTAATCGATTGTAATAATTCTGAAAATGGTGAGAAATGTGAAACTGTCCTGAGACCAAAGTGACACCTTCACAATGCTTGGTTTGTCAGTTAAAACCTCAGATTGATAAAATATGTTAAAGTCAAATGTTCACATTTGTGACCCAAGAAATGTTTTTACATTTTACATACTTAAACGATCATCAAAGTAGATGCCAATTACATTTCTGTCAATCAACGAATGTACTAGCTGTACTTGTATAGACTGTTGTGTAGTTTAATTTATAGCAAAACATCATTTTTAAACTCGTCATATGTTTTGTGTGTAAATATCTTACTTTGTAAAGTATTTAGTAAGTGAAGCTGTCAGATAAATGTAAAAAGCACTTGAGTAAATGCTGTCAACCACTGGTTTTTCATTATACTTCCATATTGTGGCCGGTATGGTTGTGAAACAGGAGTTAAAACAAGTGTCAAACTTAACTTGATGAACTCTGCAGAAACATTTATCACGTCTGAGTTGAGAAAAACAAAACATTCGGCCATTACAGGATGTTTCTTTGTAACGCAGAGCCGTCCTACATGTCTGTGTGTGTCCCCTTGTCTTGTAGAAATTCAAGATCCGGATTGAGGATCCTCCCAGACGAAAGCACATGGTGTTCCTGGGCGGAGCCGTGCTGGCTGACATCATGAAGGACAAGGACAACTTCTGGCTGACCCGGGAGGAGTACCAGGAGAAAGGAGTGCGTGTGCTGGAAAAACTCGGAGTCACCGTCAGATAAAGCACTGGACGGACAGACCACACACACACACACACACACACACATAAATACACACACTTACATGACATACACATATTTCCCCCTCGCCCACATTGCAGAGTATATATCTATTTATCCCTCTTTCTCTCTTTCGGCTCTTGATGCTCTTCAAACATCAGAGGCAATTGAGCCGCCACCTCCCCCTCCTCTTTCTCTCTCTCCTCTCTGCCTCTCCTCTCCTGGTTTGGGATTGGCTCACACTTTTCCTTGCAAGAACCATCTTTGCAGATTTACACTGAAACCCCACCTTTTACTTAAACCTCGAATTGAAGGGTTAATGTTGCCCCGCTGGCGTATTTTAGAGTCTGATTGTCACCGAGTGCTGGCGGCAAAGGTTTAAATCGGGGCGGGAAATGTTAACTCTGCATGTTTACCTGCAAGTAGGTTAGTCATAGGAGTTAAATTCGGCAGGTAAACCGAAACGGTGAGTTGTTTTGAGAAAGGTTCCCTGCCTTTATTGAACGTCCGGAGGGGATAAATTGATGCAAAGTTTCTAAGCAACTCGTAAGCATCTGTAATATCACAATCAGGGTCCACAACAAACAGCCACGGGCCGCTTTCAGCATCTGTTCCAGGTGAGCGAGAACTGATCACATTTTTATGTCGGTTTTTATAAATGATATCATGACTTTTCTTTTCTGGGAGAGGGATTACTTTTTGTTCTGCTTTTCCTTTTGTTGTTTGATGTACGAGTTCAATTTATATCTTGAATATTATTTTTTTCATTAACTTTTTTTTTTTTTTTGTTGCTGTGCACTACTACCATTGTAAATGGAGTGTATTGTGATAACAGAAGTTCCTCCATGTTTTTATGAAGAATTGATGGTTGATTGATAAAGGGACAAATACTTAAAGGAGCCCCTGAGCTTGATATCGAGTGTGTGACGGTACTGTGGGGTGATGAAGCAGTGGTGTGTGTGTGTGTGTGTGTGTGTGTGTGTGTGTGTGTGTAGGGGAGGGGTGATACTATTTGTTCGTCATTAGTCAGCCTCGCCTCTGCCTCCTTCTCTTGGGGTAAATCTCAAGCTGAATGAATGGGTGTGAGCAGTTGTGACGACGCCACAGCACCTCACCTGTCGTATTCCTTCAGATGCACCGGAGCATGGAGGCAGTCGCAGGCTGACGACGAGATCGATTTTTGAATCTGGGCACAGAGCACCGCAAAATAAAACGGTATTTTATGGATGTTGGAATGCGGAAGTTTTCCAGTCTTTCACTCCCAAATAATCAACTTAATGATTACTGGAGGCACTTCTATTTTGAATATGAGTATTATTATTTTTTTCCTTTCCTCTTTCCATCAACGTCTATCCAGTGCCAAGAGCAGTTAATGTGGATCTCTCATGATTTTCTTCTTGTCACTGTTTTTGTTTTTTATTTTCCTGTGTTGTTCATAGCATAACTGCCTAACGCTGATTTAAATAAAGAAAAGTGATTTATAAGGATGTTTGTGGCAGGTTTTTTATTTTTGGCACTTTTGTATTTTGGCCGAGTAAAAACTGAAACCAACGCAAATCTTACAGAGTGATATCAAACGACTCATTCTGGGTTTGACTGAATTAGATATTTTAGTCCATGAACTTTGGTTTCCGAAGGGGGTCACGACAGAAAAGGCTGGTTTACAGTGATATAAAGCAGAAAAGCAGTCATTTTCTCACATTTTCTCACACAACAGAGTTTTAACCAGTTTTATCCCATCGACTTGTCTGAGCTTTTAAAAACAGTATCACAAATGAGAGTGTCCTCCGGCCCACTTGATATAATACCTACAAAATTTTTACTGAAAGTAATAGATTCTGTTGGGCCCCATTTGATCTCTGTTTTCAACAGCTCCCTATCTACTGGTTGTGTCCCTGATTATTTTAAAACGGCTTGCGTGAACCCACTTTTAAAGAAACCTGGTTTAGATCCCTCCCTCCCACATAATTTTAGACCAATTTCAAAACTGCCTTTTATTGCAAAGATTCTAGAAAGAATTGTGTCCAAACAGCTGCTCACTGTGCTGGAAAATAACAAAATATTTGAAAAGTTTCAGTCTGGTTTTAGGAAGTACCACAGCACTGAGACTGCCCTGCTTAAAGTCACCAGCGACCTTTTAATGTCTGCTGATGAAGGCATGTGCTCAGTCCTGGTACTCCTGGACCTTAGCGCTGCTTTTGACACCATTGATCACAACATCATGTTAGACAGACTGAGGCACTGGGTGGGGATCTCTGGTACTGCTCTAGAATGGTTTTCATCCTACCTGTCAAATAGGAAGTTTTGCGTGTCTGTAAACAACTATGTCTCTTCATTCTGTCCAGTTAAATATGGTGTGCCTCAGGGGTCGGTCTTAGGACCCATTTTGTTTTCCTTGTATCTGCTTCCCCTTGGACATATTATCCATAAACATGGCATTTCTTTTCATATTTATGCTGATGACACACAAATATACTTGCCCGTCAGATCCACAGACCCTGGAATGCTGAGTTCACTTAACAACTGCCTTTGTGAAGTTAAAAAATGGATGTCAAATAATTTCCTCCAGCTGAACTCAGACAAAACAGAAATCCTGGTCATCGGGTCTTAGCAGATGGCAAATCAAATACTGCCATCTGCTGGTTCCCTAGTAAATCACATTAAGCCTGTGGCAAAGAACCTTGGTGTTTGGTTTGATAGCAATTTAAATTTCAAGCAGCACACCACAAAGCTTGTTCAATCATGTTTTTATCAACTTAGAAATTTAGCTAAAATTCGATCTATGTTAACTTTTAAGGACACCGTGACCATTTTACACGCCTTCATCTCATCACGCCTGGGTTATTGCAACAGCCTTTTCACCTGTTTAACCCAAAAATCTATTGATCGACTCCAGACTGTCCAGAACTCAGCTTGCCAGGCTTTTAACCAGAACAAAGAAATATGACCACATTACTCCTATTTTAGCTTCATTACACTGGCTCCCAGTATGTTTTAGAATTGACTTTAAAATTCTATTGATCACTTTTAAAGCTCTTCATGGCCTCTCGCCTTGTTATATTTCTGAACTTTTAGTCCCATACACACCAGCACGTACCTTGAGATCCTCGGGCAGAGGTCTGCTGTCTGTTCCAGAGTCTCGACTGAAAACTAAAGGGGACAGAGCGTTTGCTGTCAGGGCCCCGAGGCTCTGGAACAGCCTGCCCGAGGAAATCAGGTCGGCTGAGTCGGTGAACTCTTTTAAGTCCCTTCTTAAAACATACTTTTATAGGAGAGCTTTTCCCGATCTTATTTGACTTTATTTTATCCCTTTTATTTTATTGTATTTTACTAATTTTATATTAAATTTTCATGCTCTTATCTTTTTTGTATTATTCTTTACACTTGTTAAAGCACTTTGTAACTTGTTTTTGAAAAGTGCTCTACAAATAAGGATTATTATTATTATTATTATTATTTGAGAAACTGGAGCCGGTGAATATATGAAATATTTGCTCAAAGAATTAGTAAAACTGGCAAAATGGTGGCCAAATCATTTTATTTCTCAAAATCAATTATTTCTCTAATTTAGCCAATAGCGGGGATTTTTTTTTTTTTTAGTTAGAAACTTAATTTCAATCATTTCCAGTCGCCTTGAAAAATATTGTGAAAATCCTTTGCACATGTCATATCACTATTCTTTATTCAGTTATTAATTTGGATTTGGATTAAAGAATAATTCCCATTTGTACAGAGTACACAGATCTTCAATCAGTGTTTAAACATTAAGCATGAAAGTTAGTCTTTCTTGACTTTCACAAAACAAACCCAACTCAGAAGTCCACCTGCAAGCTTTTACCTCACCTTTCAACTGCACCACATGGTTCATCAGAAGATGGAGTGTGCTCAGTAGTTCTTATGTTTCCTACAGCACCTTTTAGGACTTCTTATCCATCTTGACTTAAAAGGGAAGGGTCAAGTTTAATAAAACAACCCCGACTGAAACACCTACTCATGTCAACAGATCCATCTCTATGCAAACATCTGGTGCTGCTGAAGACTATGTGAAATAGCTGAAAGCTGTAGAAAAAGCTTTAGTGGACCTAGGTAGGTTGGGTTTGTTTTGTTCATTAGAAATTGTTATGAAATACTAAATATCATCCACAGCCTGTAATGACATGTTCTACTTGTTGACATGCAGCCAGTCAACTGAAGTTATGAGTCATCTTCAGGCTGAGAGGAACAAATTGATTAAAAACATAACAAGACATCAGCAAAAATCACAAACTGATATCTGTTGTGGGGTGCTGGTTTCATGTTGGAGAAGAAAAACAAATATTTCCTGCTCCTCTTAAGACTATTTAAGTTTTTACAGAATAACACATTCCCCATCTTACAAACAAAATATAGGATTCATAAACAATAAAAAACAAAAAGCACCCTTGCAGGTATTTTGTTGATAGAGCCTTACTTGGTTTGGTATGAGCAGCATACGGTGACTAAGGCTAGCTAATGTTAGAAAAGTTAAGATAGAGCTCACTGAGGTAGGTTGCTGACTCTCTAACTGTGCTAATGTTTACTATTATCCCTTAATTGTCACTTGTGGCTACAGTGGCTGTTACCAAAGTTACATAATTGTGATTTAATTCAGCTTCAACTTATATTGTGGCTGAAATGTATATTATATTATTATGTATGTATAAAACTAAAATACATGTGCAGCAGCATATTTCCGTACAGCTCTGCAACGTGGAAACAACTTTGTTACTGTCATGAGCAGAGAAAACAATGTCTGTTCTCTGGTTTTGTTGTGCCTGTTTTAATAATATCATTACAGGTTTACTTTGGAAAGCTTAATATCAAACTAAAACAAAAATCTGCAACTGATACTTCAATCAATATCTTTTTTATTTAAGTTTGGAATAAAATAATGATTCTGAGAAAGTTTGAGAATGTGGTTGATGTGTGCAACTTTAAAAATCAATCCATGTCTCCTGAAATTGATAAATGTTTACGTCTTTTGTAGGGCTGCAACCAACAATTATTATCTATTTATTTTGTTGATGAATTGATCCATCATGTGGGCCACAACCTATCAGAAAGCCATTAAAAATGCCTATCACAATTTCCTTAAACATCAGATGTCTTTTTTTTGTCCGACCAACAGTCCAAAATATATAAAGTTTACTATAAACCGAACTACTAAAGACAAAGAAAAACAGAATATTATCACATTTGAAAACCTCAAATTTAATGGTTGCAACTCAAGTCTGTTGCAGAGAGCTGGAGGTGAGATTAGGTCGGTTGACTGATATACTGCTCTACCAGAAGAGAGGATGGAGGTATGAAGGTGACTGAGTGCTGCACACAGACCAGGAGGAGGAAGAGGAAATGGAACAGTGGCAGAGGACTGGCGCCACCAAAGGAAAAGGCTCTCTTTCCGTGCCTGAAATAAAGATCTCACCCAGACTCTTCCGGCCTTGTTCCATTTTAATCCCTCGACTCTTACCACTTCCCTCTTAACCCTGAACTGTTACCTCTGAAGCACCGTTTGAAGTTTCCTCCCCACCAGAGCACAAACAAAGACATTACCGGGTTTCAACCAAAGCGGGAAGTAACGAAGGACATTTGCTGAGATACAGTACTTCGGTGCGGAGTACTTTGCTTCAGACTTTCAATATTACATTTTTACTGCCTTTCAGATTGTACATTCAATATCAGATAAGTTAGATCCATTTTCTTAACAATCTAAACCAACTGTCAACTGTGCATGTACTTAAACAAAACTTGTGAATCAGCTTGATTGCACTGTGAATTGTAGACATTTTAGACCGAGCGCTTTAGTCAGCTTTTGAAGTTCAGGCAATTGAAACATCTTCAATTCTATGACAACCTCCTCCTGCTGATCATGTGATATGATCAAAAGCTCCAGAACTACTAAATGGACTTTGTGTTGGGATTCTTTCGTCCATTATTAAAAGAGGTTTAGAGAATTGTTTTAACCTAAAGGATCTTTCAACTGATATTAAAATGAATGATTCAGAGGCCCCTTTTTTGTTTCTAACTTTTTTTATTACTGATATATTACCATGTAGCACTTGGTTCACATCTGTAATGTGACACAAGAACCATTCCTTCCTATCTATACTTTTACTTTTGTTGCTTGAGTACATTTTGCTGCTAAAACATAAACTTGTAATTAACCTTTTGGTGGACTTTCAACTTTTCTACACGTTTCACCCAGATAAACACCACAGGGTTTTAACTTGCTTTTGCACCAACTGTTACCAGCTAAAACCTTTTCCACAGGGTGGGAGTAGAGAGATGTTTTTCTCAGCAGTCTTACAGGGTTTATCTCAGGTGCAGGGTATAACTCTGCCAGGCAATGCTTAAACAATTATCTGGCTCCTTGTAATCTTCTGCTACATATCTACTCAGTGTGGGTTTATCAGGCAATTTAGACCCGACAGAGAAACACAATAGGCTGATATTTTGCTCTACATTTGCACCCATTGAGCAATGCTTTCGCAACATTTCAGACACTGGGAGGAAAACATCAAAATATGGCCTATCTTTGGACATGAGACCACAGCACTGGTGTGGGACAAGCCACCCATTCCTGTAAACTTCACTGGGAAGTGAGCACCAGTGCTCTGTGCACCCAGAGAGGGGCCACGCTGACCCCATTACACGAGTAGATATCTTAAATGTTTGCACATGTGGACTATGATGCTGTTTGCAGCCGCTGAGCTGCTTAGCAGGCCCCCAAAAGCCCTCAGGGACCTTCTTTTTCTTCTCTTCTCTCCCTCCTCCTTCCCTCTCTCGCGCTCCATCATTATCGCCCACATGCTTTTCCAGAGACATCCTGAGTGAAACAGCTCGACGTCCTCGATGGCTATCACATGTTCCTGCTGAGGAGGGAGGCAGCAGGGGAAAGACATCTTGAGGAGAATATAAATGCTGAGGTTATTTTCAATGTGCATTCCTTCTTTAAAGATTTTAAAACATAATAAGAAACATCAGACAATTTTTTTTTTTATCCTGCAGCTCTCCATATGAGGTCATGGTGACATCCTTTCTCTCTAGAATTTTATTACTCTGTGATCATGCTTTATTTGTTTAACAAAACCTGTTTAGGGACTTTATATGTGGCTTCAAACAGCTTGTTGAATGTTGAGGAGTCTGTCATTGTTCAAAATATATTTTCAACAAACTATGATACTGAATAAGTGTCCCCCAATAAAGCAATCATGATACTAACAACGATCTTCTTAGATTTGCTTTGCCATAGAAATGGATATTTAGTTTTAGCCATTCATTTTAAACATGTTCCCCTGAGGTTTATGACCAAATACGTGGAAAACTAATGCCATTCCCATGAACTCTATTTTGTTAGTGCTAATTAGCTTACGCACTAAACTAAGATGTTAAACATCAGCATGTTAGTATTGTCATCGTTAGCATGCTGACAGTAGCAGTTAGCTAAAGCACCGGCTAGCATGTCTAGTTTTATCCTGTAAATTTCTTTTATGATTTACTTTAATGTTTTTATTGTTTGTGTCTATTCCTGGTATTTCTTTAGACAAATTCTGTTCCATTAATTAGCTGAGATTTAATGCACTGACAGAATACATTACTAAAATGGGAAGAACATGGAGGTAAATGATAATGGATGCAGCAGAAAAGCTGAAAAAAATGCATGTGCCTTTTTTGTTTAATAGCAGATATTTGTGTTGAAGTACCTTTAATCCGAGAGTAAAACTGAAGCAGCAGACTCGCGTATGGATTCACTGTTTTATTGTCATTTTATTGGAGGTGGAAGGTAAGACACACATTTCACTTTAGTTTTCTCACAGACCTGGCCACCCTTCAGTATCTACACAAAGTACTTCCTGTTCCTTCTCAAAAGCAAGAGCTACAACCATTGTACGTGTTAAAAACAGTTATTTAAAAAAAAAAAAAAAAAGAAATAAAAAATGTACAACATACACTTGATATATATATTTTATATATAATATAATTTTCGCTCTTTTTTTTTTTTTTTTACAGAGGTAAAAATACTAAGCGTAAAAAAATTGGGTCTAATTCATTACAGGGAGTCATTTCTTTCATTTTTTTCAATTTAAATACACAAGTAGATAAAGAGGATGCGTTCAGGCACTTGTAAATGGCTGACATGTGAGAACATGCTCAAACACCAGACGAGACAGAGAAAAAAAGATTAAACGCTGACACACACACACACACACACACACACACTCACTCTCTCTTTCCAATCTGATTGGCCCCGTTCCTGATTCATCACATCATCGAAGGATCTGATTAAACTGGATAGGTGTTAGTATGTGATAGCATACTCAGCTGATCCCAGTTGCTTTGGATCAAGGAGCAGGAGAGGGGAAAGGGATGTGGGATACACACACACGTAAACACACCAAGGACGTACATACAGGCACACAGGACAGGATGTTCTTTTCCAAAGGGACCCTACAGATATTTCTTTGTCTTTTTTAAAAGCTTATTGTGTTTCTTCCTGGTCACATCCCCAGCGCTGCCGTCAAAGATGCATAAAGCACCCGAGCAGTTGTCAGCAATTCAGCGTTGTGCTGTCAGTGTGAAAGGCGTGACTGGCTGACTGAGGTGTTCCTCAAACAGCAGGTGACACAGGCAGCGTTTTTACTTTCCTCCAATGCATGAGTTTGTACTTCGACACACCCTCTATGACCCCACAACAAAACAACTTTGATGGTTTCTTTCCTAATTCAGTCGAGTTGTTGTCGAACATCTGGCGTTACTCTTTGTGTGCACGATGACGAACCAAATCTGGCATGGAAGGGGAAAAATGCTGTAGGAATAGTGCACGCCAGTCACACGTGACTGTTTCAGCAAGTTACTAATCTCCCATTTTAAAAAAGAATACCTTGGCCTTAATGGAATGATTTGACATTTCTGGGAAATACTCTGCTTTTTTGCTGGAGCTTCCCTGGCTCTGTCCGAAGGTTAGCTTAGCTTCATATTTAACGCACATACAGGACAATGCTTTCGATCTTCTCATCTAAATCTTGGCAAGAAAACGAAGACAAGTATTTCCCAAAATGTCAGATTATTCCTTTTACAACTCAATAATGACATGTAGGCTTATTTCTGATAAAGTGTGAAATACCTCACCACATTGCTCTAGTGACACTGCACATGTCAAAAGGTCATTCCTAACTATGTTCTTGTAAAAACATGTTTTTTTGTATTTTCACTTGTAAGGAGGTTTTAATACCTATATTTGTTTTTATATGGTATGTTTTTGTGGGGTGATTGGATGTTTTAAATAATTTTGAACACAGATCTTAATGAATTGCATTCATTAGACCCTTCAAATAACCATCAGTTATGACTTTGCTGTTCCACAGGTGTGACTGGTAAGCTCAACTGGAGGGTGGGGCTTAAAGAGGGAAGCTGATTGTACATCGCAAGCAGAGTCCCTAGTTTATACACTTCATGAGATCTTTTTAAAATAGTTACTTTTCATTACAAAAATAGTTTAAACCAAGTTTAAAAGAGTATGTGGTGAGGCTGATTGCTGGGACAGGGGTGAAGTTTGGAGCAAGACTCCACATTTTAAGGCATAACGGGCACCAACTTTAACGGTATCTCCGATTGATTTGTCAGTCCTTGATGGGACAAAGACAGCTTACTGCGGTTCTGCAGAGAATGAGGAACTCTGAGCCTTAAAATCGCAAACTGCTTTGAGTGCATGTTAGGTAAAATAAGCCAAAAAACTGACTGGACTTCTAAGACTGGATGGTTTCCTGGTTTGGGTGATAGTTTAGGCACTGCTTGAAATAACGTGAAAGGAGCAGGGAGACGTATGCGAGAGTATCATAAGCACTCATTCAGTGAGTAAATCACAGCCCAGCACCCTTTCGCTGGTAGACCAATTCAGAGAGAAAATAAATAGGATAAAAACATGAATCTTTGGGATATTAGAAGATTAAGATGAGTACCACGTTTGTTTCAGTGAACAAAGAAGATGTCGATGGTGGAGAGCTGTGTAGACTATATACATGAGCTTTACTCTAAGCTGCAGTACAGACAACTAAAGGAGACACGCATGTTTTAAGCATGCACATATACCATTCTCTCTCACACGCGCGCGCAAAGAGGTGTAGTGTCTGATTTCTCTTGTAGCTGGAGTTGAGCTGAGCGGGCCTGATATTGGAATATAAACAAAATGGCCACGCGTACATCGAAAGGAGAGAAAAAAAAATACAACAAAGAAACAATTCAAGTTCTTTGACGCAAAGTCAGTGTACAAAGTATAAAGTACCTGCATATGTGATACATGACGTATAAGTCAGCTATAAAAAAAAAGGCCCCCTGAAAAAGAGTACTCTCTCACTAGAAACAGAGCATTAAATGGCCACGTGGAGAGCTGAGAGAACTGTCTGCCGTAAGGGGGAGCTTATCTTCCCAGGCCGTTCCGAAAATGCACCAACTGTTTTTTTTTTTGGCTTATTTCAGTGTCTGGAATTTGTAGAGAAACCCAGAGAAACCAAGGCAAGAGAGCGAGCAGCCATGACCACTTGTCCCCTCTGTATTTCCCCATCCTTCCCTTTCCCTGTGCTTGTGTTGGGTTTAGGTTTTTTGTTGTTTCCTCCGAGAGGTTTCCAAGCGCGGCTGCTCAGCTCAGGGCTTTGTGTCGGCCTCCGCAGCAGCCACACCTGAGCCCCGCCCGATGGCAAGCGTGGAGAGGCGGGTAGAGGCAGAGGCAGGGCGCCACCAGAGACAGACCAAGCAGAGCTAACCAGCGTGAGCCGAGTCGGCCTCCCCCGCTGCCCTCCGCCCCGTCACAGGAGCAGGGGTCTGAGTAGTCCCCTTCTGGGTCGGACATGCAGTGGTAGAGCATGGTGTCTGCCAGCCACATGCAGCTGACCCGCCGGATACACGCCCGCACAGGGTCTGGCGCATCCTGGCACCGCCCTCTCCGGTTGTCGGATGTGTAAAAGGCCTCGCCGCAATGCTCACACTGAATGCGCTCCACCCCGTCCTCCTTCCGCCCTTTCCCTCCATTGGTTGACGGAGAGGAGCTCGGAAGGAAGGAACGGGGCTGGGTGGAGACCACAGAGGAGAAGCCTTGGTGATACGAGCCGCTGTGGCTCTTATTGACCAAGGGTCCGAGGGCCGGGTCAGAGTCTGAGGGCGACAGGGCCGGTGCCAACGGATAGGTGTAGTCATGCTTCTGCGCCTCTGTCTTGGAAAAATGGACGTAGGAGTCTTCCATTTGGATGAACTTGTCACGCACTGTGGCGTGGCGGTAGTCCTCGTAGCCCGTGAGCCACGGGCGATCGTACTGACGGCCAAGGTGACGCTCGGGGGTTCGTTCCCAGCTGCGCTCCCGAGGGTTGATACGGACGATTTCCTCGTCCTCCTGGAAGGTGACGTGACGGGGAATCCGAGACAAGGGCTAATGAGAAAGACAGAATTAAAATTACACATTGCTGGCAGTTATTAACACATTTTGGTCAGGTTGGCAGTAAACCACAATGAGGTTAATTTAATCTTAATCCTGTTTCAGTCTAATAAATACCTAAACAACAACCATGTTTCACAATAAACGTAATAGTCTGCAATGTTTGCTCTGAATGTTTATCAGTTTTTATAAATCAGAACATACCATTTTGGAAAGAGCACCTGGTCCTCTGCTTTCTTGGCATCGCTAACGTTCTTTGTCTCACCTGGTCTAAGAAGTAGTGGTCTGAGAGCCGGTAGGGGTCATGGAGGTCGTGGCGATGTCCCAGCATGCACTTGTGTCTCTGCGGAAGGGGCGAGGACTCGAGCGGCTGCAGAGAGCTCTCCAGTTTCTGGGAGGAGTTGGATGAGCTGTCTGTGGTGTTCTGAGGGGACAAACAAACACAGGATGCAGGCTTAACGCTGCACTTGGATTGGATACGCAAAACAAATAGAGAGGACGCAATGATTGGACAAACAAAAACAGGAAGCCTCGGCGCAGCTCTGATTGGGAAAACAGGAAGTGCGAGCTCTGTTTTTCGAGCCACTTGATGCACATTTGGATCTCTGTGTGCGAGTGAAACTTTTATTAACATCTGAACAAGAAAACATAAAACAGTCACTAAGAAAAACATTATAGTAATCAAACTTTGGTTTAAAATTCAATATGTGGCCTACGGGAATCCCATCCCTTTATCGTGGCGACGTGATGACGCCAATGCATTTGGCAGCTGGAGAGGTCTGTTAGTCAAATAAGTCCAGCGGTTATTGTTTGCTGCTTTAAATATGCAGTAAGAACTGTGATGGGCATCATCTGATTTAGCAACAATATTTAGTCGACCCCCATTAAAACAAATGGGGTGGACAAAATATTAGAAACACCTCAGTAGGCTGTATCACAATAGAAGTCAATGGCAGCACCAACTACATCCTCCAGATATAACGATACAGGTTAATCAACACCTCACCTCCTCATGAAGGTAGGATTTATGGTAGGACTGAAAACAGTGACAACTCAACTTGTTATAAATTCAAAGTGACATCTTCAAATTAAAAATACTGAATTTACAAACTAAAAAAGTAGTAAATACTCACATTAGAGAGGCTGGAACAAGAGAATATTTGGTGTTTCTTGAAATCAATTATCAAAAATATATTGTTTAACTTTGGCTAATCTTTAATTCCACAAACTGTTTCAGGACTCAAATGGCAGCTGTTAAATCCACTTTAACGCAATATGTTTTGACAGGTTAGAGAAATATTTTTCATGCTTTAGATAAGAATGATGATATTAGAAAGCCAGCGTTCTATCACACACAGTTTTCACTGTATCACCTTCTTTGGCCTCGGCCCCTCCTGTTCATCAACCTGTCCTTTCCCCCTCAATCTCACTTTCAATACATTTCACCTTTCTAGTTCTCTTTTCCACCACTCTGTGTGTGTGTTAACAGTATCCTGTCCCCTTTCCGCTGAAGGCTGTCAGGGCTTCACTCCAACTCAAACCTTGGCCAGACACTAGACAAGCCATGTAGCGCTCAGACAGACAGATTTCAGACAGGCACACTGTGGGCCAGCATCTGTGGGGTGTCACAGTGTACCAGCTAATAGGCAGGTCGTGAGGACCACTGTCTCATCATATCATCTCTGCATTTGTTTAATCTTGCTATGAGTAACTCAACAGAGCCACAGAAACGTGTATCAAAAGGTCAACAAGCTTGTCCGCCAAAGAAAAGTTTGGCCAGCATCTCACAGAAGTTATGAGATTTCTGTGCTTCCTATTTTCCGTGCTGATGTGATTTCATTCCATGAAAAAAAAAAAAACAATTTCTACCTGACAAGCACAAAACAGATGAGACATTTGAATCCAGCCATTATATAAAATGTTCCCAATTCATTTTAACTTTAACTTGATTCTGTACTTAAGCTTCAAGCTAAACGCTAACACTAGTGTGGCGACATGCTTTAAATACTCTTCAGCCATATTTTCTTGCAGAGAAACTTCTTTTATATTAATATCATTGGATGGATGCTAGGCTTTGACAGACCGGTCTCAGTGTGTGAGAGTTAATGGTGTCCTTTCAAACTAGCTTCACTCATCCACTGGTTCAAATCAAGGATGTCTTCTGTCTCCACTGCTTTATACTATTTACACAAACAGCTGTCAAAGTAAATACCAGAACAGACACACTATAAAGTTTGCTTGATGATTCTGTTATACTAACCCTCCTGGAAAAAGAGGAACTAGGGCATGGGCCAGTAGCTAATGACTTTGTGTCATGGTCTAAGGAGACTTTTCTTGAGTTGAATGCATCTAAAACCATGAGCGTGATCATTGAGCAAGCTTTACGCTACATTTCACATTCACCCCATTCATACACATTGGTAAAGATGGGCCACTGTCAGTTAGCATATCACCCCAAGAAATCCTTACAAATGTTTAGAAATTGACCCCATGTGTCAAAATCTGGCACTCCAACAAGCATAAAACCAATGCTGTGAATTATTTGCAGGAGTTATATGACCCAGATCTGTCTGTCTGTCTGTCTGTCGAAGCTATCCCTATTATATCCTGCTCCCCACATGGATACCACCATGCTGAGAATTTCCCCCAGCTTTCTTACAAAGCCCTCAGAGCAGCCAGCCAAAAATAACATAACATGCTGCCTCCGCTCCAGGCCCCGCCCCCCCCCGGAGAAGACATTACCAGGGGAGGAGCTGATATGGTTTAAAACCAGTCCGATTCTGGCCTCCACGGCTGCAACTAATTCAAAACACAGACCAGACTTTCTGCTGCAAGCTCAAACTGCACAATAGGACAGAGAGACAGAGGGAAGTTGAGGGGGAGAGTTTATATATCTGGACATCCTCACTCTATATATTCTGGCTCAAGGCTGGACAGAGGGCATTTCAAGTTATTTTCTGAAACAAAACATGTCCCGACTCAAAGCTCAGGAGGATTCATCCTTCAACAGGCCCGTCTCGTTCTCCTGGGATGAGCCCAGAATTGCTTCAAGAGCTTTTACTCCCCCCTGTTGTGAATGAGCCAAAATAGAGACAGAGAGGGGAGACGTGCAGAGGAAGGGTTGGGTTAAGTTTAGGTTTGGCGTACGAAGAATAATTTAGGGAAGTATGTCCATCCTAGCTATCCCCCTCCGCAGCCGCCCCACCATCCTCAAAAGCTGTAAATCAATGTATCCCATAGTTATTAACATGTGATTTCAGTGTCATTGTTAAATTTGACAATCTGATGGTTCTCCACAAGAGAAGATGATGGAGGCTTGCTGAATCCCATTAGGAAAAGGAGTGAAATAAAGAAGCTTTGTATCTACATTGCATTGTTTGGTCTCAATAGGATGCCTCATATGCTCTATAGACATATTTGTGAAACAACTCAATGCTCTGTGGAGGACAGACTATGACCACCAGGTAGAGGAAAGCAGAAATGCATACAGACATACAGACAGATAAAATGGACATAGTCTGCAACAAAAGCAAATCCAGGCAGTACTTATTCATACCCATATTCAGTCATAACTCCAGTAGGGTTGTGACACAACAAGCCGACCATCGCCCACACTTTTTCCAGTGTGTCCGGCACAGTTTGTGCTAGTCGGGGGTTTAGCATGTTAAAGTTATGGAAGTAGTCGGTGAAGAGTAGATTTCTGTACAGGCCTAAAACAGACAACGCATACACATGTCTTTGTGCCAGTGTGTAATATTTAGGAGGATCTATTGACAGAAATGCAACATAATATCCATAACTATGTTTTCAGTGGACTTACATAATGAACTGTTATGTTTTCATTACCTTAGAATGAGCCCTTACATGGAAGTCACCATACTGCACCGCAGTATGTTTGTTGTAATGTTTCTATTGTAGCCCAAACGGACAAGCTGCTCTTTGTCACTATGTTGAATATGTATGAAGTAGTAGTAGTTGTCGTCGTCTGGTTTGTTAGAAGTAAGAAGCGAAGTGAAATTTGGACAAATGGAGGACCACATGTATTATCACCATAGCTTCTCCTATGGCTCTTGGAAAGGGAGGGGTAAGCGGTGAATGAGCTGTTGATTGCACGTTGCAACGTCAACACTAGATGCCACTAAAAGTTACATACTGAACCTTTAAGACTCAACGGGACTCGACTGGTACTGCCAAACCTGATCTCGACCTGATATTGAAAGCGACAATGTTGCTGTATTTAATTAATTACCGATCACATGCGACGGTTTGTCTACACCCTTTTGTTCTTCTCACTGGACTTGGTGAATCTGTTGCAACACATGACATGTATCTATGGAAGCTGATGACTGACACGGGCAAAGAGAGACATTTCTTAATATTTGTTTTTTCTAGACTACAGGCTAGTAATTCCTCTCATGCAGGAGGAGAATGTATGTGCGGGTCTTAAAAGCAGACATGATGAATGCAATGTGAAATATTTCTTCAGTAAGCATTTGTTGGTGCTCGTTCTTGGTGTGTCAGGGCCATAATTGCTTTATTATGAGCTTCTACAGAGGCTTTAACTTGAATAGATGTGAGCGGCTGAGTCTTATTTCGGGTGAATACAGCAGCTTTTTAAGCAACAATACCAAGAGATTGTCTTGGATTTGTTGCATTGAAAGCTTCTACTTTCCTGAAAACCTAATGCTCCATTTCAGGGATTTCTCCACCCTCTGACAGCGATGTAGCCTCCCTCCACCCCTCCCCATGTGTTTGTATGCGTCTCTGTGGTGGCTGTACACTCCCAGCAGAGCACCTATTAGTCTTGGCCCTTACAGACAGCTTGAGTCAAAGATGAACCACGAGGCACTTCCTCTCGTAAATCAGCGGCCCTACACTAAGCTGGGAAACAGCTGCTAGCTGCTAGTTTGGTGGCGGCTCTCTTTTTCAACAGAGGGTGGGGGCGGGGGGAGGTTTTCACCAGGAGAAATCGAGGTGGTGGGATACAGGATGTGACCTTGTGACCCAGCCTGCTGCTCCTGGTGTCAGATTACAGAGTGGGGGGACGGGGACCTTCATGCTAACTAAAGGTAGAGAGGCCCTGACACACAAATCACACACACACACACACACACACACACACACACCTACTGTGTCAGGTATAGTGACAGGGAAGGGATCCTGAGTGAAGTCCTTAATTCATATACTTTCTGATACACGGACAAAACCAAGTCTTGAGATTTTTTTGGATGCAGAAGACTCCTCTGGGGTTTAGGAACCATGGTTTATCCCAGTGCCTGCCACTACTACTTCTTATTTTAATTAGGAATCCTAAGGATGTTAAGATGCAGACAGGAGATGTTGAACAAGAAACTGAGTAGAAACTGAGCCACAGTCTGACTACTAGGAGAGTATTGCAACAGTCAAGATAACATAACTAGAATCTATATATAAGGGTGTATTTGAAACCACAAACGTTGGTGTTGGTGGGGGCATGTTGCTTAAGGTACCAGGTGGACATCTGATCCAGGAAGTCCGGATTGATAACGTCTATCAGACGCCCAAAACACAGCACAACAGTCCTCACAGACATGATTTTACAACTCTGGAAAGTTATCAAGGCGGTAACTATATTATCTTTCTTCCTGACAATCACAAGGTAAACAGTAGAAATACAGGGTTCAAGTTATAAAGTAATCTTAAGGAATGTGCGCCTGCATGTATGTGACTGATAAAGCAGTATCACATAACTTTTTCGCCAAAGCCCATTGAGTTAGCACCATTAATACTGGATGGATGGATCCAGTAATCCAGCCTTCCTAGATCGTTATAATTGTCTGTAACTGAAATTACAGCTAACCAGCAGAGGGTGTTTGCAGTCTGAACGACCACAAATAATGGAGGCAAAGCAGAATGCCATTCATTGCGAACTGAACCTTGGAATAACATCTCGGTGCTGCCCCCACTGCGACTCGAGACTCAAAAATGGGCGAACTGAGAAGAGTTCAACTTTATGCAAATGTCTTCTGACGCACAGGAGCGACAGCCTGCAGACAACCATTATTTTTATTCTCTTGGAAAACGGAAGCACAGAGTTGTTTTCTACTTCAACTCAATCATCAATTAGCCTTCAAATAGACACATCATAGTTATTGTACTGTGGCCCCTTATTTTGTCAGTTGATGCAGCATATAAGAAGATTTGTGGCAGTTACAACAGGCAAGTGGTTGTTGAAATAAAACAGATGAACCTCTATAAGACATTACTCCAATATGGATACTACATGAATGTAGGTGCTTACAGTAAAGACGTCGTCGTCGCCCAGCTCGCCCTCATTCTGGAGTGCTGTGGAGGACGTTGTGGAGCCTAAAGGGAAGAAAACAGGAATATCCTTTCATTCAAGGGTCCAACACTTTACTAGATGATGCATTTGTCAGCCAGGGAGATATTAAAATAATACGGGAACATCTGGGTGTCTTGTCAGTCATCAACCCCAGTGGAGTTTAGAGCAATTAGCAATTTAGTCCAATTCAGGAGTTCACTCACTTCTCTTTCTACCTTTGAAAAATGTTAGTCCTACAGTCGCATGATTTGAACGTACCGTTCACTGGTACTATCTGGTTCAAAACCAACATTTGGGAAACAGATTTCAAAGCTGTAGTATGTGAGTTTCTTCACATGGTCCAAGTTCATTCATGTTCTCCCCAGGACTAAGTGATTACACCTTATTCATTAATTAGTTGAGTGTTCTCATCTTTATGTGCGACATCTGTCTTCATATTAAACTCCTTCAACATTAATTTTACATTTAAACAGACATGAACAATGTTTTAGTCATAACTAAGATTTCATCATCTTTGAGATTGTCTTACCTTCTGCTAGGTCCTCAATGGCTTTCCGTACCCCTCTGTCAAATGCTCTGGCGTCAGCTGGACTCTGGAAGGACAGGCCACACTTCCTGTCCTCCACCTTCCAATGGTGAAATGTGGGCGTTGCTATGGTGTACACAAGGTCCTTCCTCAGCGGACAGTCCAGGATCACCTGTTAATCAGACATATATCAGCCAATCACAACAGGGAGAATTCCTTATCCATATCTTATCCTTAAATGAACTTTGAATGACTTTTGTTGATGCATATGTGTGCGTGTTTTACCTGTTTATCCCGCAGCCGCTCACCACGGATGAGGAACTGGGAAAAGCTGGAGGCCGGCATGGGCGCCAGCTCCGGTGGCAGGAGGCGGCACACCCCAACCCTACTCAGAGCTCCCCCGTCTTGGGCCAGCCAGCCGCCGCTCGAGTCGTCCCGAGTCATCACCACCGCTTTCACACGCACGATGTAGCTGTCACTGAATAGAGAGAGAGAAAAAATTATTTTTATTACGAATTATTCTTATAAGTGATTGTTTTTACATTAGAGTATACCGTAATTCAAAGGTTCCACTAGCTGATAAACCTAAAGATTTAACACTTTTGTGACAAAATACTACCAAGGATGTGTGTAAAGATATTGCAGGAGGTCAATCAAACTCAAACACTTTCATTTCAACTTTTCATCTGCTCATTATATGGTGATGAAACCAGTTTTTGGGATAGAGAACATCTTTAGGGCAATGCTCCGTCTCCATTAAGTAAATTATTTGAATTTTGGATAACAAACCACCAGGTATGAGAGCACCGACTCAAATGAACAGTAATGGGGTTTTCCTACAAGCTTTAAATTGGTGAAACCAGCTAAATGACTGCCCCTATTAGTCAAAATCACTTTTGTTTGTAAGTATGTACGATGAAATCTTTTAAGGCTTTACCATATAAAAATTTCTTGCAACTCTTCTTCAAAATACTTAGCATCACCTACAAACTTAACTTCAAGAGAATTGTGAGTTATGCTAGTAAATATGTCAGCTAATAATGAAAGCATTAACAAAAAAAAAGCACAGGATGTTTGAATCAACATTAGGGAGCATAGCAAGCTCAGAAAAACATGTTTGGTTGCAGAAAATATGCACGACACACCACCTACTGACTGTATGTCAAAGGCATCATGAGATTATTATTTTGTTACAGTATGGTATCCAGTTTGACTTGTATCAGGCAAGACATCAGTCGCAGAGAAGCCACTACTTCCTTCCATAGTGAAACCACAGAAAACATACAGAAATGAATATCTATGAGATAATATCAATATGTGGTGTTCTCTGTACCAATACAAAAAAAAGAAAACGCAACTACACGAATGATAGGTGTATCTAATCCATGGGAACAAACAAAAAACAAAGAAAGGCTAGTGCTTTTATCTCAAAATCAGCACCTCAGAAGCTACGAAGTAGGAAAGTAAAAAAGTGTATATAAGGCCTTAAGGAAACAGAAATTCTTCCTCAGGCAGCAGTTACTGTTTCATCCTGGCCTTAACTTAAAAACTCAAAAATTCAACAATCCTGGAAACTCAAACTTGTCTCAATTTTTCTGGCAAGAGTCTAAGAGTTGCGTTAATGCCACAGCAGTTTATTATAGAGCTGGATTCACACGGTGGCAGAATGTTTGAGGGCGTCTCAAGTCACGACTCTGCCTGGTCCTCGCTGTGATGAGGTGGGAGGTGGTGTTGTACAAGTCAGCACGAAAACACACACTCTTTAATGTAAATGTAGTTTGGTGATGTATTTTCTTTGGTGGTATTTACTCGAACATCCTCGACAACAAGAGATGATCATTCAGTTAATACTTGATCACCAGAAAATGAATCAGTGACAATTTCGATAACCGATTCCTCACAGTGTTTTATAGCGGAAGGGGGCCACCTTGCCAACATGACATGAATGTACAATTTTGTACAATAAAACATTTACGATCAGATTACATTTCACACAGCAAATGCTTACTTATCTTCTTAATGTGGCTGTTGTTTAGGCCACTATCACAGTATCAGGAGCAATTCCTGTGCAATAACCCAGTAACTCTGTCTCTAATCAGCCACCTGTTTACTGGTTCATACTGTTCATATTGTCATATTGTATATACTGTATACCAAATCCACCTACCTCAAGTACACAACACCTGTACATAATACTTACTAATATTTATTCCAGCATGTTTTGCACTATGCTTAATCGCACTGTGTACATGTATGCATATATTATGATAATTTACTCCTGCATCCTTTGCACTCTGCTTCTTTGCACTATTGTCTCAATCTGTCTATATTGTTTGTTTCTGTTTATAGTGTGTATACATTGTGTTCTCTATACTGTAGCCTGTGTCTGATTTTATTTTATCTTATCTATTTTATAATTGCATTATTGTATGAGTAAGCACGTCGTGAGCAATGTACAATCCTGAGTCAAATTCTTCGTATGTGTATGTGGCAAATAAAGCTGATTCTGATCTACTTACTAAATCATGAGACAAGATGAGTCACAATCTGCATGGCTTACCACTTCGGCTAAACATTTTCCTGGGGTAACCCTGTAATTATTTGTAGAAATGTCTGGTGGCCAATTGGTTGTATATACAGTAATGGCAATGTCCCTGGTTCACTTCCTGCCAGGGACATTTGTTGAATGTCACACCCCATTCTCTCTCTCCATGCATTTCCTGTCTGTATCTGTACCGTCTGTTTGAAATTAACTTAAAAACAGTCCCTTATCGAGGAGAAATGTGAAGATTTGTCCACTTCAATAATCATAATCAAATAATTGTCATATCTATATCTGTTCTTTTACCATATTGTGCTGCCCTGGTTAGTGAACAGTGGAGTGACCAGATGCAAATCACACAAACTGACAGATAATACAGCTGCAGTTTAGTCTACATAGCAGTACAAAACAATACATGACAAAAACTCCCTCTGCAGCCAATAGAGTCTTCAGTGCTTATAACATGAGACAATGTGATGGAGGTTGAATGGTAAAACACAAGACATTCTCAAGCATTAGCATGACAGCCACCACCCTCACAGGGACACAATGAACACGCTCACAATCCACATAAATGATCTGACAATAACAGGATGTACCTCTGTGTTTTCCATCGATGTTGCACAATGTGTGTGTGTGTGTGTGTGTGGGCAGGAGAAGGGTGAAGTGAGAAAGAGAAACAGAAAGACAGAAAGGGAGGGAGGGTGAAAGAGAGGCAGGGTGGCAGTGAATGAGAGGGGTGTTGTTATATAATTAGCGTACAGACAGTTCTGGGGATTTGATGTACACACACGTGGCAAAACTGGTTCACCAGCTCCCTCCCACACGCATTCATAAAACTGACTGAATGACAGACAGACTGACTGGATGAGAGCAGACAAACAGATAAGCAAATACAAGGTCACAGGGTTTGTGCTTTTGTGTAAACACACACACACACACACACACACACACACACACACAAAATGCTTACTCTATCCACTTAATCAAATTAAACTTTTCCATTCAGTTATTATAGTATTGTGTTAAGACATTAAAGCAACACTAGCCAAAACTTACAAGGGTAATATTGTTGGCAGACTGGAGATTCTTGATACCTTTTCAAACCACAATAGGCGGAGGCAAAGTCATTCAGGTTCTACCTAGCCACATGGGAATCTTGAATAGCAACAGAGGAATTAATAGAATTCAAAATAGAAATGTTACAAATGTCAATGACCTATTTCCATTATATCATCTTGCAGGCCCAGGCTAACAAACTAGCTTACCTTACAGTTGCTAGCTAGAGGCTACAATGGCTATATAGATTACGAAAGGTCAGCTAGGTTTCTGGAAACTGGATTTTTATTATGATAATAATGGTATTTTATGTCTTTATGCTCAACTACTGTCAGATATTAGACAGCCACATTTACCGTGGTTGATATAATATAGCTAGCTGGTAATATGCTGGTAGAAGAGTGCTGCCTTTCTGGATCACAATGCGTTTGCGCCATTTTTTTTTTGTTTTGTACTGGTTCAAACGCCTTTGCATGATGGAAACAACTAAAGTAATAAGAGCAATTAAAAGAGTAGGTTAGCAAAGGTTATGAACTGACTAATGATACAATTTGGGGCTAGTTATTTAGATAAATTACCCTCATCCACAAATTAACTTGCTGGCCGTGTGTGTGTGTGTATTTGGATGATGTTGGGGTTGCTAAGTATTTAGCCTTATCTGACAACAAAATATTGTAACAAGAGACCACTAAACAGATGTATTTCCTGTAGGAAGTCACAGTTTACATGTAGGTTTTGTAATTTGAATATATAGTAAAAAAAAAAAATTTAGTGTGAAAATCCACACTGCTGCTTTTATATTAAAGTACCACAGTGTAATGGTCAACATGACTCAAACACATGTACCACACATTCACATACGGAACCGCACATTCAGTCTAGCCACATACAGGAATAACACTGAATTCTGCGCTATATAAGCCCATGTGCATAAAGATACACGATACCGGCTATCAGCTCTCTGAGATGAACTTGTCACATTTTGGGCTGTCTTGTGACCCATGTTTAGAGCCCCGTCTGCCGACAGGCCCTGTAATCTGTGGTTGGAACACACAGACAGCCACAACCAGCAGCAATGTGCTACTTTAATACACTTGGGAGTGACCACACATTTTGGCGCGCGCGCACACACACACGGGAGCTTTGAATCTAATTCTGTCCACACAAATGTGGCACGAGGTGCCGCTGCTGAAAAAGGTGACACCCACTTTAAGAAAAGGTAGTTGATACACTATTTATAATCACCTATTTCTGCAGAATTCCCATTTGCACAATCTTTAACTTCATACATACATTTTCCTGAAACATTATGGTTGCACAATATTTAAACAAAAAAAATAAAAAAAAGTGTGTTCCAGGTGATTTACAAGTATCCCTTGCTCAGACAGTGTTATGTTTTAGGGATGCAAGCAATTTTTGTAATCTCTTGTAGGTGGGATGAGGATGTAAAGTTCAGTGATGACTCAGTTCAGAAGGAAGCTGGGGGGGAGGGGGGGGGAGTCAACACCTCACTGATAAGGAACACGCAGGCAATGCATGCATCATATCCTCTACTACTTTAATAAGTTGATTTTAATATCAGGTCAAAGGTACAGGGTGCGTCTTGCCTCTACTTCTTAAGACAGGCACTACTATGGGCCGGCTGTGGCTCAGGAGGTAGAGTGGGTTGGCCGTTAATCGGAAGGTTGGCGGTTCAATCCCTGGCTCCCCCTGATTGCGTGTCAAAGTGTCCTTGGGCAAGATACTGAACCCCGATTTGCCCCTAGTGTATGAATGAGTGTGAATGCTAGTTTCTGTTTGAGCACTTAGGCTCAGTGTATGAATGTGTATGACTGGTGAATGCAGATGTAGTGTAAACTAGAAAGGCGCTATACAAG